TCAGCAATACATGAATTCCAACAACGTGGAGCTTGCTTGAGTCCATATAAGCTGCGTTTCAACTTGCAAACTCGTTTCGTGTTATCGGAATAGCCTTCAGGCTGTTTCATATAAATCTCTTCCTTTACTTCACCATATAGGAAAGCAGTTGAGACATCGAACTGCAATAATTTTAAATTTTCTTTAGCAGCAATTGCAAGTAAAGTTCGTACTGTGGTCAGACGAACTACTGGGCTAAACGTCTTATCATAATCGACACCAGGTATTTGGGAGTAACCCTTAATTACAAGTCTGGCTTTGTACCTTTCAATGGAACCATCAGGATTCATTTTAATTTTATATACCCATTTACAAGGCAGGGCTTTTCGTCCTTTAGGTAGATTACCCAGTTCCCAAGTTTGGTTGTCATTTAGTGAAGTAATTTCACTCTGCATAGCGTTTTGCCATTTTTCTTTATCAGTAGAATCCATCGCTTCTTTAAAGGTCGAAGGTTCAGTAGGTTTGTGAACATTTTCAATTTCTTCCGCTGCGGCTAAGATAAAATCATCATAACGCCTAGGAGCTGTGATATTTGATCTACTTCTTAGTGACCTTATTTGAACGGAGGCGTTTTCTACATTGTCATTACTGTTTACTGCTTCTCCGACACCGTTTTTAACAGGGTCTTCAATATTAGAAGAACCAGAAAGTGAGTCGTAGTCACTTTCAATATTTGTTGGTTCCTGAATATTTTGTTCCAAAATTGTATTGTTATCATTTTTCGTGTCAACATTGTTGTCATATTTATCAATGTCATCAAGCGTCATAGTAAGTTTCTTTTGTAGTGTTTGTTGTGAAGACAATTGTCGAGGTTTTGCTGTAGACTCAATTTCATTAAAAAGTGTTGAAATTCCGTACTTGTTTTCTTCGTAGTACATGCATTTCATAACTCGAATATCTTTCGAAGTAATGATTTTGTTTTTCGAAGGAATGTAGATTCTGAAAGCTTTTGACGTTTCAGAGTATCCCACAAACATCCCTGGAATTGCTTTAGGTGCAAATTTGTGACCATTAGATCCCTTTTTCAAAACAAAAGTCTTACTACCAAATATATATAGATGATTTACACAGGGCTTTCTACCAACCCATCGTTCGAATGGTGTTCGATTTTGAATGGCATTGTTTATGTTTCTATTTGCCAAATAATTAGAAGTAGCCACTGCCTCGCTCCAAAGTTTCAATGGTGCATTTGCATCTATCATCAATGCTCTTGCTTTTTCTAATAGGGTACGGTTTTTACGTTCAGCAACTCCATTTTGGTGTGGAGTATAAGGTGCGGTAAGACGTCTTTGAATACCACACTGTTGTAAGTAAGTGTCAAACTGCTTATTAACATATTCAGTGCCGTTGTCAGATTGTAAAAACTTAATTTTGTTACCTGTGTGTGTTTCCGCTAACTCTTTGAACTCTTTGAATTTTTCAAGTACTTCGCTCTTATTTTTCATTAGATAAACTCTACAGTATCGACTGTAGTCATCTATAAAAGTAACAAAGTATTTATTTTCGCGTATGGTGGGCGTCTGAATAGGTCCACACACATCGCTGTGAATGATTTGTAAACATTCTGTTGTTCTTTGAGTTGTTTTATTACGTGGAGCAGGTTCACGGTGCAGTTTTGCTTGTATGCATACTTCACAGTCATTCAAATCTTCCGATGCATCAAAATTTAAGCCAATTAAGTTTTCATGTCTACGCGCATATTTCAGATCTTTTACGTTCATATGACCCAGTTTTCTATGCCAGTCATTAATACTTGATAAAGTCGTTGATTCCTTCGGAGGAGAACTTGTGACCTTATCATTAGTGACCAAATAGTTCCTTTCATGTTGATCTGGTTTCACATAGTAAAGACCGTCTTTTTGTTTATATGCCGTTAGTTTTATTCCATTTTTAGGGTTATTTACAGTTGCTTTATTGTTAGTAAATAGCACAGAACAACCAGCATCTGTCATCTTACTTACGGACAGTAAGTTGGTGCAAAGGTTCGGTACGTATAAGGTGTCTTGTAAGCGCGTTATTGCCTTACTGTTGCCATTTTTAGTTATAAAGGAAACTATTCCTTTACCTTTTATCTCTGCAGTGTACTCGTCCGTCGCAAAGTTAAGTTTTCTGGATGTACTATCTATTGTTTTAAATAAGTCTCGTTGATAAGTCATATGAGACGTGCAACCACTGTCTAATACCCATATGTTGTTTTTAAGTTTCTTATTATTTGTGTAAAGGCACTGCATTATGTAATTATTTTTATGAGAAGAATCAAATTTCTTAGCATGTTTACCTTTATTTTCCTTCCAGCAGTTTGAACAAATTTTATGGTGTTTGTGTTTAAAGATATTACCTCTTCGTTTACAAACTTTACACGATGCATATAAAGCTTCTTCTTGAATAGAGGATTCAGATTCGTCGTCATTGGTTTTATTGTGATTATGGCGAGCTTCATATTCTTCAATTATTTTAATTTTAAGCTCTTCAGGCTTAGGAAGAACATCTCGTGATTCAATAGCGACTCTGAAGTTCTCGTATTCTTTCGAGAGGCTGTATAGCATTAATATTGTTAAAAGGTCTTCATTGATAATTATGTCCATGTCTGCCAGTTTGTTAACTATATCCATGAATTTGTTTAGATGACTTTGTATCTCATGTCCATCTAATTTATTTAGGATTAGTTGTTTCAGTAAAAAAGCTTTACGGGCAGGTCCTTTGCTAGCGTAAATGTCTTGTAGTTTATTCCAAACGGCTTTTGCAGATAGGCATTTTTTAATTTGGTTAAGCTCAGAGGGAGAAATCATAAGAATTAGTTCCGATCTGGCTTGTCTGTCACCTTCTGTTTCAGCTGCACTTGGATCCTTACTTAAAGGACTTTCAATGTATTTCCATAATTTGTTTCTTACTAGGACTGCTTCAGACTGTATTACCCATGTATCATAGTTTTCTTTTGTTAGGGGATCTATTCTTGCGATCGACATTTTTTTTATTTCGCTTTTTTCTTTTTTTTTTTATTCCTTTTACTCAACGCTCTGCTACCATGTAAAGTTTTAATTAGTCGATATGAAAGATAGATCAGGATTTATGGTATTTCTTTAATATTAACAAACACCATAAATCCTGATCTATCTTTCATATCGACTAATTAAAACTTTACAATTCTCGTGGCATGTGATCTTGTCTTTGAGGAATGTAAGGGTTGCCATAACTATTTATTTATTTTATTCCATATCATTATTGTATCTTTACAGTAATTACTAATTCGATAGAACGACACAATATTTATACCCACACCAATTATATTATTAACCTAGATAAAAAACATTTAAAAAAAATATTTATAGGTATACCTAAATCTTATAACTAATAATATAGGAAGCAACTCTTGTAAACTCAGCCAGTGTACAAACAAATAGGTCTACCTTAACAGAAATTCTATTTATTATATGTATTGCTCGCGTGAGTGGCGCTTCGCTAACCAAGTTGGAATGTGCGCGCGGTACATCCAAAAGTTGAGACTTCCGCCTCAGGTTTCTACTTGGTACCCGTAGACTCAGTCTCTCCATTATATCCAGATTATGAACCCGACCCGTAAGTGTCTTAAATATATACACTGACAAAGCTAGCTCTTAATAGCTATAATAGCTTTGTTTATCTGCGATTTCTTTTAACTCCATTTCTGAAACTGCGTATATATTTTACTCTTTATAGCATAGTTATATTCAGAAAACTTCTTTACCGTTGCCGCAACTCTTTAAAAAAATGCATCTATTTCATTTTCTTTTTTGTTTTCCTTCTCATCTAATAAATATTTCATTAAAGTATGTGACGCTGAATTGCGTTCAATTTCGCAACTTTTTGTTTTTTTTTAGAATATTGGAAGTAACTGCAGAAGAATTTGGATGCGACGAAAGTGTAGAAGTTTCCGGTTCTACATTTTCTGGTGACTGAATGATGTTTATGGAGTTCTGTGAATCAGCATTATCATAGAAGCTAACATCTGAACTGGCATCACCTGTAAATGAAGAGATCGTATTTCTTTCTCATTACAGAGAAGGTACTAAAAAACTCATTTTATCTTCAAATGTCCACTTTGTAGTCGTCGTGGCTGCCTGACCACTTTTAGTTTTACGCTTCTTGATAGCTCATCGGTGGGTCTCTCTAAGATTCAACCAAGTTTTCTTGCATTCAGATTCTGAAATAAAATAAATCATGGTGAACTATGTTAAGCGTATGTTGGGCGTGTAGTTATGTAAGCTTATGTCTGTGTATGTGTGAAAGGAAGTGCGTACGTACACACACATACTCATATCCATTTCCGCATAGTCACGCACACACGTATTGTTGTTTATTCAGTGGGTTGGGTTCTTGTAAATAAATTGAGTCCGAGTTGACAGAAATGTTTGTTTAATTTGAACAGTCTTTCAAAAGGTACCTTTTGAATCATATAACATGTTTTGATTAACAAAACTCTCGCAAGACAATTGTTGAAATATTTCACAATACTTAACAAGAATTGAGATAACAAAACTTCGGAGCCTCTTTCTTTACAATTTACTTGCTTACTCCCTGACAATGAAGTAAATGCTAATGTCGCTTGCCAACTTAAAATAAAAATTTCATGTCTACCAACTACATAATACAACATAATAGGGATGGGATTGGGTTAGGTTAGGTTAGGTTAGTTGATCAAACTTCAACACGTATAGACATATGTACTATTCAATATATTTTTTATGTTGCAGGTACCTTAAAACTGGATGTGCAAATGCAGCTACACTGAGCTGTTTCGCATAATTTTCTTGAGTTGTTGTTCTTAGACTACAAATCGTGTGGAATTTGGAAGCAGTTAAGTACCATCCGGTAGTCATACCAATTTTTATTTAAAAATTGTTCGCATGTCTCATGCTCTATTTTCTTTACAATAAGCATGATCGCATTCCACTGCATAGAGATTTGCTGTCTCGTACCTCTGTTTAAATGGCATTTTCGGCGGGCGATTTAGGATCAAATCTTTTGTTATATTCTTCTTTCTCCACTGGCATAGAGCATGGGGAAAATAATGTATTTTCCACATTTCGTTTCATTGGTAGCTTTGAAGATTTCAAAGGAGATACAGTGAAAACTTTTTCTGTTGGCACTTGGTGTTTAATTATAATTTTTTCACGCACCATATGCTCTATGGCAAAGGGCATTCGTACCACACATTCATATTGAGAATTTCTATCTATCCTCGATCGATTCACAGTCCTCGACATCACTTTGAACATTATCTTCTAAAAGATTATATTCGGATTAACCCGACCTTTTCTTCATCACTTTGTTCGTGTAATAATTTATAGATTTCTGCATCAGTGAGTCGTGTATGTGACGCCATTAGGCGGTTTTGTTATGACCTCATGAGTGCATTTAATATCGGTAAAAACAACACAATTCATAATTACAACAGTTAAATAAAGTCACACTAAAGATAACCACCATAAGTCATTTCGACGTACAGTAGGTATTTATAAGGTCTAATGAGACACTGGCCGTTTTACATAGAATCGTAGATAGTTTTGAACTTAAAGTATAAATAAAGCAAACGGTAATATTACGGCAGTGCTTCCAGATCCCAAAAGTAAAATAACAGTGTTGTCAGCTAAAAAATATAGTAGTTTCTTAAAACAAAACAGCAGATTCCAAAATCGATTACAGTAAAAGTTTGTTTAAATATTAAAAGAAAAGATGATGAATTAATTTATTTGTAAATACATATCATTGTAAGTTATTATTAAATAATTTCCTCATGATTTTGATAAATTTTTGCCGTCATCTTCAAAATCATTTCATTAGTGACATAAAATTTGACGCAGTTTTCAAAATTTCGACGAATGGCTTGCTGAGCTAACATATTTCCTATAATAGTATTTGTGATCAGACTTTGTTTTTATATTATTAATTTCACTGAACTTGCGTTCGAGTGAGGCAAAGATAATACTTGCAGCATAAATCGAGGCATTAAATGGAATTTAATGTCTCCGTTACTATCTTTCATTTGAGATAACTGAAATAAAAAACAAATTTGTGTAATGTGAACATAAATATGTGCAAAATTATGTAAATAGAGTTCTTATATAATTACATTTTACCTGATGCCAAAATAAGTCTGCTGGTTGACTTGTATTCCAATGTATATCATTCGCAATAAAAATCAAGTTTCTCCATTCGTCATCTAAAGTCTGTTGATCATTTAAAGTTGGGGGTTTCAGCCTTGGTAACACTGGGTACAGTGAAAACAAAGACTGTTCTCTATTATCTGCTAAGCAAGAATCAAGATTCAACTTTGCGATTGAGCTCAAAACTGGGTCATTTAAACTGTATCTTTTCCGAATAACTATAAAAGTTCTCTGTATAGCTCAGTCATTTTGTTATGGGCTTCAATAGGTACTATTTTTGAAATAATTGTAAATCAGTCGAGTCAGTTTTTCTGCATCATGAGGAAATTCTTTGCGGCAAGCGTATGAGGCACATAAATGTAAGGAATGGCATAGACATTTTAGCACGATAATACCTGGGCACAGTTGTCTAAACCGTGAGGACACTGAATTACGACAGCCCAACATAGTATTACAGCCATCTGATCCAAATCCGATTATATTTTCTAAAGGTATATTTCCGTCTTGAAATGATTTTATTATTGAATTAAAAAAAAATTCAGCCGTAGCTGAGTAATCACCAATCAGTCTAATTAAAAATTTGAACAAGATCCCAGAATCGATTTACTATAACGCCCTGAACTAAGATCATAATATTTGACTACAGTACACATTGTTTTCACACTGGCCTTTCATCTACCATTATAGAAAACTTTTCACGTTTCAAATCTGCTACTAAATATTCTCTCTCTTTTAGAAGCTCCGATGACGTTGTTTACTACTACTTGTAGTAAACAACGGCTAGTATGCTTAAGATTAATGTTACTTGCAATTTTTGGAAATTTTTGGAAGTAAATCAACAAGATGGTCCATCACTATGTGGGATATTTTATGTTCTGCCATAAAGGCCGATAATTTTATTTCCGCAATTTTCCGTCGCTAATCATCACTTACACGTTGCCGACTCTTAAAAATATTATCAATGGTACGGACATACGGTTTCCCAGGAAAACGAAGTTTATGTTTAGCACCTTCACCGTGTCTTTTAATAGCACCTAGATGGCAGTTAATGAAGAATCGCAGACAGTGCAATTACATTTATAAGCAGTTTTTTTGTCATAAAATGAAAGACGAGACATGCGGATTTTATTTTTTGAAGATCACTCCGTCAAAATGTTTTCCATCGCGACGTACACACTCGCGGAATCTTTCGAGAGTATTCTGAGTGACGTGTTGAAAAACTGACCGAGGAATAGCATTCACTTTTCGCACGATATTTTCTTTTAAATTCGACAAATCAGTCGGTTACTGTTGTACACTTTTCCCTAAGTAAACAGATAAAAAAAATCTAATGGGGTGAGATCTCGCCATGCGATGTCCGCAAATCGGCTAATCAATTTTCCGGGGAATTCTTCGCGAAGGAGGCTCATGGTGGCTCTTGCTGTGTGAGGCGTGGCGCCATCTTGTTGAAACCACGTGTGAGAGCTGTTCGATGGATATTCTCTTAGTTTCGGTATAAAATACTCATTAAGCTTTCGGCCATAGACATCACCATCAACAGTTACGGTTGCTCCACGAGAGTTTTCGAAGAAAAACGGTGCAATTATTCCAATGACAGAAAGAGCTGCCCAAACAGTTACTTTTGGGCTAAGCAATGCTTGTCGGTGTTTCAATCGCGGGTTTTGTCCTCTTGGCGCCCAATAGCGACAGTTTTGTTTATTGACATTCAACCGTTCAGCTATTGCTACACACTCCCTCTAGAGGGGTGTGTTTAAGCCCGTTCGGGGCTATGCCCTATTCGGGTGGAGTGTTGTCTCGCGCCCTGCTAATACAGGGCGGTACGGGGTCGAGATTATATCTCTTGGTGGGGGCTGCATCGCGCAAGGAGGCGTTGGCCTCAACTCGCTGCGCGCAGCTGATGGGGTCTCATCCGGGGTGTCAAGTCCGGTGGTTAGGGGCCAAGGAGTATTCTCGACTTGGCCCTGGTGTCTTAATAGTTGGTATCGGGCAGCTACGCGGCTCGCGGTCAAGCTCCGCCGGGTGAGACCCCCGGTGGCCCCGGGGGAGGCCCAGCGAGGCGACCAGCGGTCGTAGCCGCGGTTGCTGCCCTGGTGTCTTGTCCGGTGGTTAGGGTATCCGCGGAGAATAGCTCACGCGGATACTTGTACTTGTCAGGTGGCCTGGAGTGCCACGGCGCAATGTCCTTGAGGTGGGGATGTTGAGAGGCGTCCGCTCGATCGAACATCCCCTTGGTGAGCCGTTAGACGAACTCATCGATGGACTCCACCCTCAAGTCTCGCGCTATGGTGGCGTTCCTAACGTAGCGGGGGGCCCCCACTGCGCATCGTAGATTGATGTTTTGTACAGCGCGCAGTCTCTGGCGGTTGCACTCCTTTGTGTAGGAGTACCACGCCGGTGCCGCGTACGTTAGGTGTGGGCGCACATACAACTTGTACAGCGCGAGCTTGTTCCGGAGAGGTATGTTGCCGTTGAGTAGGGGGTAGAGCGCGTTCATCGCACCCTTGGCTCTCCCTGCTGCCCTGTTGACGTGGTGCCGCATTGTGAGTCGCCGGTCTATGGTGACCCCTAAATATGTGACCGGCGTCTTCCACGGCACGTCCTGATCCATAAATCGCAGGGGCGGCGGCAACATACTTTGGCCAAAGGCAATCGCCTGTGTCTTGGTTGGGTTGGCGGCTAGTCTCCACTTTTCTAGCCACTCTGGCAGGAGGTCCAGAGCGCGTTGGAGTTTCCCATGCCCCGTGTGGTGTGTGCCACTGTGCCTGCGCGCTTATTACGCGCCTCCTCCTTTAGCACAGGGCACGTGCTATGGTTCGCCGGGTGCGCCCCCTTGCAGTTGGCGCACTTCGGCGTTGCCCCCTTTGGCAGGGGGCAATCTGCGGTGCGGTGTCCCTCCCCGCACTTCACACAGGCTAAGGCCCGGTTGCATTGGTGCGAGGAGTGCCTGTACCCTTGGCACCGGTGACATTGGGCGGGGCCCCTTTTGCCCCGCCAGGACTCGATTGTGACCCCCGGTATACACAGCAACTCCTTGACGTTGTATATAGCGGGGGTGAGGTCGGGGGTGCGGCGCAAAATGACCAAGAAGATGCACCCCGGTCTACCCTTCCTGGCGCGTATGGGCTGAGCGTGTTCCGGCTCAAACCCGAGGTCGCGCAGCTCTGCCATGATGGCCTCGGGCTCCGTGTCCGCCGGAACGCCCCGCACTGCCACCTTCAGCTGCCTTTCAGCTGGAAGGGAGTAGGAATAGTAAACGACGTTGACGCCGCTACTTTCCAACTCCCCGAGGTACCGTTGTACCACACGGTACTCTTCCTCATCTTCGGGAATTATTTTTAACCCCTGTCCAAATGCGCGCGCGTTGATTGTGCGCCCGAGCCTTTTCTTCATCTCCCTGATGTGTACCGTCCAATCAGGGAGGGACTCGATTACAAAGGGCGGATACTTTAGTTTCAACGCGGCGGGGGGCAGGGGTGCGAGGGGGGGCCGGCGGGCTACTGCCGGCGAAGCAGTCGTCGCGGCGTACGAAATCGCCGCGTCTTGCGGCGTTGATTGAACCGTCGCAAGTGGGGGTGCGGGGGGGCACCGTGGTGGGCGTCATGCCCATGGGCGAGGCGGTCGTCATTATGTTTGTGTCCGCCGTGTCCTGCGGCTTTGTTTAAGCCGTCACTTGGGGTGCATTGAGAGGCACCGACGTGGGCGCCATGCTCATGGGCGAGGCGGATGTTGCTACAGTCGCATCCGTCGCGTCCTGCGGCTTTGTTAAAGCCGTCACTTGGTGGGGTGCGGGCGGCGCCATGGTAGGCGTCATGCCCATGGGTGCATCCGCCAGGCGACGACGACGCGGGTCTCTCTGCGACAGCGGCGCCAAATGTGCCTGCGGTTGCGGCGGCATCGTATATTGTGTGTCGATATTGGGCGGCGTCGTCTGCGCACAGACGCGCTTGGGTGCCGTCCCGGCGGCGTCCTCATAGAAGTCCTGCGGCGGCGGGCGGCGTAAAGAAAAATTTTGCGCATTATGTTCGTCGCATGATAGCGGTGACGTAAGTACACCCTGCTCCAGTAGGCGCCTGCGGGTCTGCGAGAGATACTCACACATGACTCGTGCGAGCCCGTCCGTTGCGTACCGGCCTATGAGTGTCTGCGCAACAAAAAGCGCATCCATCTCATATCCGGCCCGCGCGGATACGGGCTGCGACGGCCGCAGGTCGCCTTCCAGGTACGCGATCAACTCCTCGGGACGCGCCCATGGGCAGGGTTGTCACCTTGGTAAAAAAGGTCTTTACTTACTGGATTTGGATTTGTTTGGTGTGTTTGAGGTCGGTGCGGGGTGGCGAAAAGGGCGCTCTCGTCTGTCCGCTGCGGCCTTAAATCGCCTCCGTAGGCACTTAGACTTTCACTTTCACCAGTGTTCAATGTTATTTCACGCGTGACCATGGGGTCAGAAGTCGTACATAATGTTTTACGTTGGCCACTTATTATTATTTCCTCCGCGCGGGAGGGGTTGTGGGGGGCCGCTGCGACGGGGTATACGTCAGCCGTATACCGCGACGAGAGCTGTTCACTAGAAATGTTTTTAAAACCACTGTCTTCGGCTCCCGGTCCCGGGGCTCGATCGCTACGCGAGCGAGAGCCACTCGCTCGCTCCCTCGTACGGCGCAAGGGGCGAGACGGCGCCGTTCGGGCAAACGTGCCCGCGCGCCGATTCTGCTCCTCCTCCTTGCGCACCGGGCAAGACGAGTGGCATGCGGGGTGAGGCCCCCCGCAGTTGGCGCAGGTCGCCGGCACTTCCCTCGGCCTGGTGCAGTCAGCCGCGCGATGATCCCCCGCGCAGCGAACACCATTCGCCTATGACAATTCACCGACGAGTGCCTAAAAGATTGGCAGCGATGGCATTGCGCGGGACCCTTTTTCCCGCGCCAGGCTTCAATGGTGACCCCCGTCATATACAACAGCTCGGTAATGTTGTATATGGCAGGGGTGATGTCCGGAGTGCGCCGCATGACTGCAAGAAAAATGCAGCCGGGTCGGCCCTTCCTGGCCCGAATTGGGCGGATATACTCAGGCTCATATCCGCGGTCTCGAAGCGCCTGGGCCAGCTCCTCGGGGTCGGTGGTGACTGGTATACCCCGAATCGCCACCTTGAGGTCCTGCTCCGCAGGCAGGGAATACTAAATCCAGGAGACCCGGCGGTCCTCCTTCTCCAGGTCCGAGAGGTATCGCTGGACCACCCGGTATTCGTCGCCAGATTCGGGGGTGATGCGGTACCCCTTTCCGTGCGCCCTGGCGTTGGCCGTCCGTCCCAACAGCTGACTAATCCTCCCCAAATGATGTACGTAGTTCTCAATGACTATCGGTGGGTAATCCGACCTCTTTGGGGCCGCGGGAGCTCTAGGGGGCTGCGTCTGGACCGTCGGTGCAGTCACCATCCTTGCATAGGAGGGTGCAACCGGTGCTGAGGCGGCGCCGTCGTCAACGGGAGCGACGGGAGCGGCAGCGGGTCCCGGTAGTGAGGCGTCAATATCAATATCAGATGGTGCGGCGGGCGGTGGAACGGCGCCAGGCGGCTGAGCCGATGGCCCTCCCATATCGAGGCGGCGACCTGGCGCCAGCCGAGGGTCGCCAGGGAAGCCCGACGCACTTTTAGTATTAAAGGATACGCATGGGCGCTTTGCCGCGGACTCACCCTCCTAGCCAGGGTCCACGGCTGAGAACGGGCGGCGCACGGGGGTGACCGGGGTGCGCGCTGGCAGACGTCACTCTTCGCGGACCAGCGCCAACTCCCGCTGTTCGGCGTCCGTCAGTGGAGACTCCAAAACTCCGCTGTTACGCAGCGCCTCTTCACGTGACTTGGCGTAACGGGCCATAGCGCGCAGCATCCTCCGCGACGCGAACGAACATGCGGCCGACTGAGCCAAAAAGATCAGGTCGGACTCGAATGCCGTCCGCGGCGAAGACGCGGCACTAGGACCCGGGTCGTAGCCTACTACATGTGACGTCGGAGAGCGAACGATGTCAGGAAGAGGCAACGCCCGAGACAGCGACGGTCAATACAATAAGCACACCGAAAGCTATTCTTAAGATGCTCAAGGTGGAGATATACGGACCGGCTGGGAGCAAACAAGTACTGGCGCTGCTAGATGAAGGCTCAACGGTGACACTGCTTGATGAAAACGTGGCTTCGAGCATCGGCATCCAGGGTCCCCGCGAAACCCTGAATATAGAAACTATCGGCGGAGGGCAAATGAAAATCACGACTCCATGATTTTAGATATCGAAGTGAAAGGGATCAAGCAAAGCGAGAATAGCACACTTAAGCGGGCAAGAACTATCAAGGAGCTCAAATTGACCCCACAACACGTTGATAAAACCCGACTAAAGAAGTGTAATCACTTGCGGGGTTTACTGCAAGACGTGTGCTACGAAGCTGAGGCGCCGAAGCTGCTCATTGGCCAAGACAATTGGGAATACATTGTCTCGTTACAAATACGACGTGGAAAGCCAGGGCAGCCGGTGGCGTCACGAACAAAGTTAGGATGGGTTCTCCACGGCTCCGACAGCAGCGGCGTGTCTCCGATCAATTATGTGAACACATGTGCACACGCAAACGTCGTCGAAGACAAAATAGATCAGCTGGTGAGGGAACACTTCACTATTGAGTCTTTGGGGGTTCAGTATATAGGACAGCGAGCACTAGACATATTGGAAAGAACCAGCCGACAGTTGGAAGATGGCAGATACGAGGTCGGACTGTTGTGGAAAAAGGAAGACATACAACTTCCAAACAATTACGCAGCAGCTTTCAACAGATTTCAAGGGATAGAAAAAAAGCTGCGTAAGGACGCTAAATTAAAAAATGAATATAGCGCGCAGATAGACAATCTGTTGAAAAGTAACTACGCTGAAGAAGCACCAGCCGACTGCACATCCAACAAAAAATGGTACCTGCCTCACTTCCCAGTGGTTCACCCTCTGAAAATGAAGCTGAGAATTGTCTTCGACGCTGCGGCCAAATACAACGGAGTCAGCCTCAACGACGTTCTGCTGTCCGGCCCGGACTTACTACAGTCAATATTTGGAGTGCTACTGCGATTCCGTCAAGGCCCTGTAGCAATAGCGGCCGATATAAAAGAAATGTTTCTGCAAGTGAAAATACGTGAAGAAGATAGAAATAGTCTCATATACCTTTGGCGAAAAGACAAGGAAGCGCTAGTGAAGGATTACAGAATGTTATCAGTGGTTTTTGGAGCTGCGTCGTCGCCTTGCACTGCGATTTATATAAAAATTAAGAACGCAAAGGCCTTCTTACATAAATATGAAGAAGCGGCGCAAGCAATAGAGCGGAAGGACTATATGCATGATCATTTGCATAGCTTCCACAGCCACAGCGACGATTACCAACGAGTAATACAGCAAGTCGACTTGATCCATACGAAGGCACACTTCGAGTTACGAGGATGGGCGTCGAACTAAATAGAGATCGTTGAAGACGACACCGAAGCGCGGAAGAGCTACCTAGAACAAATCGGTAGTAAACAAGACATCCAGCTGCCGCGATGTATGACAACATTCTGCACTGAGGGGGAGCTGCATACTTTTACTGACGCGAGGGAGACGTCGTATGCAGCCGAAATATATATCTCTATGCCAAGGCTTGAACTGCAGGCAGCCTTGTTGGAAGCAGAACACATGGTTAATTCTAGACCAATAACCAACCTAGCTGACAATTCGGAAGAGGAGGCGCTAACCCCAAATCACTTTCTCATTGGGCGATCCAGTGGAGCTGCACGCGTTGGGTATTTTCCTGATGCAAAGCTGGTGGGCAGAGAAGATTGGAAGACCGTCCAACGACTCTCTGATCACTTTTGGAGGAGATGGCTACGGGAGTACATGCCCACACTACTGCCCAGGAAAACGACAGGACGACGGGAAGGCGAGCAGCTGCAGCCAGGCGACGTGGTTCTTATCGTAGATCGCACGCTACCACGATGCACTTGGCCGAAGGGAATTATCGAAACGACGTGCCCCGGGCCCGACGTAAGAACCAGGATCGTGGACGTCGCAACCAACGGTGGAGTGTTACGAAGACCATCGTCGAGGATCGTGATCTTGGTGCCTGCGAAGTCGCCGTGCAGGAATGAGGGTGCTACGCACGAGGGGGAGAATGTTGGCGACTCATAGATTTAAATAGTATTAAGTATGAGCTATAGGTTAAATATGAATATTGTTTGCAGCTCGTAAGTGGTAATTAAGTATGAGCTATAAGTAAAATAAGAATATTGTTGATAGCTCATAAGTAGAAATTAAGTATAAATAAGTTAGGTAAAATATGTAAAGAAAAATATTATTTGAGTAACTTGTTTTATTTTGCTATCAGTACATTCCCCCCATCACATTTTTCGAATTAAATAGTCAGATGCAAATTCGCTTCGATCCCAAGCAATGAAGAGCAAACATACTACAGTCCAATGTTTAAATGCATATGCACCTAAGTCCTAAATATATTTCTAAATTATGATAATAATAACGTGAATATCATTATTTTCGGTACTGTTATTTAAATCCTCAGTTCTAATTAATGTACCAATAACAGAATCTGGCCAAAATAACAATTCCTTACACCACAGTAGAATATTGCAAATAACTCAGTTTAAGTGTTTTGTGACTGAAGCGCCTTTGCTTTTATACCCCTCATATCTTATGCAAGTGTTGCCTTCACAAAACAAGTCACCACCAACAGATTTCCCTTCACTCCCACCACCAAAACCTGTAAATAATTGTGCTATTATAAATATCCCTGCAAATAAGTATGTACAAGATGTAAATAAAGTTAAAATAGTCAATTATAAAGAACAAAACTCAAATAATTTCCAACAACAATGTACTTATGACCCTAGTGCAGACATTGGTGGAATTATCCAATAAAGATGACAGTACACCCACTAATATTAAAACTATTAAAGATACATAATTCTTAACATAATGGATTGTGTAATGTTCTACACAATCCAAGCTATGTATTGATCAGTATAACAAAGTGCAAATAGTAAAAAACCTTTATTAATCCCATTTTTGAAACAGCAAAATATTTATATTTGCTGTCTTAATGAGACATGGTTCAAAGATCATAATTTTAAAATACCAGGATATAATATTTACTATATTATGTTATAAATTAAAACAGTGCATATAATGGAGTTGCAATACTGATAAAACCATACCTTTACCATACCAAGTATATATATCAAATACCAGATTCTATAAAGACATTCAAACAGTTGCTGTATCAGTATCAACTGGACATAGTAGTTTAACAATTCTCTGTATATACTGTCCACTTTCAAGTTGGTGTATAGGAATTAATAGACCCGTTATATTATTAAAGATTTACCAAAGCCCATATTTATCAGTGGTGACTTTAATGCTCATCATATTGCACTTGGTTGTCAGTCAACCAAAGGTAGAGGTCAGCAGTTCTTTAATTTAATTGAGGACTTAGATTTGTATATTTTAAATGACGGTATACCTACAACTATAAATCGCCTTAGACAAACTGCTTCTGCCATTGATGTAAGCTTCATCAGTGTACCAAATGTAATGTCAGGAGTAATATAACTACTTTAAGTGTTTTTAATTTTTAATTTATTTTTCTATGTTTTTAATTAACATGTTGCCTGTCCAGAGTATTTTGGTCAAGTAGCGGTGACGTCGATCCTATACAGTGAGGACAGTTCCACTTTATTTCGAAATTTAGGGCTACTGTTTAACATTCTTCTTCATCCTTTGATACCTTAAAAATTACCAATGTTGTTTCAGAATGCCACCAATATTGAGGAAAATATTGATATTGATACAGCATTCATGAGTTTACAAGGAAATTTATCCCAAAACATTGAAGCAGATCTGCAGCCTAGCACTGCCTGAACATCAACAAATATCGCCACCTAGCTCTCCCTCATTAACGTCTCAATATGGTGTATATGGAGATCAAACAAGAAAAAAGAAAAAAAAGGGGTCTTTAATACAGTAATGTATTATATAAAGCAGTCTAGGGAGTATACGACAATCAACAGGTTACTCAAGAGGCATCAATATCATTGACACCGGATATTGATCTAAATACTAATTTTCAGTCTGCATATGACAATCAACGTACAATCCTGAGCCATCACCAGTAGCACTGGCTACTCAACATGAGCCAATAGAAATAGGGATGATGAAAGTCAATTTGTTTTGGTGGTTAAAGGCAAATGCAAACCATGAAGTACTAATGAATAAATACTATCTCCGTTTGTATTAGTTGACTCATTAAATACCTATTCTGATAAACAGGAAGAATATTTTGTTTACAACCTACATCGACACTTAACGACTAGGTCTCTAATTATTACCTTTATGTGATCTTCCAATACTTCAAATAAGTAGATTAGAGACCTGTATGAACCACCAGTGGCTAAAAACCTTAATGTGATTATGCAGGCGCATTCTTGGTGAAACACTATCTTGGTAGTTGGTATCCTCTTTTTGAATATATTGTGTAAATAGTAGTAGTAAATGTTGAAAGTCCTCAGTTGACATTCTGTGTAGTTTATAAATAAAGCACCATCTACCTTAAATTTTGTTAGTAAACAGACCATGGGTCATTCTAATCTTCATTTCCACCAATGTTTCTTCTTTCCATGTTTAGCTGCATGGCTTTGTAGTACTAAATAAGCAGCTGCTAAAGTTACTTGATCAGCTATATTCTAAGATGTATCCCGTCGATTGAACAAGTAGGCAGACCAGTAACACTCCATAAACAGCACAATGCTTTGGAAATTATCCAGACACTATTGCTTCGGCGTAAAATAGGCTGCTGCTTTCTATTTGTAGCATGCCACAAGCCTTATTATGATTACTGTTGATTACACCTACCACATTTTTAAATTCAGCTAGAGTTTCAAATTAACTATCAGCTGGTCATTCACAGACATGGGCATTTTAAAATAATCAAATCTTTTCTCTAATATTGCCCTTGCTACTTAATGGCATACTGTAGAGCCAGATTGCTGAGTTAGACCATGAATGTCTGCAGCATCATCTTGCATCTGAAAGTTAATAAAATAATATAAAAATAGTATATTATAAGGAAAGATATAATCAATATTTTATGTTCAGGTATAAAGTACTTATACATACTTGGTTGCGACCCCAACATATCAAAGCTATCAATATCTGAAGAACAGAAGATAAACCACCCCCACGTTTGTCTTGACTTTCATTTGTTTCATTTGGAACGACAGTGACACAATTGCAAATTTATTATTTTACACTACACCATTATTAAATTTTTTCGTAACACTTATGAAGATTTTATATATTACTTACAGCTAATGGCTACCTCTATTATTTTACCTTTGTAGTTTGAACATTAAGCACAATAATAGTTTTTTTTTTAAATAATCTTTCCATAACTGAGGGAAAATAAAAAAAATCATTTTAATACTTACACTTGCGTCGTTGTTACCCTAGAAAATGAAAGTTCTTGGTAGTTATGACTTTGGTTGTCTTAATATAAAATGAAACAAATTTTGATTGATCAATACAAGTAGCTTTATTTCAATTAAAAATTACAATCACAGTCAATGCCGACTTAGAATTGGCAATTAAACAAGGTACAATGTCGCAGAGCTTTATCCTAATGACAGTTTAATAATTATGAACTATTCAATAAGTACCTACTAAATGACATCATAGGATACATGCTATTTTTTATCAGTCTTACCCGTTTTTATCTTTATGGCACAGAAAAGTCACAGATGTTTACTACACTTACACTATATTCTTAAAATCTATAACCCTGCACTTGCAAAAAGTTACTCCTAAACGTTAAACTTACTCAATATAATTATAAACCTTATAATCAATGGAATGTTAGACCACTTATTAAACCATAATTGTTGTGACGTACTCAAAGGACTTCTGTGAATGACAATTATTTAGAAATATTAAAATAGACAACAGATAAAAATATTTAAAACAAACTTTCGTAAAATCCAGAATAGCATCTTGGAATAATATTTTTTTGTAACAAAGTCCGCAAATCCTGTTTTTTTGATCAGAAATCGTTAGTTTTGAATTATAAGCTGCTCTTAAACGTATTTCACTAATGTGTAAATTATTATCTGATCGAGTTTTACGCGTATTAATGGTTGCTTTTGATTTTACTGATATCCATTCACCCTCATAAGAATATTTTAAATCATAAGTCTCACTATTTTTTACAAATCGTATAGATTTTATTTCAGATAATTTAATCTGGTTACCTTGCAGATCTTTGTTAACATTTAATGTAATATCCTCAAACAACTTTTTTAAATCATAAAAATCGTCATAGTTCAATTCGTTAACTACAAAAGCATTTCCAGTTTTCTTTGAGTCTCGTATAAGTTGAACATACTGGTAAGGAATTTAGATAGGACCAGACTTTTTGCTCTTTTAATTGACTTTTCGATTAGCGAAGAAACATTGTCACCCTCATTTTGTGTGTGGCCACGAATCAAATATTTATGGGTAATCGATTTTATTGGAAGAGTTTCAACGGCGTAATAATACATGCCAACCAGGAATCTAGAAGAGCAAAATATAGAAATTGATCAAAGAAATATTTTGATATTTTATTTTTTTAGAAAAATAATGACAGTGAACTTACCTGTTTTTCTGCTGACCACAGCAGTTGTCAGAGTAGAATATTATATTGCTATTTGGATAACGTTCGGCAGTCTCTTTCAGAAATTTCTATTGCCAAGTCCCTCGTGCCAGAAATAGCAATTAGTAATGTTATCTTTTATATTTGTAATCTGTTAAAATAGTTAAAATATTAGTATTTATATATAGGTAGTTACACACGTATAGAATAGGGAAAATACAAACCGTAAAATTTAAACAGTTTAATTTAGATTTGTAGAAGAACGCTTAACTATTACCAATAGGTACAGGCATAACTGCCTGTAAATCATATATTGCAACGACAGTTTCTTCATTTTCTTTTACCAACTCTATATCCTTCGCTTTCTCTTCCCTACTTAATGTTTTCTGCTTTAGGTGTTCTTTGTAACATTCTTTTAATTTGATTTGGTCTTCTCTAGTGGCATTTTTTAAGACTCGCAGAGATCGCACTGATCTTTTTTGGGTGCAAAAAACTAAAAATTAAATTCAGTGTTGAAAATTCGGTAGTATACATATCAAATGTTGCTGATGGCATTGTTCCTCTAATAGATACATAATTACTATGCAACTCTTTAACAGTAAGACCTCCATCAATACATTCACGAGTAGTGTTAGCTCGAGTATAGTGACTCTCAATTCTAGGTACAGAATGAATGTGATCGCGAACCGATTGTAAGATTTCCGGGTTTGTTTGATTATAATGCCCATGTTTGCCACGTTTATCTTCTGGGATCACACCTGTACTACAGCTATTTCTACCTTCAATAACAGTTCGCAATGTTCTCTCGGATATCCCCAAAGTATTGATAAAAAAAAATTACACACTCGGTTACTTTCGCCATTCACCGTGAAATGAAAAACACAATTTTGTTTCCTAGTTTTGGCAGCTCCTTCTTTTACTCGACGGTAAGGGACTTTTAATGTTGTTAAACAGGAGTTGAAAAAATCACGCTGCCTTTGCAGCGTTCCCAAGCCCCAATAACAATCAAATATTTCCTGTCTTTGTCCTTCCGTTATTTTATTACGACATTTGAGTCTACATTTTTCTGTACATGGTAATTTAATAGACTTTTCTGCGACAGTTTTGCCAGTTCTAGATATGTATTGTTTTCCAGAGTTACGTTGTCGTTTTCGTACATTCTTTATCCACGCAGATTCATTCCGAACTCTCTTCTTTCCTTTTTTGGGTACAGTAGTCTCGGCACGTAGCGCTACTACTTGGCTGGCATCCTAAAATTGGAATTTCTGACCGAATCATGAGTAGTCGATGTCGATGTTCAGCTAGAAGTAGAATCAGATGAACTGGACGATGAAGTAGAACACGAGGAGCTCGTCGATGAGGTAGATGATGATGATGATGAATTTATACGGCCACGTTTTACAGATTGCTCTGGTTTATATTCGTCACCACTATCATCTGCAGAAAAGTCTTTAGTTTCGCCTTCACTACCATTTTCGTCGTTAGCTAGGATTGGTGGCGAATTTGTATTATTTAGGGAAGATATAATATTTTCCGTCACAGTTAATGCTGTTTGGTCTGCAGGACTTTGGTACTCGTTTTAAGCGACATCTAGCAACAGGTCCCTTTTTCTTTGAAGTGTAAATGTGTATGGGAAGATCTGCAAGAACTGTGTCGTGAGTGTATCGTGGTGCTAACTTCTGTCTACTTGCTAAGGGGTTCTTAATAAAAACCAGCTGGTCGGGTAAATATTCAGTTTCTGGCTCACGATTTTTATTTTAAGGACCCACAGCGGTCAAATTGGGAGGCAAGCGACAGTGAGTCCGCTCCCAGCATTTTCAAGGACCCACAGCGGTCAAATAGGGAGGCAAGCGACAGGAAGTCCGCTCCCAGCACTTTCAAGGACCCACAGCGGTCAAATAGGGAGGCAAGCGACAGTGAGTCCGCTCCCAGCATTTTCAAGGACCCACATCGGTCAAAAAGTATATCAGCGTCCTTTCATCCTAGAAGAAGGCAACGGACGTTTTTATCTTCCTTCAGCATAATAACTAAGTAATCCCTTTCGAAAAAGATTAACAGGGATCAGAGTCAACAAATATTTACGTTTAAGGGGGATCTTATTTCAAAAACATTAGGGGTATACTGGAACCCGAAGGAAGACTGCTTTATGTTTCAATCATCATTTGATTTCTCGAATAAAACAACCAAAATGTACGGTTCCTGGATCATCAGGGGTTCGAAATAATAGAATAATTTTAACTTACTCTATATTTATCACTCGCGTAATACAATAGAATATGAGCGAAATAATAATTATGTTAATTGCTATATAATGAGTGCAATCTAACAAACAGAGAGAGTTCCGACGTCTGGCTATGCTCCCGGGGTGAAACTCCAACGATTTAGGAAATCGTCATGCTTATAAGTTATAAGTGACCAAACCGTACAGCCAGGGCACGTACTTACATAATAAAAACATCACGCTTGTAGATGATTGGAATGCAAGAGCCCTGGCACGTACTTACATAATAAAAACATCACGCTTGTAGATGATTGGAATGCACGAGCCCTGGCACGTACTTACATAGGGAATAATTAAACTTATAAAACTAAGGAAGCCTGAGCGAGCAAAATGTACAGCCTTGGCTCGTACATACTCCCCCAGACAAAAGTGCAAGATGAATATGTAGTGCTTTACAAGATGAATCCATTATATTATGCTTAACAGTCTCTAGGAAATGCTTAAAGTCTTATGCTAACACTTCTTACACCATTCCACGGCACTTATCATTAACACTAAGACCTATAGGAGTCCAGTACCGGCTGGGTTCTTTGGAGTCCACTGCGAGACTGGCTGCCACTGCTTCCGCCAATGCCGCTATCGATGTTTCCTGCTGCACATCAGTGGTTTTCTGTATTGGCATCATTGCTATGCCTGATGGTATCTGCCTGACAGGTGCTACCGTACCTCCGAAATAGTAGAATCGCTCCTACCACGACGAAAATGCCGCAAAAAGGAGTATAAGGCAATATACTGATGTACGTCGTGGAATGTCACACTGCTAATTATGGGAGCTTCCTTCCGCATATGTTCCAGATCCGCGCCTATTTTCTCAAGGCTACTAATGGTGTAGTTATTTCTTGAAATTCCAATAACATCCGACGATAAAGACACATATTTTATCATATTATTGATTGAATCCATATACGGCGAATACACTATTGGTCCAGTTTTGAGCACATTCTGATAATCATTATGAGCATAAATGACACCTTTTTTGTTTCGTAACATGCAACCATAACCTATGCTTATTAGTCCAGTCGTATTTAATTGCTCTGCAGAAATTTGATCGCCACACATAATATGTAACGGACACCGGTCACAACAAAAGTATAAATATGTATTCTTTCTATTCAGGTCAATCCATTCGTTATCGCATGGCATTTTCTCAAATTGACATTGGTTTTTTATTCCTGTCTTACATAAGCTATCTTCTGCCTTCATATGATAAAAAAGCTTAGGTAAGTTACAATAATAAATATCGGAATAATAATCACAACTTGATAGTAATTGATTTTCTGACATTTGTATATATTAATTTTTTTCTTTGTTTATTGCGACGAGATCTGAAATAGGGACAATTTTGACCATTGTCAGTGTGTCACTCTTATAAGGAACAGAAATCACCTTATATATTTCAAAATCATCTCGGCTGACAAGTGGAACCGAGATTTCCAATATTAACTGCTCCTGAAGCATCCTTGCTTTAACCCTTAGAAATTTATATATATTACCAAATTGTGTTTGACCATTAGTAATGGGCAAAGAAAGATCTGTTGAAATATGATTAGATATTATATTTAACTCCTTGCGCAATTGTTCCGAAGTAATAAGGTGGAAATTAAATCGACTATGGTAAATATCTGTGATGATGTCAATTAGATATTTCTGCATATTTTTTAAATTAGCAAGTACGTTTGTTGCTGAGATGCTGTCAAGTGTAAACTGAGTAATACGCTCTAGACTATTGATTTCAGTAACTTGAGTACTAATAGCCTTCTTCACTTCGTTTGCGTGTCGATTTATTAATTTTCGTAAATTATAATTTTCTTCCTCTGACCGCTTCATGAGATTGTATTCCGCTTCCAGAACAGACGTCTGATTTTTCCACAGGTTTGCCAAATGCTGCTCATTCTCTTTAACTAAAGTGATATCCCTTTGATATTGCTCAGCGAATGACTCATCCAATACTCCGAGGGCGTGTGCTGCGTAACCGACACCGTTGATAAGGCCGCGCCGACGCCGCTTCGAGCGCGTGCCCGGGTGCTGTGTAAGCAACACCTGATCGTAGTATTTGAGTTCCTCGAAGCCGTGACGTAATTGATTCATAGTAATTTCGCAATGTGTTTTTTCATTGAGGGCAGAACACATGCCTTGTAAAGTTTTAAAATATTGTTCGAATACCTTTTCTCCTTCCCAATAGGGGTTCATGTCATAGTAAACAACGATTTTCCATTTTTCTTGAATTAATTGCATATTGCTTATTTTGTCTAAGTATAACCCCTTATTATTGTTGAATGTACTTATATTATAATTTGTCGGTTGCGTGGCTGATACGTATGTTATGAAATATATGAATGAAAGCATTATCGTTAAGACGTTACCAAGACCCTTTCGTATTACGGGCCGTGGTTTTGTTGATATGTGTGGCTCCTTCTTTTCGGCTGCTGCTTTACTATTCACTGGTAAGGGACTTAATTTGACATTAGGACGTTTGATTATTGCGTTCTTTGTCTTTAGCGAGACTACTCTTACGATATTGTCAGTGCCCGGATGTAACTCTACAACTCTGCCCATATCCCACTTTCCAGGAGGTAAATTAGCGTCGTGAATGGCAACTAAATCTTGTAATTTTAAGTCTCGTGGTTTTTGCCATTTACTACGGGATGTCAAGGTGGGCAAGTATTCCGACTGCCACCTCTTCCATATATCTTGGAAAGTTTTCTCCACTAAATACCATCTTGTTCGTAAGTCATTCTCGGTGGGCAACAATGAAAGTGTCGGCCTACCAGTTAAGAAATGAGCGGGTGTTAGAAAGTTTATGTCCTCCGGGTCTTCTGAAATTGGACATAAAGGCCTAGTATTTAAACAGGTTTCTAACTGCGATAAGAGTGTTGCGAGCTCTTCATACGTGAATTTTTGATCTCCGATTACCTTCTTTGTATGAGCCTTAAAACTTTTTACAGCTGCTTCCCATAATCCGCCAGCAGAAGGCCATGCAGGTGCATTGAAATGCCAGTTTATTTCCATGTCCGTAATTGTGGTGGCGAATTGTTCACTTGTGAATGCTCGTTTTAACTCGTTATACTCGGCGTCAAGTATACGATTGGCACCAATAAAATTTGTGCCATTATCACTATAAATATGTTCCGGAGCCCCTCTTCGGGCCGCCATTCTTTTTAATGCTGCTAGAAAAGCCGAAGTAGTTAAGTCAGATACTACTTCTAAATGCACCGTCTTTGTAGCCATGCATATGAATACAGCTATGTAACCCTTTGTGCACTTGATACCTCGTCCTTTGCTACTCTTTATTAGGATAAATCCCGTTAAATCAACTCCCGTATGCTTAAACGGTCGTGTTGGATTACACCGAGGTTCGGGCAAGTCGCCCATTAATTGATATTGCATCCGAGGGTTATTTTTAACACACGTTACACATAACCTTAATCGCCTCTTTACTGCTCTATTACCGCCCACAATCCAGTACTTCTGTCTGATAAGTGATAATGTTAGGCGAGGGCCGCCATGAAAAGTAAGCTTATGCGCTTGGTCTATTATTAAGTCAGTCAGCCTACCAGTATGCGAAATTATGATTGGATGTTGCATGTCTTTACTAATAAAGGCATTTCGTAACCTTCCCCCCACACGAAGAAGGCCATCCTCTCCAAGTTATGGATTCAATCTAATCAGTTTGCTTTTATTAATGTTCTCCTTTCTTCTCAAGTTCTCAATTTCATAGGAGAATTCGTCTTCTTGTACGTGACGAATTATCTTCCATTTTGCTTCTTTGATTTCAGCTATTGTAAGATGCCGTACCCTTCTACCCTTATTTTTTGGTAACAGCCGTAATATCCAGGCAACTATTCTGATTGCACGTGAGAAACTACTGCAATTTTGTACGATTCCTTTTACTGTGCTATCCATACCTTGTACGAAATTAACTAAATATAGCTTTTTCTCTTCTTCCTTCGAAAAATATTACGGAGTTTCTTCGTTATTCTTATATAAAGGCAGCCATGATGGACCACTCCACCATAGAGAGTGCCTTTCCAGTTGTTTAACGGAAACACCCCGACTGGCGCAAGTTGTAAAGGTCTGTCAATTGGAAATACAATGTCTTCGTCTGTCATATTTTCAACTTCTACTATACCAGTCCAATCAGTCACATTAGTAATGCATTCGTGAATAATGATATTACTTATTAATTGTTCTGTGATAAACACGTCACCATCGTCATGATGTAACGGTATACCAACTAAACGAGGTGATTTCGCTGGTATTGTTTGTTCTGTGTATCTTTTACATTGATAACACAATAAAGGGATTTTTGCATTGTCAGTGATTAATATATCGTCTCTAAAATCAATTCTGCAGTTTTCGAATAAATCTTATCCTATCAAACCATCAAAATAATTATGAAATTTATAGATAAATAGTTTTATATTTTTGATATCATTAAATTCAGGAAAACTAGGAATTGATATTGAATGTTCATGAACGCTTGTTAATCTAGAATTAGTGACTTCAAAATTATAGTCAACATAATCATATTCATTAAATTCATTTCATTAAATTCGTATTCATAATCATTAAATTCATTAAAATTAACTTCTCTAAACTTACAGTAATTAGATGGAGGAGGGTTGCCAAATTTTTGCCAATCATGACCGGGAATTCTAGGTGGTTAAAGGTTTTGTCACGAAATGACTCACCCCACTCATAGGCCAGAATTATTCTGTGGAGGGTTCCTTTTAGGTATTCTAAAACCACTGTTATTATTAGGCAATGGTGCTCGGAAAATTTGCTGAGTACGCGTTGGTTGCATAGGCATGCGCTGATGACTATTAAATTGGGGATTAAAACTAGGTTTATGCCAGCTAGGTCCGGGTAAAAAATTAGGAGGATTAAAGTTATTATTCATAGTAGGAAATTTGGGCTGTGTAAATTGTTGGTGTGAGTTGTGTGGTGTTGATGATGATAATGGTTTCCTCAGATCTGTTGCTAAATTATTTCGCTGCTGCAAGTACATAACATTAAGTTAATCCCGGACAAATTCCAAAGCCTTCTCAATAGTTTCAGGTCTCATACACCTTATTCGAGACCCGAGAGGATCTTTTAACCTTTTACAAACGCTTGTAAAGTTAATTTTCGATATAAAATTCTCTTAGCTTCTATAGTTGTCTCTAATGTCTCGTGCAAATTCGATAATTCACATCCTAGCTCGTCCTTCACGCATTGAATTACGATCTGATCACAAATTCTAATAAATCTAGGGAGAATATGTGGGACTGGGCGTAGAGCCTTATATACTGTATCAGGATCCATTTTATATTTTAAATTACTAAAACTTAAATTCAACCTACTGTCTAAAGTTTGAGGGCAATTCGAGCTCTCAGGATAACTATTTAAATCTACTGGAGGGCAATTCGAGCCTTCACTTAATTGAAGATTCGAGTCTACACCTAATCGACGATTGAAGTCTACTTAGCTATCCCAATAAAATCCCAATAAAATTGTGACGAGGAGAAAGCAACACTGATGGAAAAATAATTCAATGTACTCACATAACTCGTCGACTTCCCTGGTTTTCTTTGAGTTGCACTGAAGTTTGAGTACGTCCCGGCTGCTTCCAAATGTTCTTTGATATTTCGGTGAACGCTTGAGAGCGACAGATAGAACGACCGCGCGCGGTGTCGAATCTAGACCCCGGAAATCTTCTTTATAGCGATCGTAGTAGCCCCGAAAGTATCCTACCGACTGCGCCAATTACGAATTCGACAGCCCGGACTCCCAAATAAAACCAATAATTAGCTAAGTATTTATTAATAAACTTATAATTAAATTACAAAACTACATCCGTTATCGATGCTAGATAAAATCTAATTCTATTTAATTAAAATGTAAAAAACGCGGTAAATGCTGTATCAGCAGAGCAATTCCTCGAAGCCGGCACATTCACCATACACGTGCCGTGATGTCAGCGATGTACTTTAGGGTACCGTATGTAATTTACTTAAAATATATTATTATTTACTTAACACACTGGCAGCTTTTATATAAGCTGATGCGCGTGTATTATGGGATTTGGAGAAACTTATCCAGTCTATTTTTAAAGATGTTCACAGATGGTGCACTGATCACACTTTCCGGAAGCCTATTCCAGTCGGCCACTACACGGTTTGGGAGAAAGTTCTTTAGGGAATTTGTGTTGTGTTGAGTAGTCTTAAGTTTTTCTTTGAACCCTTTCAAGCATACTAATATCCTTTATGAAATAAGGATCCCAAATGCTGTAGGCATACTCTAATAGTGGTCTAATGTAACATTTATATATCTTTAAGAGTGTTCTTGGTGACAGGCATTTGAATGATTTTATCACTAAATAGAGCATGGAATTAGCCTTTTTCACTATATTCATGATGTGACATTCCCACTTCAAATCACAACTGATGGTAACACCCAAGTCTTTTTGCGTGAATACTGGAATTAACTGCTGTTGACCTAGGCGATAAGTAATGTGCGGATTTTTCTTTCCTATGTGCAATATTGTGCACTTATTAACATTTAGTGACAGCAGCCACTGCTTGGTCCAATCAAAAATATCATCTAAACCACCCTGTATTGCTTGAGATTGGGAGAGTGGATTTCCAAAAAAATTTATGTCGTCGGCAAAGATCGAATGTGAAATCTGTAGTGAAGTCTTCAGATCGGTCATGTAAAGAATAAAAAGTAAAGGGCCAAGTACTGATCCTTGAGGAACGCCACTTAGTACTTGTCGAGGCAAGGACAGTACATCTCCAATGCGAACTCGAAAACATCTTTCCGTAAGGTAATTCGTAATCCAAGCTAATGTTTTTCCTCGGATACCTAAGTGCTCTAACTTGCATAAAAGTCGGCGAACTGGGACACGGTCAAAAGCTTTTTCAAAATCTAGGCAGATTATATCTATAGGATCACCCCGGTCGAAACTTCTTACCCATTGATTCAGGCACATGAGAAGGTTAGTTGCGACAGATCTTCCTGGTACAAATCCATGCTGTGTGTAAGTTTATAATATTTTCATCGAAAAGGAATTTCCTTAATTTCTCAGCTATATAGACTTAAAAAATATCGTAAAAAGCACAGAAAAAAACAAACATTATATTTTTACAAAGAAACACATTTGGCGAGTTCCATCATTTATATGGCGAGGGGGCCGATGGCTGGCCATGCGTCATACTCGTGAACGGGTGCTACTTGTGGTGACTGGTCGTACTTGAATTCGTGTATGCGGTGATGTTAATTATTTCGACTATGTGTTTGCGTGTTGTTCCCACGAGAATGTAAGTGCGTGCTCCTATTTCACCATGCCTCTTGCTGATAGAGGACAAGTCTTTGTTTTTAATTTATGTTATTATTATTAATTACTTAAGATGTCATGTGCAACATGGTGAAATGGTTGCAGCTTCTTACAAACGTTGTGTAAAAAAAAAAACATGGCGATTAAAAAGAGTGGCGGAGAGTTTATTGGCAGTTCTTCTCTTCCGTTCTACGCCCTTGATTTGTGAACTGGCAGTAAATGTAAAATTAGAAGCATTAATATTTATTTCTTTAATGACGAATCACAAGTGTACATTGTGTTACCTACGTGAATAAATGATTTTTGAATTGAATTTGAATTTATATCCAAAATTTAGAAACGATTCTAAAATGTTTAAACAATATTGTGGCGTGTTACCGTCTACTTTCGATTACATTATTGCTGATATTAAGTCTAAATTTCAATTAAAAACAACAAATTTTTAAAATCCTATTTCTATTGAAGAAAGATTACTCTTGGCATTGCGGTGAGTACATAGAAATGAGACTTCATAATTTTATATTATTGAAAATATTTTAATTATTATGAAATTATCACTGAATAGAATCACTAGAAGTGAAGTAACCCATCATTGAAGATACTGTGTTTGATGGGGTGTTCAGTTTTGATATTTCGTTGATGAGCATCTCCTGAACCTGAGTCCGAAATAATAATTTATTCAGAGATGGTAGTTTTTTCATATACGGCATTATAGACTTGAACCAGTTTAAGTCGTCGTCGTCTTGATTTAAATCTTTCTTCATTAGGTCTATTTTTTCTCGTTCGAGTGTTATTAACATTTCTTCAATACTTTTTGCTGCACTTTCTTGTACCTTTTGTTTAGCTAACGTTCCAAAAGCTCTGGATGGGGTATGCGACGGTCCAGGTGTCCATATCGTATCTGTGGCGAAATAGCATTTTGTGCAGTTGCAGCATCAGTCGTAGGGCCGTCAATTGTTGCCAAATTGGTATCATCTGTATTGAATTGCGATTTATCAGTTTGTGTATTGTATGATGTTTGGTCAGAAAGAATAGACATCATTGTATCATCATCGATAATGTCGCTGTCATCTAAAATTGTATTTTGAATATTACTTCAGGTTATTATAAAATAATAAGCAGTCTTCAGGGATTAGATTAAACATTGACTTAAGGTTATTTAATTTGGCCTGCGTTATAGGTTTTCCCTCTGGCCAAAGAGGAACCAGAAGTTCCGCCTCCAAGGAAGCAAGCTACCCGTATTTTCTCCCTATATGAAGCTCCTGATAATGCTCATTATCGTCGGTCTTTATAAAAAGTGAGTGTTTATTTTCTTTTCTTAATTGAATATGTTTAGTCTTAAGCCAATTTACTTTAACTTTATTGACGAACATCTGACGATTCGTTATATTTTTTTCTAATTTTTCTGTACTTACAAAATCATTACTTTTTATTTTTATTGGCACTGCGAACCGCGGCCTTAAACTTATCGTTATTCACAGTCAAAGCACAGTTTATAACGCTTAGCCCGTTTAACGCGCACAATTTGCCATTCCGTATTACCACTATGACCATCCTTCTTATGTTTAGAAAGCATGTTTGGTATATACCGAATTTCAGTAGAAATATCACTTGAAGTCATCGCTGCACCTCGCAAATTAATAGCCACAGAAGGCACATCCGTCGCAGGCGCGTGCAACGAGCTGTTTATATTTGGGTCAATACTATTCGGTGCAGGAGTAATGTCGGTACACGACCCGTCCTCCACTCGCCTCGATGTCTCGCTCACTTCCTACGACTTATGCCCATCTACCAGCAGAAGCACGGGTTTTTTAATGTTATTTTCTACTATCCAGTTGCGAAACTCGTTGGTGATGTAATCAAAGAATACATCTCCTCTCATCCAACCTGTCTCCGATCTGCGTGAGACCCAATGTTGGAGCATACTATTCACTACAGCTTTTGGTGGTCGAATGTATGGAAACACAATTACGTACAAGGTGATCACATATCTCCATTAGCATTAAATGTTAATAATACCGTTATGTTTTCGGGCGATCATCTTTATATTTATTTTGATTCCCCCTGTCTTGTGTTACTTTCTGAACAATATCAAGCAATTCCTGTTTTTCACTGGAAATCCACATTTGGAAATGTTAAGAAGCCATTCAACTACTTTTTTCACCATCTATTAATAGCACAGGCTCTGGGCCCGGTTTGTTAACTCCATCTGGTCTGCACCCACTGATTTTGTCCAATATGGTCTTTAGAATAGCATGTTCTTTGCATACTTGTCTTACCGATTTCTTCTTCACTCGAATTTAGGCAATGCTTCCCTTAAATCTTTTGTGTCTGCTCTTTTTTCCTTCTTCTTTCTTATCTGCAAAGAACTCTTCTTAAACAGAAAAAATAAGAATTCAAGAAATTACTCAATTTATTCTAAGTATGGGATGGAATGAGTTAACTTGTAGTCATAATCAAAAATTATTGGAATTGATAAGATATAGTACTTTTGTTTTATGTAAGTTGTTTATTAGCTTTGCATAAACATAAACTACGTATTATCATAAATGTAATAGAAAGAAGTGCAATAATAAAGATGTAACCCCCCAAATTGGTGACCCCGACAATTTGCCTTCAAAGAAATAATGGTGCATTAAGGCAATTTGTGGGGCACCCAAGCACGCCTTCTCCCATTCTTTTGCTCTCCATATTATTGGTTATTTTGGCTTTGTTTTCCTCTCCCTCATTGTAGATTGTTGATCCTTGTATCACTATATACAGCAAAGGCCTCAAGAACATTGTAGCCGAGGCGATCGCCCTTCGGTCCTTTTTTCCTCTCCTTCTATGCTTAATGTAAGATGCGAACTGGCAGGTTAGTTCTCTCATTTCCTTTATTTACCTCCTTCTCCCCCTTTATCACCTTCTCTCTTATTCTTTTTATTGGTATTTCTGTCTGTATGTTTTCCGGGTCGTAAATTGTTTTTGTGGATTTCTCTTCAATAGTCTCCTTAACCCAAAGTTCCTCTTTTTCGAAACATAATAGGGTTGCATTTATCCAATCAAAAAGACTTCATATTTGGTTTTGCGTATTATTCTCTAAGAAAATTAGAGCTTCTTCGTAAGCTTGTGATGCTGTCACATTTTGTTTCTTGAAAGGACAAAATGTCTGTTTTCCCTGAGTCAGCACATCGGCATTGCTTTTTTTCAATTTGTTGAAAACTGACTCGAGAGTTGCATCTATTTGGGGCCCGTTAGTTCTCACAAAATCAGAACACATTTCTTTGATTACTCCGGTGACATAGTTGGAATGTACTTTGTCATGGGGAAAAGCGCCATCTTTAGCGAAGTTCCACATCGACCTGCTTACTCTGACTCCACCTATCGTTATTTCTCTATGTCCGACTTCCTGTTGTATTCCATCGTTCTCATAACCGTCTCTGCAACTTTTGGAGCTTGCGTCCCATACCCATGTGGAGGATTAGACCAAAAGTTAGCTGGGGAGATTGAGGATATCATTACCAGACCCCCACCCATAGGCCAACGGTATCAAAAGGTAAAAGATGAGTTAGTACGGTGTCTTTCATAATGTAAATGGATGCATTTTATTAAACAAAAGCCACAGTATGCTTAGCCACTGTTACCTTTGATTTTTCGGTAGTTATCTTCCTGTTGGTAATGTTATTCTCCAGCTTTTTTGTTGAAATAAAGTTATCCCTTGTAATTTTTATGACATCAAATGGATTCCTGTCCCTAGCTGCCTTTATAACAGTAGTCTAAGTCTAAAATTGTTAGTTTGTAAGTAAGTATGAAGTCGTGAGTAAATATTTTTGTCTAATATTTTTGATATTGAAGGTAGAAATGGATATCGGTCTGTTATTTCCGGGGTCGGTTTTGGGGCCAGATTTATAGATAGGAGTAACTTTGGCTTTCTTAAGATAATCCGAAAATTCACCTTTATGTAGCAGCTTATTAAAGCAGATCGAGAGATATTCAGAAATATAATTGATTACACATTTTATGGTTTTAGTGTTGATCCCATCTATCCCAGTACTACAATTTGTGTCTAGTGTTTTTATTAAAGTAAAAAAAGCTAACTGGTAGCGATCATGCGCATATTGATTATTGACCATTCTTTGGTCACATAGACTACCATTTTATAATATTGCTTTGATAAAACTTACTTTTAAGACTACCATGGTCTTTTCACAAAGTAATTGTGATCTTGTAGCACAATGGATACAGAAGCTTGTTCTCTGTCATCAGCTGAAAGAAATATAAAATTTTAATCAAATCTTGTAAAATCTAATACTTTTCTTTCTATTCTATGGGATGATAAATACTATAAATATCAAATTATTGGCACTCAAATTATAATTTTTCGGTGAAATCAGCTAAAATACTTAAACTTTCTGTTGTCAACTTTACTGAGATCCAGGTACAATTGTTATATGCACTGGATCAGTGACAATTCTCGACGTAACATTGAGATTACAAAGGTCGTAATACAAAGTATGACTTATAATTTTTTCGCAATGTATTGCGACATTTGGCGGCAAGCTTCTCATTTTTTAAGCCACATGTTGTCCAAAACTTGCATATTTTTGTGGCTGTATTGGGGGTTGTCTCGGCTCATCGAGTTTTTTTGATATTTAAATTAGCACAGCATCGGCCTGATTTTTAGAAAATATTTGATGCTGATTTACTAGATGCAGACAGATTAGACCACGGGCGTGGTGACAATGAATCTAAATTTACATTCAGGTCACTCCCGAAATGAATCTGTAAATAAATGAAATAAAAATAAAATCTGACAGAAACTAAGAAGGCATGGCAAACGAAAGATAATAGTCACACGTATTAGTGAAGAAGTTATGATACATATAATTTCAGCACTGTTCTCGCATAAAAGTAGAATTATATCTGAATTTCGGTCATAAGTACTGCGAGTTTTTCGATTGGCATTGATGATATTATTGCTTTGCTGTCCGTGTAAAACTTGCCTGTTTTTGCATGATACTTGATTTCCGTCCCCAAATCTTCTTGTGCCTTCATTTCGAAATATTGTATCTCCCCCTTCGGCGCTTTCAGCCTCGTAATTTTGCGCCGTCCATTGATCGAACCCGACCATTCCACACGAATGACCGGCGCACTTACAAAAGGTTCAATATGTTCGTCGCTGAGAATGCCTTGTAATACTTGACGACCATTGCCGGAATAAATATACTCGCGTATACAAGACAGACAAGTAATGCTTGTTGTTTTGTAGGCTCCTTCTCGAATAATTCTTCCTAGCCTAGAGGTAAATCCCCACTGTTTATTATGACTAATGTATATGAGGTGCCAATGCCATTATCTTGTTCCTTGATGGTAAGCGATGAGTTTGTAAGGTCCGTTATAAATTGCTGATATTTCGTTTTCATGTTTTGTGGTATACGTACTGACTGGATATACTAATCCTTCCAGCTCTCCAGAGATCCGCATTCCATCGCCGATCGAACACACAATTGTAGTTGATGATTAGTACAGTTAGCATCAGTGAAATTAGCCATATTCATATTAGAACTCCAAATCTTCCACAAAAAATCTGTTAATAAAAACTGTCTTTGACACTTTTTTTAAAGGTGTCAGCTGTTTGGATGTGGGTGTGTTGGGTGTCAGAGGTTATGTTATGACTTGCAGTTTGTTTCTTTCTAATAGAAAAAAATAAACGACAAGATTCACGTGACGCGCGAGCGGTGAAACAAAAGCCTGTCGAAACATGTCGCTTTATTTAGATTTTAGACTCTGCCCTTATTCGTAACTTTTTATATTTTTAATTTTTTTTTCTATATTTAATATCTTCGTATATATTTTTTCGGATATCCGATAGTTTCTGTTACGGCCCTTTCACACGGCAGTCCAGTTTTGCAGGATCGGCTTTTTACGGTATCCTGCTAAACTGGACGCTGTGTTCACATGGCAGTTCAGTTTTACACGGTTGCATCCTGTTTTTTTACCATTCCTATGCCGGTTATCATGTGAAATGGACGTGAATACTTTCCTAATTTACTATTGGTATTATCGGCGTCGGCAGCGAAATAGAAGATTCTGGGTTCATCCTATTCCATTCTGACACAACGCTCAAATTTGGGTATTTTTCGGAATCTTATGTTTAACTTACCACCAGGTATAGTAACATATAACAGACAAAAATAGTAAATGATTACCAAAATTAAACCCGCATTTTAATGTAAAATTACAACCTAAGTTTTAACATCTCGCTATCCTATTTAAGCAAAATGACTCCAAATAAATCATTGTTAACCCAAAAGTAGTAAATGATCGCCAAAATTAAAACAGCATTTTAATGTAAAATTATAACCAAAGTTTTTACATCTTGCTATCCTATTTAAGCAAACTGGCTCCAAAAAAACTCATTGTTAGCCCAAAAATAGTTAATGAAAACCAAATTATTAACCATATTTTAATTTAAAATGAAATGCAAAAAAATAAAATCTCGTTATCCGATTAAAGTAAATTACCCTCGGCAAAAAAAATATTTTGCCAAACACAGTAAAGTAAATTTACTCCTAACCTTTTTGTCTCCAAATTGATTAACCACTACAAAAAAAAATTATCTTGAGCGTTTCGTTTACAACCAAATGCTATACCTAAAATAAAAAATAAAACTCTTACAATTTCAATAATCCCTTTTTTAATTATTGAAACAATCATTAAAAAGATAGTCCTCTTAAAACTAATAATAAACAGTTCAAAGATCTTAAAACTAAACTAATAATAAGCATTTAAAAAATCTTAAGAAGAATCAGTCTTCTGTATTAATTCACTGCACAATTAATGCTTTCTTAGCTTTGGCTGGTCGTCCTCTTTTGCGCTTCATGCCAATCGGAATAGCTCTGGCCTCTGAAGGTGGCTGGACGTGCTTAAGCCGAATCGCCAATCCAACGAGATGCTTGCAAATGTAATCTTTGAGAAACTTTGGGCAATTGCATGTGCCGTGTAACCAATTTTCCTTTTCTCGGGGCATTATAACTTCCCACTCTCTAAAATGTTGCTCTTTGTATTCGTCAAAGGTCTCCCATGGCTTTTCATAATTTTTGCAATCTAAATCCGACCCAGCTGGAATTCTGTATGAGCAAACTAGCTCAGTACTATTCTTTAATGGCACCTGCTTCGACAGTTTTGCCCATTGGTAACTTTCTGTCCACATCTTTAAAGATACTGTCGGCAGTTGAGCGAACCGTCTCTCAGTATTATTAATCACGTATTCATTAGACCAGTCCTTGACTATATCAGAAGCAATTACTAAGAACCGCGCCAAAGGATGACGCTCACGAAGCGTGCCACCATCTTTTATTGTTTTATTGAAAGATTCCAGAGCATTGTTTGTAGCAGGAGTCCCCAGAGATGCGCCCAAATACCAGAAACGATTTAGTATTAGCCATTCATTTTCAAAGTATGTAACAAAATCTTTTCGGCTTTCCACTTGTCCAAAAATTTTTCGCTGGCTCGATCAAATATTTCCTGAGTTGAGGCACACTGTAAAGCATCAATATCTTGTAAGATCTCTTTTTGGGATTTCTTTTGCACACTTTGCTCTACTCTTGTTTGCATCTTCTTTTTCGCATGCGCCCAGCACATTCTTATGACTGTATCTGTTCCAAATGTGCACGCAAAGGCAGTTTGTATAGCCTTCGCTGCATCACAGACCAAAACTTTACAACTTAAAGTGTATGAAAATATTGAGAAAACTGCTTTTTTTAATGCGGAAAATAAAAATATGAAGTCTTCCGTTCGTTCAGCTGTTGTCACAGCTAATCCAAATGGGTGAAAATGTTTATCTCTGTCTGTAGTTCCAATCACAAGTACTGGAAACCCTTGCCAAATGAGCTTATATGTGGCATCCGCGTGAAGAACAGAACATTGGCGTGATAGACCAATTAAATATTTCGTCGTTAACATGAACCGGAAGTTCTGATCTAAATCATCTTCAGAAATTTCATACGCCAAAACAAAAACTTCGTGACCGTCATCAGGTATTTCAGAGTTTTCTTTTAACCATAATTCAAGCTGTCCCAAGCTTATTACCGATGGCCCGTATTTTTTCTTACGTATGATTTTAAGATAATTGTTTAACTGTAACTTAGTCGGCAGAACTAGTCCATTAATTTTACTTAAGTTCTTCATAATAGATTTAGGTTTCAAACGCAGTTCGAATAGTTTTTCTATTTCCTTTTTCGTTGCCTCATTTATTCCCCTAGTCGACTGACAGTCAGAATTTTCATGGTCGTGACATGTTTCAGTACGAAATAATAATATATCATCACACGATGCGTCAAATAAAAGATAAATCGCGGCAGAACACTGAATTTCAGCCCGAAGCTTCACTTTGTTACAACGATAGTAACGTTTTACTCCTTCTTCAGTCGTATGAATTGTTTGTATTGACCAGGTCTTCTCATTTTTGATAAATTCCTCAGCGCTCCGCACAGTTATAAATTTTCTTTCAAAAACCCAAACTTTATTTTGCCTTCGACGTTTTTTCGTATGCTCTGTGATTTTATATTCGTCTTCATCTGATTCCGATGAAGTACTCAACAGCGGAGCACACGAACTCGGTCCCGCTAAGTTTTCATTCGCCATTGCAAAGAAGATAGATACCAAAACACACCCAATAAAAGCAAGTGCTCGCACGCGACTAAATTGGCGATCGTGTCCGGGCGTGCGCGGCGCTTGCGGTGTGGTGGGAGAGGATCGTAAGCCGCAGACATAACTTAATATGGCATCATAATGCTTCATTTGGTAATAAGCCTACATTTTATGTCAATCATAGTGGTTTATTTAGGCAGAAATAGCGCATTAATTTGCTCGCTAAGATTTGGTGATCATTTACTACATTTGGTGTTCGAATACAATTTGAAGTGCAGTCGTGACTAAAATAGCTAGTACTATTGTAATTTTAGACGTTATTTATCTGGTGTTAAGTATATATTTTTGGTAAAAGAACTAAGGGTATCAAAGCATTTTATGGTGATCATTATATTTAACCCCTTTTTCGGAATCTTATGAGCGATTTGAGATAAGTCAAAATTTTTCAATTATTTTAGAATGAGTATGACCACATTTACGACCTTTTAAAAAGGGTGAATGAAGATTTAAAAAAACGTGATAGAAATATGAGAAAAAGCATCATACCTGAAGAAAAGGTAGCAATGTTTAAGGTAAGAATGAAACACATATTTATGGGCGGATGCCCTTTATCATAAGAATCAGCCATGTCTTCAATAAGTTATAATGTGTGTAAGGAACAACGGAATCACAAAAAGTATCTCCCTTACAGCAATTCACTAAAATCTATTCACTAGTAATTAGGGAATCACTTAATCTTTTACTTTTAATTTGTTTTAAAACTACAAGGCACAAGATTACTCGAAACAAAAGCGATTCGTCGCAAACGTGGTGCGCTCGCCGTTGACGTTCGAAAACTAAACGAAATTCAACATGGCCGCGCTGACCATCGACACGACGCTCCGCCAGACTGACAATTGTCAAATCTCGTTCCAACGTGTTTCTTAACAGATGGCCCTAGGAATGCGCCGTCATATTTAAAGTTTAATATTTATTATCAAACACAATAAGTTATGTATGTATGATATTTTCACAAGATAATCGTTAATATTAATTAAATATTAGTGAAATCCGGAAAATCAGAGCTCTGCGATTCAACTGATTGCGCAGATGGCGATGACTGAACGCTGTAATGCGGTGTGAAATAACTTGCTGATTGATAAGTGTAGTTAGAAATAGATGGTTGTTGAGATGACCATTGGTTAAAAAATGCGGCTTTTTATATTTTTCAACAAACATAACACCTGCTTGAAATTGTAATATTTGATCATTGTTGAGTGAAGCTAGTGCAGGAAGTAAACTTTTCAAAAATGACAAGTTACGGCTTATTCGGCTGACTTTTTATCTGGTGATCAATAAAGCTCACCATTTTTTGATCCATTACAGAAAGCCTATGCCTTGGTAGTACACTTCTCTTTAGTCGTTTAGCACCACCTGCGGGATTTTCTTGTCCTGGACTTTCATGTCCGATAGCAGGTTAATTATAGACATAGACATAACATTTATTACATACGAAAACTCACACACATAAACACACAAAATAACAATACTTAGAGAAAAAATTAAATAAGGCATATCAAATACAATAAAAATTCCCTTTTGCCATTCGGTTCGCTTCAAGTGTGCAATGTGTGTGTAATTGTAATTGGCCCTGGCTCAGCATTATGCTGAGGAGCAAAAAGTTCCACAGCGCTGGTCATTCTGCCAGAGACCACAGCAGCTAGTTTGCGCCTTAATAGCAAAGAAAAATAATAAAAAAATAATAATAATACGAAGTAAAAAATAATAATATTAATATTAAAGTTAGCAGTGTAAGTAATGAAAATCGTGTGTAAGGGTGTATAATAAATTAAATTAAGAATAATTGTTAAGACGAGAAGAGTTAGATATTTTTTGTTTTTGTTTTTTTTGGGTGGATAAAAACTAAATTTCATGGGACTTTTGTTGTGTAAGTAGATGTGTCTTATAACTGCGACTAAAATTTGACTTTAATTGAAGACTCTTCAGCGGAGGAGGGATATTATTCCAACACTTCGTCGGGCTATATTTAAAACTCCTACGAAATGAAGTCGTCCGATGCTGGGGAATGGCCAGCTCCTGAGTACAACTCCTGACTTGGTGCTTGCTGGCATTACTACGCCAAAGGAGCATTTTGTACAAATATTCAGGTTGTTTAGTATATACAACATCAAATAACAAACATGCCAAATACAATTTTCGTCGACCTTTCATTGTCAGAAAGTTTAAGTTGTTCAAATAGGGGGTGACATGTGAGCATTCATTTTGTTCATTTTGGATACGATTTTCCGTATCACCCTCTTCAATATTTGTAGCTTTGTTACCGCCACTGTCTTGTGTTTCAGCCGGATCCATACTTTTTAAAAAACCACAACTGGTCGTGATAACAGTATTTTTTGGTATTAACTGCAGCAGATCCAGATTTATTTATTTTCTTTTTCGCATTTAAACTCCTCTTCCAGCTGTCTCTTATCTGATTCCATATTTTAACAACCATTTTAGCTGAAAAAGAAAACATAAGTTATGAATAAGGGCGGAGAAAGAACTATCAACAGGAAGGTATTAGGTATTCTGCTATTTTCTCAAATTTCAAAAATAATTTATATTTTATTGCTATATATTAAAATATTTCATAATTATTAACATTTTTCTTGCTGGATACTGTCGTACTGTATATTATCTGGTAGAATATTAGATAGAAAAGTCATGCTTACAGTTTATAAAGGAACATACTCATGCCCTACTTTCTTTGTAAATCTTCTGATCGCAATAATTTCGTATATTGATGGTAGCCTACTGTACAACTCTTTATTGGAAATGTTAGGCGGGACAAATTTTATGATTCCTGTCTTTTAAATCTGCGCAGCAGGAATGAAAACTTTCATTTCGTATTTAAAAAAAAATATGAATTGGTAATAAAGTTATTTGCTGTAGTATACTGTTCAAAAATAACTGCAATTTTAAAGAAAAAACTGTTTAACCGGATTAAAGTTATGTATTATTATAAATTTACAATTATTTAACATAATTTTAAATTTAGCCGACGTTTCGCGTGCTTTACAGCGTGCGTGGTCACGGTGACCACGTTTAAATGTGTAAAGGTTATGTCAATAAAAGACAATACTAACTGCAATTTTACTGGCTTTCACTCTTTGAATTGCCGTCACACCTTTAACTTCAGTTGCAAAAATGTGGTTTAAGTAAACGGGGCTCTTGTTGCCCAGTCTGTCCTTATTAGTAGCTTCGACAAATACTTTAAAGTCGGTATTAGCAGAGTTCTCCGGATACAGTCTTTTCTAATTTGGTTAGTAAAGCGGTAAATAAGAGTCATTACGCTCACCGCCAACGCCAGAGTCCGCCTTGGGTTCATCACCACGATCCTCAACGCGAGGATGTTTATTTGAGATGGGCGGGTTATCCCCGCCCCACTCGTTACCCTCCATTTCTAAGAGTCACTACTTCTAAATTCTGCTATTTATTTATTTTAAAATTAATAAAAACTTAAAATGTACGCGCGCTATTTTTGGAGTTCCCGCCCAAAAAAACTGTACAATATGAGAGGGCGTAGTAGTGCAGACAGTTTCACCTCTTTAATCTCTGACCTGAAAAAACAAGGCCTCATGTGAGTCACTTTGTCCTCACTGCAAGCAAAATATAACCAAAATTAACTTCAGTTGCAAAAATGTGGTTTAAGTAAACGGGGCTCTTGTTGCCCAGTCTGTCCTTATTAGTAGCTTCGACAAATACTTTAAAGTCGGTATTAGCAGAGTTCTCCGGATACAGTCTTTTCTAATTTGGTTAGTAAAGCGGTAAATAAGAGTCATTACGCTCACCGCCAACGCCAGAGTCCGCCTTGGGTTCATCACCACGATCCTCCACGCGAGGATGTTTATTTGAGATGGGCGGGTTATCCCCGCCCCACTCGTTACCCTCCATTTCTAAGAGTCACTACTTCTAAATTCTGCTATTTATTTATTTTAAAATTAATAAAAACTTAAAATGTACGCGCGCTATTTTTGGAGTTCCCGCCCAAAAAAACTGTACAATATGAGAGGGCGTAGTAGTGCAGACAGTTTCACCCCTTTAATCTCTGACCTGAAAAAACAAGGCCTCATGTGAGTCACTTTGTCCTCACTGCAAGCAAAATATAACCAAAATTTAGCACGAGCCTCACTCGTTTTTCCTTTACCACTTGAATGTTAAGAGTTCAAGAGATCTGAACAAGTTAGTTCATGAACGCATATTTTTCTTATAGTGACACAATCTATCAAAGGCGTAAGCCTAGTACTCAAAGAAAGTAATTTTTTTTAAAGTTCCTTGTATTTAGCCCTACCACCATTCATGCGATAATTTAAAATATGTAAAACTTTATTTTGTACATCCTCCAGTTGTGCGACATATATAGTGTAATAGGGATTGCTCTTGTCTATCGTCTGTATATTCGGGATACAGCAGACTGACTCAAGTGAAGCTGGAAAGCGACTACTCGCTGAGTCCTTGTTGCAATAAGGCAAAAACTTGAGCGGCTTCTTGAGGTGTGGTATCTATGGTTTCTTGAAAACAATGGATGCAGGTTGCGGAGATATGTATCGGTCAACTGTTGATAAGCGACTGATAAGGGTTTAAGTGTAACGGAGGATTTATAGGGGTAGAGGGTAGCGCAACTGGCTGGTAGCGTAGTGAGTAATTTGTCCCATACGCCCGAATTGTGCAAATTACCATATTGGCAGTTGTTTTATTTGGAATTGACTTTACATGAGCATAACACGTATATTTGTCCTATTTTTATGCTTACTCTCGAGTCTCGATTTTCCCCGATTTGGTCGCAATTTCAACATTTGTTCTCGATTCCTCACCACCCTAAGTGGCATCCCCTTAGGCCTTAAGGCCTAACAAAATAAGTAAAACAAATTTAAAAAAATACAAACTAGCTGTTTTAACTTAATCAGTATCCAGGATATCAACATTTTCCTGATCGTCATCATCAAAGGTCTCTGCCCGTTCAATGATCCAACTTTGTGCTTCTTTTGACAAGGTTTTATTTTTTCTGCCAAATTTGTGTCGTTTCGTTGAAATGAGTGGATAAGAGCTGGTCAATAAATTGTTTAAAATATCTTCATTTGTAGCTTTTCTGCTGCATTTTCTAGAATGGTGTTGGCGGTACCTACGAAAGTCTTTATTTCTAGGTTCAGCAGCTTCTTCAGATAGCTGTCCGGAAGTAGACTTAAACTTTCAATTGCACCATGCATTAGAACTTTATGAACACTTGAAGGCATATAATACCAACTATATAAGTCTAAATACAGTTGCATGGTGGCTTCAGCATATTCATGAAATTTGACTACATCAATGTGGTAGCCCGATGAAATTGCCTCTAAAATGATTGCAAACCGCCTTATTCAGTTCTCGCTAACACCTGTTATCTCAGCAGTAATGTTTGGATTTGCAAAAAATCTTCTAGCGGTATTTCCATCGTTGGTGAGCCATCACCTGGTTTGACAACATCAGTCAGAAGGCCCATTCTATTTTTTAAAGCATCCTGTATGTTTTTCTTTTTGCTTTCCAGGATACACTTGGTGTCTCCCTTCACAGCCCATGTCTTTATCGTTAATCTGTAAGCTATATGCGAAATGCATTCCATCATTCGTATCCATATGTGCAATGATGGCAATCCGTAATCTACAAAGATCTAAATCAGTCTGTTTTGACGCAATTAAGGATAGATTATTCATCTCACTTGGAGTGGCTTTACAAATGTCGCATCTCTGAGATGAAGTGTCACATAAAATTGATGTTGCTTTTCCGTCTATCATTGTCATTAATAAAGAGTGTGAAATATTTATTTCCCCGACTTCTGTATCCATTAAATCTGCAATTTCTTGCTCAATGGCACTTTTTTCCTGCAATATGGTTATTTTGTTTTCTTCCACAAATTCGAAAAGGATTGGACGACACCAATATGATGAATTCGCGGAATCATTTTGCCAGATAACTTCGCCGCAAACCAATCTGATTGGTACAAAGCTTCACATGAATATGCTTAAATAATCAAATTGACTTTCTGAAGTGTCGTCGTCTGTTTGGTATGTTTGCTTGGAATTGGCTTGATTAGAAGCACCATCAATTCCCCACTTACTGATAAGTGTTAGTTCCTTATACTTACTGTCGATGATGAGTGGCAGCATTATTCTTCTTGTCGTTGTATCCAGTAGAGCTTGTAACTGTATTTTGGCTGAGGTTTCTGTCACTTTGCACTTGATAATACGATGGAAATATATTGTTGTCTTTTTCGTTAACATTTTTTCTTAATGTATTGTATTGCCACTTGGTCAATTTAAGTGATAAAAATAACCCCAACGCCTCATCCGGAGAAAACGCAGGTTTTGTTTCTTTGACAGATATACACCTTTTAAGTTTTTGCACATCTTGTCGATTCTTTAATAAATGTTCTAGTATTTCTGCAATATCCTCATTCCCATCTGCTTTTAATTGCGCAAAATATGCATATGTTATCTCATCCAAAGACAAATGAAAGCTTTCGGCTCGTCTTTTTTTCTGTTTTGGAGCTCGCATTAAAAAGACGCATGAGCGTCACCACCGCACGATGGGGCAGGTGACGCAGAGCTGCGTTAGTGATACCGTCCGGATCGGGAGCCTTCCTGGGCTTAAGCCGCGCTGCTTGTCTCTTGACGGCGCTCGGCGAAAAGAATAGCACCTCTTCGTCGACGCTGGGGTGTCAGGTGAGCGGCGTCATCGGTGGCGCGATGCGATGACGTCACATTAGGCGCGCGATGTGGGAAGGGAAGCGGGGTGGGCGGGTCGCGCGGGATTTTGCATACGGCTCGCGGCTCGGTGCAATGGCGCGATGTCTCCGGCGCGGGGCGCGGGGCGAGCGGGTGAGCGACGTCATCGGTGGCGCGATGCGATGATTCAGCGCACTGGAATGCCGTCGCAGTTGTATTGCACGCTGGTGATTTCTTTGGCCTAGCTGGGGTTAGGCTTCGTCTCTGATGAGGCGGGTGGCGTTTTTTGTGAGCATCCGTTGAACGGCTGCGGCTCGGCTGTAGAGAAGCTGGCTCCGCAAAGCTGTAACAGCTTGGCGTAGCCTGCTGCTTGGCTGTGGCCGAGATGGGCGCTAAGTCGCGCTCCATCGTTGATGGTCCGGGGTTAGCGGCGAGTGTCTCCCATGATGTCGCTACACTGACTATAAGATTAGAAATTGACTGCGGTATCCAGAGCCGATATTCATTTACAATGACAGAAACTGGAGTGTTATCTAGTAATAATGTATAGTCGGTAGCTAGTTGTTTAACAGTTTCAATGTCTTCATTACTATATTCGCTTTTTGGCATGAAAACGCTTAGCTGAAACAAATTAAGTACATCAAGAGACAGGCGATCCTGGAGATCACTTATTAATGAATCTAGAAAAGGGATATATATAGCTCTGCGGAAATACTCTTCAGCAGATTGAGGTAGATAGGTTATTCGCCCTATGTATTTGTTTTGATACTATTCTGGGGCATTTAATTTCTACATCTAGCTGCTCAGCTACTTCTTTAGCCTCTTCAAAAAGCTGTCGTTAGATACGGTCAACATTTTCTCTTTTATTTTGTAAAACACTTAAAGTATCATTAATAGCGTCCGTAGATTTTTTAAATCAATTGAGTTCGATTGCAGTATTCTGCTTAAAGGTACCTAAAAATTTAAAGTAAGTGACTGTCTTGCCAAGCAGAAATCTTCTCCAGAGCGCTACAAATTTAGACTAATTTGTCACCTTGAAATTGAAGATGCCCATCATGCCTTTCTACCCAACGTGTCTCACCTCAAATACCTTGCATGGCAGCTCCGAGTTCTATTTAAAAAAATTCATGCCTCTTAGCGGATGCATTGGCAAATGCCACAACTTTTCTCATTGTGCCAGATGTATTGCGACAGGAACCTACTTTGGATGATCTTGTCAATGAGTAAAAAGTAAAAAAGATATACAATTTACATATTGTACTTATATAGATACCTAGTCACTGTGTTATAGCGGGCTATGAAACTGCTGACTCTTGTGCAAAAGGTGCTATTTTCTGCGGATCTTGTCAACATCCTATCACATCTCAGTCCGTTAACTTTTCTCTTGAACCTTTTAACTGAAATCACTTTCATATGGGCATAATCTTTCCAGTTTGCTTTTTTGAGGTTATATTTTAAAAGATAGTTGTGGTAAGAGGGGGGTAAGGATTTGTTGTTTAATTTAATAACTATAGGAAAATGGTCACTGCCATAGGTGAACTCAAGGGGGTTCCATGTTAATTGCGAGGCTAGGTTAGGGGAGCAGAGGGTAAGATCCACTGCAGATTTGGGATTCTGATTAGGTTATACCCTGCGAGTTGGAGAGGCATCATTGAGGATGCAGGGATTGACATCGTCGAGTAAGTCAATCAGCAGTGGAGCAAACCTATCACTAGCTTGGTACCCCCGCATAGTGTGATGGGTATTGAAGTCACCCATGGCTATGATAGGCCTGGGAAGGGATGATAAAATTGATTGTATCTCGGGAAGAATAGAAGGAGAAGGGTGCGAAATATACAAAGATACAAAAGAAATGTCTAAGGTACGAACAGAAACCGCATTAATCTGTTCGCTGTGGGTTGAAAGCCGATAGAAGATAGCATTGCCCGCATACCCATCTTTCCTCTCATCCCCCAGACAGAAGAAACCAGGCACCCGAAATCGGAAACTAGGTCTCAGCCATATCTCTGAGATGACAACAATTGTGGGTTTGTGAGGGAAATCAATTCGTGTTTTTTTGGACGTAAGCTTTTACTTTTCCATTGAATAGAAAAAAATAATTCAAAGAGTTGGGATAGGTTTTTGGCAACTTTGGGCGGTAGGAGAATTTCGCTACATGGGGCGACAATACTGAGAAGGAATTCAGTAATAAATTCTAACATTTTGCCCTGAGACGGAAGGTTGTCAACGTTGAGAGCACAACCATTTGGGAGGGATGAGGAGCACTCACCATCAATAACCTGGTGAGCTGTTCTATGGTACCCCTTTGGAGGTTGGAGACGAGGGGAGCGATAGGAAGCTTTGGTAGGAGTTTGGGCTTTTTTAAGGACATCTTAGAAAATAGGCAGGAGGGGTTAATATATATTTTGTTATCTCAGCATATGAACGTCGGACAGGTGGAAACAGAATTGCTGCTTCAATGTACGAGACATTGTCCTGGGACATCACCATTTGTATGGATTGCTGTCGAGAAAATTCTGGACAGCCCTTGTCATAAGCAAAATGTTAACCTGAGCAATGTAAACATGTGGATGTTTCTAAGGTGACTTCGCACGTATCACCTGTCTGTGGCTGAGCACATCTGTAACATCTGGGCTTAGATCGGCAGACCGATTTGATATGACCAAAACGGCAGCAGTTCAGGCACTGTATGGTTGGAAGTTTGTAGGTTTCGACAGGGAGGGAAGTGTGGTAAGAGTAAACCTTAGCAGGGAGCATTTGCCCCCTGAAGGTAAGGACGACAGATTTGGTAGGCACCCAGGTGGTGACACCCTCAGTAACTGATTTTCGGTTCAGTCGCCTTGACATTAATACCTCACCACATCCAGGAGGAAGCTCTAATGACGAGTTCGTCCATTGACAAGTCCACCGCTACACCTTTGACCAACCCCATTCTGGTTATGTTATAAGTAGGGATAATAGCTTTGAAGAAAGTTGTTGGCTGCTTCAGCAGAAGAGAACTCAACGCTAATTTTGTTACGGCCTACATTTTTTACGCAATCGTGAATGACAGAACTAATTTTGTGCTTATGCATAAACTGACCGAATGTAATAGCACGTATAGAGGCTCCGGAAGATAGGTCGTCTACTTCCCGGGAGACTTGGACAATGAACGGACCTTTATCATCATTAGAGTAAGACCGAGGGCCATCGGAGAAGGAGGGGTGGACACTGGACATATAGGTGTTGTACAGACGGTTTTGCCTGAGTGGGATCCGTAATTGTTTTTTTAGAGGAAGGCAAATTTCTCCCCTCTCCTTGTCGTTTGCGAGACGTAGAAAACCCCCAATCAAGAAATGCCCAGGAGTTAAATTTCTAGATCATTTGGGTCCGAAGATATAGGGCAAAGTGGTCGTGAGTTAAGTACAGCTTAATTTTACAAAAGACCGTTCTAGTTCTTCAAAGGTAAGAACTGATTCTCCTATAATTCACCGTAGATGAGTTTTGGCCACCTTAACTACAGCCTCAAATAAATATTCCACCGCAAGATGGATAACCTGGTGGACTAAATTGCCATTTAACACTCTCTCATTATGAACACATAAGCATATAGTGTTTGGTCATGACACTGAACTGTGACACATGACACAGGCACTAGAATCAATATACTAGTCATCAGAGTAACCAGAAGAGACCATAAATACAGCTGCATAGAATGATTGGTTCTGTTAACTTTATTTATTCTTCTGATTCTTATTGGGTTTTGATTTACACTCAGGACTTTTATGAGCATATTTCTTGCAATTATAAACAGCGAATTACGTAGGGAAAAAATGAAAATTTATTTTAAAGACTATATTTAACAAAAATTACTAGTATATAATATTTATTAAAGTATTCTTCCACATTTGAACATCCTGCTAGTGGTAGGTTTGCGTAAAGCCGCATTTATATTTATCTGACGTGTTGTGTTGTGATGCTCTCTGTCGTGATGGCTACTGTTCACATTGATATGACGTGTTATGATGCATTATGACGGTTTTTTGTATCAGTTCCGTCTTGACTCCCAGAGAGTTCACACATTTGCAATGTTTTTTCAAGAATCATCCGATTCAGATTCAGATTTTGAAGAAGAGTTTTTGGAATTATTGGCGTTGGCAACGCTTCTAACTAAACAAAGAAAAAGAAGAAGATATTGGATACATCCCGTAAATAGAAAAAGAGAGAGCAGAGGCGAGTTTCATTGTCTCGTTAAAGAGCTTGAGAGTGATGCAGAAAAATTTCATCAGTATTTTAGAATGTCTAAGGCACAGTTTGAGGAAATTCATCGTTTGATTGAAGAAGACATCAAAAAAATACGGACAAAATTTCGTAAACCTAACAAAAGAAAGACTTGCAGTATGTTTAAAGTAAGATTTTTATTTTTCATATAAATCAATTATCTTCCTCAGAAAATTGTATGTCTGAATAATATGCCGAGAGACGAGAATCCTGTTGTTCCGAATCCAATGTCGATGCTTCCATTGGTGCTGTGAATGTCGGTGTGTAGGCGAAGGTTGATATACTGGGGAATGACAGCATGGATGTGGATGTGTGAACGGGTGATTGCAGTCTCTGTTGTTGCGGCTGAGAAATAATCTGGCGAGTCACATTGATTGGCATTCTGCGGATTTGGTCTTGTGCTTCGAGGATGCGTATTTCGGCTTGTGATATTGCCGTGTGCAAATCTAATTTTATTTTGGACTGTTCGAGTTTAGGAAGTTTTTTTAGGGCTTTGCTCATGCTGAAAAAGAATAAGTCAGTTTCATCCATGTCTTTATCCTGGAGCTTGTTTTGTTGTTTTTGAAGTCGCAAATCATGCGATGATTTCATCAAATCGTATAATTCATGTAAGTTGGTTTTATTGCGTACAGGTCTGCTATAATTTGAAGAACTGGATTGTGGTGTTGGTGAGCGGTTATCTAATTGAGATTGAATGGTATCGGATTCAGATTCTTCTAAATTAATATCAGATTTTACTGAATTTGGCGGTGACTCAAGATTAGTTACTGTAGCCCGAGATTCTATATACGTCTGTAAAAAATTCATCTGCTCTTCATACTTCCATGGAATTATTGCGGCCTGACCACTTTTTTTATTTTTACGACGTTTCATGGCGTTTACATAGGCATTTCTTAATTTTGTCCACTCATCTTTACATTTATCCGCTGAAACAAAAAAAAACATATTTTATTTTAATTACAGATTTTTGGCAACTGGAAACTCCTATCGGTCGTTTTCCACTATCCAGTTGTGAAACTCGTTGGTGATGTTATCAAAGAATACTTCTCCTCTCACATCTCCGATCTGCCTAAGCAACATTAATGTTGGGGCATACTATTCACTACAGCTCTTGGTGGTCGAATGTCTGGAAACACAATACAAGGTGTTCACATATCTCCATTTGCATTAAATGTTAATAATACCGTTACTTGGTTTTATTTGGTATAAGTTTTTGAACCCTCTTGGGACTAAAACTTTTCCTGTCTTTGGACAATGAGCAAATCCACTTTCGTCCGCATTGAAAATTCTTTTAGGAGCACTCAAAATATCTTTATGATGTACGAGTATACTGTCCAAATTTCATCTTTTTTTTTTAACCACAGTCTGATTGGCTCTTCTCTGACTTGGGCTCTAGCTTTATTAATGTCCTCCGCATTGTTTTTTTGACCTGGGCGATCATCTTTAAATTGATTTTGAATTCCCCCGTCTCGTATGACTATATTGTATAAAAGAAACTTAAAACAAACAAAAGGAATCCTTTTTTTATAAAAAAAATTGCCTGGTTACAACTTACTTACAAAACAGAGTTTTCCTGAAATACTGGCTATTTATAAAGTTTCAATTTGATATCGACAGACACATGCAGTTATGATTCAATCTCTTAATCAATTTAAAGCTTTCAGATATACTATATTTTTGTTTTGTGTTAAGCACTTAAATAAACAAAGATGTTGGTTTTCCGACACGCAAACACGCGACGTATAATTGTCCACCCAAGTATTAAAAGTTGATTACGCAAACTTCCAAAGGCCTTGCGATTTATTTATGGTCCAGACGTATTGGAAATTGTAAACGTATACAATCGGATGGTAAATCCGTTAGAATCATCGGTATACGCGGAATCAAAAATTCCTCTCCTTTTTATTTTCCCTTTATGATTGTTATCTCACTGTCGTTATTCATCACCTTTTTCACAGCCAGTCTTGTTCCATTGCACAGTCGAGGTTGATTCATGTTACGCAGCATGATGCCAATTGATCCTACCTTTAAACTGCAAATTTTGAAGTCGTAATCCAGGCAATTCCAGTGAATTTAAAACTCCGTGGGATAGTTGACTACGTCATCCTGGTTCATACTTGTAGTATCTTGGCCATTGCGCTATTTTTGGCGATGTTGGTTTCGTTGATGTTCAAGTTTAATGGTAATTTCAAGGCAGAATGTTCAGTTCGCCCGCCGTCTAGCAGACCTTCTCGCAGCTATTTTAGATGAAGCCAATGCTATATATATGCTATGTATAGCCTTTCCATATGGGGAAAGTGCTTTTCGGATTCTTAAATGATTTTTTATATATACCTAATGGCCTATTTTATATGTTATGGGTCTTGTAAGAGTCGTAATATTGTTTTGATCTCTCTTTAGCTTTCATAATACTTTCGAGGATTTTTTCTCTTCAGTATTTTAATCTATGAGTTAGCATTTTGATACTCAGGGTATGTGGTATCAGGATTTGTATTGTTAATTGAATCATGAATAGAGGGGTTTTGTCCAAACAAAAGTTTTTAAGGGATATAATTAGTAGTACAATGAACGGATGTGTTATAACGGTCGTAATAGCAGTGTAGCTCGATGGGTTTCTTCGGAATATAAAGCCTATTTTTAATGTGTTGAATCATTTTTAATCGTCCACCATGTCCAACAGTTTTATGTACTTCCTTTAATATGTCAAAATACTTCTCCATCGGAATTATGCGAATCGTATGATCGTCGACGCATTTTTTCTTGAATATAAGATATTCCTCATTCGCAGTTTCCAAAATATCATATTTTGATAACCAGTAATAGTCCATGGACTTCTTTTGCGTAGTCACCCTACTCTCCTTAATTTGTTTCATAACCTAAAAAAAAAAACATTAACTTTAATAGGTCATAATTCACAAACTTACATAATATCAATTAATACACAATACCTTAGCTGGCATAGAGTATTTTGATAAAATAAGTGAATATTTATGTAATTTAAGAGTAAAATACTAACCTGTGAAATGCGATCCAAACTCCACGGTTTTTTTACATTTTGCTCAGTTTTTGCGTGACTTACATAGTACTCGAGAACCTTTTCGTCGTAAACACTTTTACTATCACTTTTTTCGTCATTTATTAACGAATTATTAACTTTTTCACTGCGAGAAACAACATTATCGACAGCGGCCGCCATCTTCACACATAAACAAAGCGTTTGCAGCGCCTCTACCGGTAATTAATGTAACTACTTTACGATATGATCAAATAATTGACCATTTCATGAAGAAGCCGCGCGTTTAGTTGCCCATATCGAGAAACGATTTCTTATCATTGATCTGCCCAAACCACATCACGATGTGGCCAATAGACAATGAAACATTTCATGAAATGTAACCATTTCATGAAATTCTCGAACATTTCATGAATTGAGCTAATCTACGATATGGCCACGACATATACATGTAGGCCAATTATCTTGTTCTTGGTTAATAAATGATTTGAGTTCTAGGGCCCTTGTGTCTGCGGGTGATAAAGACGCTAGACCAAAGTTGTTTTATTTTCACCAAATCAGTTTTCTTGAAGAGAAATATCTTTGTTGTAAATTTTGTGAGATCATCATGTAATGTTAGTATGTATTTTACCTACTATGTCCATCGCAACGCGTTGGAAAGGAATTGTAGAAATAGTAGTGATTTGCATTGGCGTTCTGTTTAATTTTCTTAATGCTTAATTTTCTTGGCATGATTTACAGGATTTTATATAGTGGCTACGCATGCCTTTCCATTGTTAATTTTCTTGAATACTTTTGACCATGCGAATAGTGCCTAAATGATCTACGATCATGGTTTTCTTTTGAAATTTTCTTTATTTTTGAAAGTTTTTATTATTTATACATGTGTCTTTAGTAAGACATCATGGAACATAATTAGTCTTACTTAAGACTACTAAGTAATTTAAGTCTAACCTTATTTACTAAAAAGGATTTTTATCATAAGGAAGTGTCCAATAACACTACTTACAGTCTATATTAAAGGGAAGACACTGTTCTTGTGTTCTATTTTTTTCTTTCACTCACTGTGTATTTAGTACTGACGTGCACTAACACTAATTCACTAGTTCAAATGGGTTTGTCCTTTTCAGTCTTCTCACTAGGCCCGTTTCAGACATTCACGTGATGCTGGAGCATATTTTCGTGGGCTCCAGCAGTCTTTTTTATTAATGTGACGACCTCCATCGGGAGCATTGACTATTTCCCGGAGTACTTTGTTTTGCAATCATGGATCTCGATAATGGATTGTTGGATTCCGGAAAGTGAAGGGAAAATAAGGCTATTTTTATGGATTGTAATGTAAATATTCAAATTATGAAATAAAATTATACAATTGTGTATAAATGGGAAGGAACTTTAAAATTAGTGATATACTTATTTGTTGATAAGATTTAGAAATTTTCTCATCACGTAGAGCTTTTTAATTGTCAAAATGATGAACTTGAACAGCTGTACTTTTGTAAACAATAATTATACGATTTTGTCACGAAAATCTAACGAGATATACGACTATAGGGTTCATTCTTTATTTAGGAATTCCTCTTTATTGGTTATTTCCGAAAGTATTTCTACAACATAGAGATTGCTTTCATCTAAGCCGATTGAAGTTTGAATGATAATGACTTGGTCGGAGATTTTAAGGATAGACGAATTTGGTTCTAAGATTTTAGTGTTGGACTCAAAGGTTTTGGATTTTATTAACTTAGAAAACTGTGAATAGTTTCCATTGAATAATTCTTGAGTTACGGGTTAGGATTGGTCGGAATCTTGTGTCACAGGAGAATCAAAATTGGTAGTGTTATGGAATTCAGGAATGGTTAATTCTTCAATCTCAGAATAAATTGGTATACCCGTATCTTTATTGTGATTCCAGATTTAGAAATTCGTCTAAGACTTTTTGGGGATCAATAGGAGAATCAGGTATGGTATCAAGTTGGGTCTCAGTGTTTAATGTGTGGAAGGTGTGAGTTATGGTGTAAATTATGCTGGAGTGACGAGATTATGCTGGCCCGTTAGGCCTGAATCTAGTGCGGCTTCTTAAAGACCTGAATTGTTATTAGCATTTTCTTTTGGCAATATAGGATTTACGGGATAGCGGGATATAGCATCGGCAATGGAATTTAATTTTCCTTTTTTATAAATGATTTCGTAATCGTATTCCTTAAGCTTGAGGCGCCACCGTCGTAGCTTACTGGAAGGATCTTTATTATTGAATAGCCACTTAAGTGGTCTATGATCTGTTACGATTTGGAATTTTCGTCCATATAAATATGGTCTGAATGTCTTACAGCCAAATATGATAGCTAACAACTCTTTTTCAGTTGTATTGTAGATGGATTCGCTTTTATTGAGAGTACGGGGTGCGAAAGCAATAAGTCTTTCCTGACTCATTGTTCCTTGTGAAAGGAGAGAGCATGGTTAGAAGCATCCGGCGTAAGAATGAAGGGTTTCGTGAAGTCAGGATAGATTAGGACTGGTGCTGAAATAAGTTTTCATTTAAGGAGTTTGCAAGCTAATTGCTGTTTTTTTTCCTATGAAAGAAGGTTTAAACCTTTTTAAGGAGTGAAGTGAGGGGTTTTGCAATATTTGAAAAGTCTGGGATGAATGTTCGGTAATTTGAAACAAGGTCGAGATTTTAATAAAAAAAATTATATAGCTTTTGGATTTTTAGGAATTATAAATTCCTAAAAATCTAAAATCCAACATGGCTAGAATAGACGGAAATAATTAATTGATCAGAAATGTTATTTCGGATTTTTTACTACGAATACTTTTACAATTCCACTGAAATACCAGATTCGATACAAAAGACTGGTAATGGGTTGAGATAAACTGAATGAAGAGGAGGTGGTTGTTTTTGCAGAATCTGCAAAAGATTTGCCACTGCCAGGTCTAAAGCGAGCTGATGCTTCCTGATAGGATATGCTATCCTGAGACATACAATGTTTAATGTTTCTTAGTCTATTGTGTTCGGGACATTCTTTGTTGGTAGGATAGTGAGAGGCAGTGCAAAATTAACATAAAGATTCTGTTTCTGTTATTACGAGTACAATAATCGCCAGAATGGGCTAGAGTACAACGGTAACATCTAGGCTTAGATCGGCATGTTGTCTTTACATGACCAAATCTACAACAATTAAGACACTGGATTGTTGGGAGTTGGTAAGTTTCAACGGAGAGGGAATTATGACAAGATAGTACTCTCTCCATAAGGGTTTGTCTATGAAAGGTCAAAACAACAGTTTGCGTTGGAGTCCATGTAATCTGACCATTGGAGTTAATCTTGCGATTAAGGCGTCTGTCCTTGAGGACTATATCAAAACCTTCGGGAATTTCTAAAGTTTCAACAAATTCCTGCATCGACCAATCAGCTGGGCCACCTCTCACAAGGCCCATACGGGAAACATTATAATTAGGAATAGTAACAGAATAATTGCTGGATGATACAATGGGATTAGAATTAAAATTATTAGCACATGCTTAGGTCGGACTTTAATTCAACAGATATTCTATTATGTCCCACTCTCTTAACACCATCTTGAACAATGTGGGTACTTTGTTTTTTACTAGGAAGTGACCAAATTTAATTGGGCGGATTGTGGTACACGCGGATGGGTCAGATTCAGGGCAAGAAACGCGGACAAAAAAGGGCCCTTGTCCTTGTAGGTGAGTCAGTGAGAGATGGATGGGAGTAAAATCCAGGGTTGACGCCATCAACAGACAACCGGACATCAGTTAAGACAGTATCTCTGTTAGTGTGGTATGGACGAAGGCTCGACAGACCATATATTTTTTAACTGTTCTTTAATTAATAACCATCTTTCTCCAAAATTCCCTGGTCCATGTAACCTTAACTCCCTACTTTCCCTCCCATCCAGCCCTATCGTCAAAATTTTTTGGGAAATTTATTTCTGTTAATAAGTTAAATTTATAAATAAGATTCTCCCCTCCGTACCTTGTAGTATATATGTTGACTTAGAACGCGACATTGACGGAATTCTGATTTATACAGAAGTCGCCATTAAAAATAAAGTAAAGTAAAGTGAGTTTTTTTCACTCGAGTCACTCGGTACTGGTAACTTCGCCACCAAAATTTTAAAATAAATAAAACAACATTAATTTTACATAGAAAATGTGTATTCATTTTCGCGTTAATGTTAAAGCTACTCAAAAAATATAAAGAAAATGTAAAAAAATTTAATTATCCTTCAAACTAAACCTGTCATACATAATCAAGAAACCTCTTATATCAACTATCAGCCAAATTAAAGTATTATACTCTACTCCTAACAAGATCTAATCCAATTTAATTTATTCTAACAAGGAACTTTCATGAGATCCAAATATGAACAGTTTTATTATGTTCTTACACAATTTATGATGTTATAAAATGTGTAATTGTGTGTAAATGTGAAATTGCTGTAAAGACTACTTAAAAAAAATTAGGTAATTTTTTTTCTCTTCCAAACGGTTTCTGCTTTGATTACATATCAGCGCAGCTTTAGAAAAAACTCGTTCTGAAGTAACAAAAGTCGCTGAGATACATAAATATTTCATAGCTAATTTATACAGCACTGGCATAATCAGTTTCCTTTTCTCCCAGTAAGCAATAGGATCATCTTTTCTAAGTATTCTTCGTCATTGTATTGTTTCACCATAATAATAGCCGAGGCTTTTTTTAATTTGTAGTACGTTCCGAAGGTTTGCATCAAAATGTTCCCATAAATCATTCAAGTCCTTATTTTCTGGTTGCGGTTGGCATGACGATGAAGACTCCGATTCTGTTCTGATATTATCTTGACTTAATGTCCAATAACCCCTAGATGGGGCAGAGGGCGTCCACAGTGAGTCTCCGCGTCGCGACCGGTCTTGAGCCTCGTATTTCACCTCGCTCCAAGTCTTTCCAGCTCTCTTTGCCTCGTCTGCGACTGTACGGCGCCAGGTTTGCTTGGGACGGCAACGCTTCCGCTTCCCTTGCGGGTTCCAATCAAGCGCCTGCTTGGGAATATGATTGGGATCCCTTGTATGATCTATCCAATTCCACTTGCGTCGCTTGATCTGCTGACTGATCGGGGTTTCTTGGCAGCGTTCCCAAAGTTGCTCGTTAGTCGTTAGAGATTTTTTCAGGCCAGTAGATGCTCAGAATACGGCGAAAACAGCGGTTGAAGAAGACTTGGAGTCGGTGCGAGATATCTTTGGTGACCTTCCACGTTTCACACCCATAGAGCAGCACAGACTTGACGTTGGATCCCAATATTTTAACCTTGATTCGACGCGTCAACATCCGTGACTGCCATATAGGCCGAAGTTGTGCAAAGGTTGCTCGGGGGCTCTGATGTTATCTGAATTTGTGGATATAGAGGTAGATTCAATTTCATCAATAACGGATTGCATAGCCCTATAGCATTAGATTCTACGCCAAAAGCAATTTTCATCCAAGCCAAACCAATATCGGATCGAAGTAGGTAGATTTTGCTGCAGTTTTGTTTAATTCTAAAATACCTAACAGTTTATCAATAGCATCTTATGAATATTTTTTTAGTTCTTAACCAATGCCCGTATTTACGATCTTTTTACCAGTGCTGCTTGAACATTTCTAATCAAAGGAATCACTGTTCCTGACATACAATGTTGGATGTTTCTCTCCGGTTTAGGCTGCAGTAAGTTTTTCAAGAGGTCTTAAAAGATCTAAGCATTCTTGAACAACTTTCCATTCAAAGTTTTGTAAATTACTTGGTGAACGAGGAATTTCGGACATAGTTGCTGATAAGCAGTTTTAATTTTGAGCATTCTATCTAGCATTAAATATGTAGAATCCCAAGGCGTTGGGAAATCTTGCTTTAATTTAATATATTCCATATCCATTGTACGTTAGGGTGGGTCAAATATGTATGAAGAAAAAAAAAGTTTGGTTTTTATAGGAGCACAGTGACTAAAAGGTGCTAAATGGTGACTGTAAATAGTATACGGAGTTTGATAGCATTCGGAATTAATCTTCTGCCTCCGGAGTCATATGAAAATTAAAGAAATATAGTAAAAAAGGGCCATTGCATATTGACAAGCAAAGATCTTTTGTTTTTAATATAAAGACCGAAAATCATAAGAATCTTTTGTTTATTAATAGAAGAATATTAAAATAGAGTAATAACTATTCTCATTAGCTAAATTATTATTTAATTGAAATGTTTAGGTGCCGTTAAAATCCTTCTTGCTGTCGAATTTTCGCATAGCTTTCCTTCAATCTAGCTGGGCGTCTATGAATCCCTCTCTTGATGTTTTATCGCATATAGTGGCTGAAACTTCTGTCACGGCTTTAACGGCTCTTTCTACTGCTTGAGTGTGACAAGATAGACGTAGTAAATCCGGTTCTCCTTCTCCTTTCTGCTCAATAAATAATATTTTTTTTTTCGGTAACAGATTTTAATAGCGGTGGTCCAGTAAAACTTTTCTGCCAATTCAAAAGGTCGTAGTATGCTATTGCGTCAAATTTAATCTTTGGTAACTGAAAAAGACACAGTGGTTTTAATATTGCTGATCTAACATGAGCTGAACTCTCAAAATTCGACGTGCAGCTAATTCGCGAATTTTCCGCTGGGGTCTGTTAACAATTCAAGCATTTTCTGGGTGCGTCAATAACAGCCTTCAATGCTGTTGGTGCATATTGCGTTTACTCAATAAGTTTATAGAAAGGCCTCGATCCATCATTACAGCTTGAAAGAGTTTTTATGGAAAACCATATCGGCGCGTAAAACTTAACTTCTCGTTGGTTAACCATGGGGCATGAGACATTATGCCTGGTGATTTGTTCGCTAAATTGCTGGGAAATGTGCCTGTTGAAACTGCTTCGACTATTCTGTACAAGTAGTTCTGGTCTGTACTAACAGAAAGCTCCAGTAGGTTCGTAGGAATAGCAGTAAACTGAGTTATCGAAATCCGTGAGAGGGCTCACAGATTTTAAGCTGCTTACTAATTCCTCTGAAAATGTTTTGGGCTCAGACGTACTGCCGTCAATATGTTGAAATAACTAATTTTGTCATCTGTTTTGTTGTGTCGACATCTATACTACCAATTACCATTTTTCTCGCGGATCATCGATCTACTATGCAGCTGTGTCTTCTTGCAGGTACTTTTTACCCCAAAAAAGGGGCAAATCTCGACACTTGCAAGTCGAGACGTCATTCCATGACGAAAATCTACGATCTTAAATCTAGGTTTTTTTGGGTGAGATTCTAGCAAATTTTTGCATTTTAAATGATATGATTCCAGCATTTCCTTCATTTTTTTAGGTTCAACTGTAGGAATAGAAGATTTCGCCCATATTTCTATTAGTTTTGCAATCACACTACCCTCAATTTCTTTATCTCCCGAATTTTAGCTTGTGTCGGTTTCACCCATACAAATTCATCACATATTCATATGTGGGTGACATTATGTTGTCTTTCAAATCATATAGACTACCAAATAACGGATAATTCCAACATCTTTTCGTACGTTTCATTCTTAATAATTCGTTAAAAAGTGACTTCACTTAATTACGTAATGCGTACAGACATAGATTGTCTTTGCTATAAGTCGTGCGTACCAACCCTTCTTTACACTTTTGTCCTCGAACTAAACAAAACAAAAGATGCACTATTCTTTTTAAAAACAAATAAGCGCTAATAAAGATTTAAATAAAGTGAAGAAAAAAATCTCAACATGGGCTCAAAAATTAAAATTTTTAATAAATTCTATCTCAATCCGGAGGCAGTAAAATTTAAAATAATTATATTTCAACTTTACGTATGAATCATTTACGCCATTTAGCACCTTTTTGACGCTGTGCCTGTACGAATAACTAGATTTAATTTTTTTGGCCCACCCTAATGTACGTTGCAAAAGTTTGTAAGACGCTTTGTTTGAAATATGTGACTGGGTTGGCTTTTATTTATAATTTCCATAAATTCAGGGATTTCAGCTTTCTTACAATCAATGATCGCCAAGTTCAAAGCATATAAAATACATGAAACAAAACCTTTTTGGACAAAGTGGGGAACCGATTTTTCTAAACACCATATGTCCTTTTTATCATATTTCTGCTTCGTATTTGAGATTCATTATAAAGATGTTCTGTTGGAGTGATGGGGTTTTGGAGTGGAGTTAGTAGGTATGAAGTATTTTCATAGTCTTTATCACCAACAATCAAAAGGTTTCCAAATTCTCCATTTATCAATCTTTGTTTTATGAATGAATTGTTGAAAATTGTTAATTGGTCTTGGCTGCTCCTCGCCATCTAGCCACTCACTACAGTTTGAACAATAAAGGATAACTGTGACTTTCTGTCAAAAAGCTTCTTATTAGCTACTAGAAATTCTTTTTCATCAATACTTAAAGATTTGACAAACATATTAATTGCATTATACGAATAGCTGTTTCTCTGTCAAAGAAGAGGAAGGATGGAGTGTAGCCTGTGGTTTCATGAACTGAAGTCCTAACAGCATGAGCAAAACTTTATCTACTAAAATTTAACTTTATATACTAAAATGATATCAAGTTTCATTACTAAGCAACATTATGTTGCTTAGTAATGAAACTTGATATCATTGTGCCAATAACCCTATTCACTCGCTCTGTAGGGTTACTCTGTGGATGATAATTAGGAGTATACCAAATTTGAGATTTATAACTATTGACTAATTCTTTAAACAATTTTGATTCAAATTGCTTACCATTCTCAGAAATAATTGCTTGTGGAACATCAAAAAGTAAAAAAAAGGGTTTTCAACAATACTGCAAATCTTATCTGCTTTACCAGTTCTAAGTGGAAATAGTAAAACAAATTTAGTTCATTTACATGCAAAAAGTTTGATGAAATGGTGTCCATAGTTTGTGCCTTTGTTCTATTTTTTTTAAATATAAGAACCGACAATATGAGCGCGTATCTCTTACCTATGTTTGTATGGTGCACGTGAAAGTTGCGAGACATTTGTACGTAATATAAGCTCTCTTTCGCGCCGCCGCTTCACCCTCGAGAGCCATCAAGTCATGCGCATAGTTTATAAAAATATCCATATCTCCACCCTCCACCGCCTCATTCGCTACACGATTGGCTTTCTCGTTTCCAGATATTCCACAGTGACCAGAAACCCATGCAAACGATACGGAATAGACTTCTTTTAAACATTTCTATTGATGTTTGCTATTACAAGTTTCTAATTTCGGAAATGACGGGGAATTGATAATGTAAAGCAAGCGGGAACCGGGCTAGGGCATTTAAAGAACTCAGTGAATCTGTCAAAATTACAGTTTTTTGAAGTTTTAGTAGAAGGATGTATTCTATGGCTTTTACTAGGCCAAGACATTCGCCAGTGAACATGGAGGATTCAGGAGTGAGTTTAGTTTTTTGGACAATATTGTAATTAGAGTGCAGTACACCTATACCTACACAGTACACAGCCATCTTTGGAACGCTTAGATGCATCTGTAAATATTCGGTGCCATCGTGTAACGTTTTTATTGATAATAATCTGTAATCTAAATGTATGGAACATTTTAATTGAGACACGTTACTGTCGTAGAAATCTCTTTATTTTTGAATTCTGTTTTTCAAAATGAAAGATATTTTAGCGAAGTTATTGTGTAACTTTCGCTGAAACACGAGACGCAATAGTCACATTAAAAATATTATTATATAATATAGCAATTATAACGTCATTACATATTTAGGAATGCCATATTTTTTTATTTAGTTATTAAGCTTATGACATCACACACAGTACTAAAATTACTAATTATTTTACAAAAAATCTCACATCTCATCATGTGTGACAATTATGTAAGCATAAGTTTCAAAAAAAAAAAAAAAAATTAAATAGAAATTAAAAATTACAATTAAAACATATACAATAGTAAAAGCACACAATAAAATAAAATAAAATTACAGAAATTTTTTGGCACTTAGAGCAGAAAAAAAAGAAAAATCATCATAAAAACAGCGAAATTAGGTTTGAGAAAGGCACCCTAGAATGCTTTCTCTAAAACCGATCAGCCCACTACTATATGGTTACTGAATTGGACACAACGGAATAGGAATTTATCAGACAGGAATTGCCGTCGTAAGGCTCTACACATTCGGCTCTCATACAGTTGATTGGACTTGACTTCATAGCTCCTAGGACTATTCTCATTACTTTTGCCTGAATACTATCCAATTTTTTAAAAGCAGAATCATTTCCTGATTCCAACAGGAAAGTACCGTAATCCATTACACTTCTGACTATGGCGTTGTTTATCAGTTTTAAGTTCACAGTGAGGATACACGAGTAAGCTTGGAATCTAGAACTACTCCCAAGAATTTGACGTCATTAGTCTAGGGAATCAAAACATTATTGAACTTTACCTAGACCGGGAGAGCCCTACGCATTTTGGAAAACAACACAACCCTACTCTTGGATACAGATAAGTCTAAACCATTCGTATTTAGCCATGACTTTATAAATGAAAGGGAAGATGTTAAAGCTTGGCAATTATTTTTAATCGATTTGCCCGATTTGTATATAAGGAGATCGTCAGCATATTGTAGTACGTTTGCTGATGCTTGCAATGATGTTTCTAAATCATACGTATAGATGTTATAGAGCAAAGGACCGAGTACAGAACCCGGTGGTAATCCTTTCCATACAGTCCGAGATAGTTTCGGAATTAGATCTTCAATTAATAAATTAATGTATCTTTCACTAAGCATATTGATAATAAAGTTTGATAGAATCGGTGGCACATCGAAGCAGAGCATTTTCCCCTAAGAATCGATATAAGAACATTTTCTTATGTCCGTAGTGAACATTCCTAAGCTATCCATTGTGCTTCTACTTTTTCAAAACCGAATTGGGACGTTGCTAATAGATTTTTACACTCTAAAAACCATTCTTAACAGATTTTTACTAGGTGTTCTGCTATTTTCATTAACACAGAAGAAAGGACAGTAGGTCTGTAAGAAGAAGGATCATCGGCTGGTTTATTGTCTATTAAATTAGGGATAACAGATTGAGTGATCCAAGACTTGGTAATGCACCCAGAAATTATAATAGAATATTTAAGTACAGCATCAGCACGCGTTCTGAAAGGTTTTTCAAATAAGAATATGAAATCCCATCTTCTCCTGGAGAGTCTTTTACGTTATTAAGTACACCTTTAAGTTCGAACAAAGAAAAAGGAGCGTTTAATTCAGTTAGGTCGTCGGAAATGTAAGCAGGAATAGATACTGGGGGAAATCCCTGTTCCGGTACAGACGGGGAGCAAGAAGATCCATGAACTGATCAGCTAGGGTTAGCGATAATTTAGAAGAGGGAGAATTATTATATGCAGATCTAAATCTACGAATAGTACGCCAGACCTCTGACGGGTTGACTTCTGGACTAATGGAGGCAAAATGATTGCCAACCATCGTATCTCTTTTTCTTAGACAATTTTTTTGCACAACGGGCAGATTCTATATATAACTCGAAATTTTCTTCTCACAGTAATTTGTTTCAGCCTGTTTTCTTGCTTTTGTTGCAGCTGTACATTCATGATCCCACTAGGGAGGTGAAGGAATTTGCGATCGGAACTTAGTTTTGGTGCAAAAGGATTCATCGGCAGCTTCAATCAAAACCTGAAAAAGAATTTCGGCGGAGATCTCGCAACCTACTTGAGAATAACTCTACTCTTTGATTGAATAATTGCCAATCAGCGTTGTTTAATCTGTATTTAAAACGAGAAGAGCGAATGGTTTTGGTAGGTTTGTGTGAAGGAAAAGTAATTACAAGTGGAAAGTGGTCACTACCATACGAAGATGCAAGAGGGTGCCAGTCCAAAGTTGAAGCTAAATCAGGTGAACATAAAAATAGATCAGGCGCACTTGCACCTTCGCTTGGACCAGTAACACGAGTTGGCAGCCCAGTGTTTAAAATAAAAATAAAATTACTAAAAAGAACAAATTAGATTACACGAAATTTACCACACAATTTCTATTACAGTTATAGTTATTGCTAACAACAAATTCGTCAGCAATAACTATAAGTAACGTCTATATCTAGTGCGAGCGATGAAGAAGTCAGCGCGACCGTACCGCGCGCCACGCTTGATGGCATATTGAAGATTATCATCATAAAGAGATGTAGAAGGTGATGTGTAGTCATTCCGTGGTAGTTGAAGTTGTGGCAGATGTGTGATAGAGTTAATAACCACTCTGAAGCTGTTTGGGGCAGATTGATATTTATTAGTGGTCTTATTCTGCGAAGAGGTTGGCAATAGAGATTGCGTTTGATATAACATATTAGGTGAAGTTTCTGGTACAGGAATATATAAAGACGGGGAATAACCACGGCTTGATGGCGTTACTGAACAGTGACTGAAGTCATCATGTGAAGAAGTTGGAGATTAATTGTACTCAGTACATTTTTTTTTACTAACTGAAGCATTCCCAATTTAAAATCAATTTTTTTATTTTCATTTAGGATGATTCATATGTGTTCTAACGCTTAATAAAAATTTCATGTAATCGTCTTCTACTTTTTGTCGTTTCTGATTGGCTTTCTTTTGATTTTGATGTTTGGATATTGAGTATTTGGGGCGGGATATCGTTTTTGTTTAGTTTTAACAACGCTTTTAACTAACGACTGATAATACACGATAGGTGACGATGGTGCGTTTAGTAACTGAGGCCAAAATTTCCTACAGGTAATGTAACAATAACAAAGACGACATGGCTGTTTATGACCCCAGGTGACTTTCTTAGAATTTTCGGCACCTCAATAGGGTAGTTTTGTAAACTGATTATAAAAACAATTGCACTTAAATATGTTGGTGATATCTAAATATGAAAATATTTCTTCGTTATAGAGAATGGGTGTTTCGTTATAAAGAGGGAATTAATGTATGGGGGCATATTTCGATTTTTTTGCTTTGTGGCGTAATGGACTAACGAAAAGTCTATTCATATTTTGATTTAATTTACGTTCATTTGATAAAATAAATATTGAAAAATGTACTGTTAGTAGTTTTAATCAAGATATTGCACAATAATCAAGTTTTAGTAAAACAGTACGCATAAAATGGTCCGTTACGTCACAATATTCAAGTAGCTGTAATTCTAAAACTATGTGGTTATTATGTGGCGATAATTAAATATAATAGTACTAATCATTATAATACAAAATCATACATAAAACCCTGTTTATTTCAATTCAATTTGCCTAATTTAGTCCATTACGTCACGTTATTGTCTTTAATCAGTCAAAAATATAGATTTTTTCATTCATTTATAGAATTAAAGTATAGTTACACTGGTTATATTTGGAACATAGCATGTTTTTATATATTTTAAATTTATATCAAATTAAATATAATTTGTGACTTCAAAATGATGGGACCGTTGTCTAAATGACTAGACCTGGCATTTGAAAAAAAGAAACTACTTTTTCATGACCAGTGTTGAGCGGATCACAGAAATAAACAAAATTTTTTATGTTTGGCATAAAATTTGAATTTTTGACAAGTTTACTACGAACTGGCACATTAATGAGCGATGAGGTATAGTAATTATTAAACAATTATGTTAAGGTGAAGCGACACCAAAGTGGCGAAAAAAAACAGGTTGGTATGAGTATACATTAAGTATATTAAACAGTGATGTCACGTTCATCAGTGTCAGTTTCCCAATCGTTTTCTGATGATGAGGATGTGCACGAGTCTGTCACATTTATTATAAAACTGTAGACAGTTTAATCTATACTGTCATCCAGTCTATTTAATTTTTGTTCCTCTTTTATTACGTGTTCAACACAGTTCTTCCATTTTAACTGATTTATATTATTAAGCCCTTCTTCAAGCAACCCTTTCACATCAGCCATTTTAAAAGTCGTAATATTTCTTGCCACATGGCCTTTTACATCTAGCTCCATCGGATTGAGCTCGCAGTGGTAGGGTGGTAAGCGTAAAACTTCAATCCCAGACTGTTTAGCCGTTTCGTAGGATTTGTATCTTTCCTTTACATTTTTCACTTATTCTGGTAATTCTGATTTCGTGTCCTTAACTTCAAATATTATATATACGACAACCTGCCGTAGGTAGGTCTTCTTGGTGGCTAGGCCTCGCGCGTTCCAGTAGAGGAGCCTAAGCCCCATCATTGTAGTGGACGCCTCGGTTTAGGCACTCCGCCGCCTTCGAGAAGAGTGGTGCGGGATCTTGGTTGCTCTGCATTGCCATAAGGATTTGTAGCATCGCCTCCAGAGCAGTGTCTCGTGGGTTTGGCGTAGTCGGCGCCACGGGCGCGGGCGCAGAGGCGTGATGTCTTCTTATGTCCTGAGGAACATTAGTCAATTTTGGTGTTGGTACCCCTCGTGGTGGAACGCACGGGAGGGCGTGCGCGGATGACGCTTCAAGGCCACGGTGAGCGCGTCAGAACGGCGTCTGCCGCGTGAGGGTGGCACGAGTGTCCATTTGTCTCGCGCGGTTAGAGGTTAGCGCAGTTAGCGTAGGTAGCGGTCCTTGGGTCGCGAACAATCAGCTGCACGGTGGCTACCTGCACACTTTACGCAGGCGATGGGCCGGTGGCATTAGTGCAATGAGTGCCTGAAGGATGGTGCGGGGCCCTTCCTGCTACGCCACGCCTCCACGGTGACACCGGGCATGCAGAGAAGTTCTTCCATGTTGTAGATTGCAGGGATGAGATCCGGTGTGCGCCTGATCTGCGTGAAGAAGATACATCCCGGGCGGCCTCTGCGAACGCGGATAGGACGCATAGGCCGGCAATGATGTCCTCTGGAGTTGTGTCAACCGGGATACCCCTGATCGCCACCTTCAAGTCTGGTTCAGCTGGGAGTGAGTACGAGACCCACGAGATGTTTTCGTGGGCCTCGAGTTCGGTAAGGTATCTTTGAATTAACCTGTACTCGCCCTCTTCATCGGGCGTAAAGCCAGTTAGGCAGAGTTTCCACAACGTTCGGTGGCGCCCACTGTCGACTGAGTTGGTGCAGTTGGCGCGGCTGCGACAGACGCGTAGTTAGGTGCCTGTACCTCCGGAATTTCAACGTCTGCAGGGGCGGGAGGAGTGCCTGGCGTGCCACAGTTCATAGTGCAACTGTCTTAGCCACATAGCTTCTTGAGTAGCAGCTGAGAGCGCCATATACTCCGCCTCAGTTGTTGACATGTTTTAACTAAGTTTCATTCAGCAAGCACACATCTGTTTTATTTTCATATAATAAAGATTTAAGAAGTGGTTTTTTATTATTGACACTCTGTTTGTTATGTTGCAGTTATCTTAAATAATCCATTATTTTGTTAAGTTTTGAATTAAGATATCCTTAATGTGAGTTGTGTTTGCTGTATTAGAATTGCCTAACATAACTAAAGTTTTGATAATTTTACTCAAGAACTGATCATCCGTAATGAGCGGATCATAAGAAACAATATTAGAAGGAACAGACTGGACTGGAGTTGAACTATCTGAAGAATTTTGTGATAACTTTTGTTTCTTAGGTACTGATTTATCATTAGGTAACGGAGAAAAATCACTTGACAATAATACAGTTGAATACATTTTAGATGAATAATTATTCTCATGTTTTTAAATCTGAGCTGCTTTTTGAGGACAAAACCAGGATACTGCCAAGTGGTCCACAGTTTACACACTTCAAAAATTCAGCTGAGCATTCCTTATAGGAATGACCACCTGAACACTTTGAACATACCTGATCGTTTCGACATACTTTGGCACTGTGTCTAAATCTCATGCATTTAAAACATTGCATGAGAGGCGGACTGTAAGTGAAAACTCTGTAATGCCAGTTGTCTAAATAAACATTCTGAGGGAGAACAGTTCCTACAAAGGTAACGCTTATAGTAGTGAGGGGTTCCAGACCATCACCAGTTCTTTTCATAAAACGTCTAACACCAACAATTCCGAGGCCCTTTCATCTTTAACCACTTCATTAAAAACAAAATTATCACGAATATTTCAAAAATCACATTACATACATTTACTAAACATCTCAAACGATATCTTGTTAACCTGTCCTATTCTGATACTGAAAATATTCTTATTGTGCAAAAATAGTTTTAATAGACGACTCATTGGTCTAGTGGTTAGTACCCCTGACTGCGAATCCATGGGTCCCGGGTTCGATCCCCGGCTGAGATGAATATCGATGTGATGAGCATTTGGTGTTGTGCTTAGGTCTTGGGTGTTTAAATATGTATTTATATGTCTATCTATCTATAATATGTATGTATATCCGTTGCCTAGTACAAATAACACAAGCTTCACCAGCTTAGCATGGGACTCGGTCAATTGGTGTGAATTGTCTTTAAAAAAAAAAATATATATATATATATAAATGTGTAGAAATAATTAATATAATTTTTAAAATACTGTTTACGTGTCAAAAGGAAGAGACTGGCTGCCCACAACACAGGTAATCCTAGTGTGGGGGCCAGTGCACTTTACTTTATCTAAATATCTTGTATATTGTGCATAATAAAGTTTTTTCTTTCTTTCTTTCTTTCAATTACAGAGTCTGCCATTAGTTTGTGGTATAAATCCGCGTTACTGCGTAAACGGGGAAATCTTCTATATTACTTTTATCCGGGTGTGATCGCTTATAATCGGGTTTAGAGTAAGGTTTATACTTATCAACATTTTTAGATTTTACAGAAGTATCTAATTGCCTCTTTTTCGAGTCTACGGGTGACTTTGTAGACCAATCTTTATCACCGTCGCTCTCTGACATTATTCTCTTTTAAAAGTACTCTGTCTTGAAAAAGAAAATTTAATTACATTTTATTTGAAATACGCGGCTCTCCTTTTCCCGCCAAAGAGGAAGTCTCACTTCGCATAACTTTAATAGTGTGGCCTGTTATATTTTTACTCTCACTTATATAGTTCCTAATATGTTCTGCTGTTTCATTTTCATTTCGTAAAGAATATATTCTTCTATATTTTGAGTAATTATAAATTATTAGTTAAAGGAAATATTTTGCACCTCCCACTGACTCTTACACCATTGGTCCATATATGTCCATGTTTATTAAATCTCCTGGTTTCTAACCTCTTGTCACTTTTATTAAATGGCAGCTTTAGTTGTTTGCTATTTTTTTTTTCCGTTTCCGGCTGTCAAAAGTACAACATACGCAAAATTACTCTGCTACAAATCATTGAATAAAAAATATTTATAAGAAGTCATAAGTGCTAAAAGTGAGTGAAAAACAACAAATAACTGGTGGAGCATCAAAATCAGTATCAATACTTTATGTTTCAAGATTAAATCAACAAGAAAACACCTAAAAGCGTATCAACGCATTGCTATTGTAGTGATTAATTTTTTCTTCTTCTTTTTCCAAATTGGCAATTCGAAGCTGATGATCATAAGTGCCAGTGGCAAGTCAAAATATATCTCAGCTCACGAATTGTAATCGGTACAGTTTTATGAAAGTAATAATTAACACGGAATTAAGTGACTCATCATCATTTTAACAACTTGACTTCTATCATAACAAGACAACAATAAAAAGGGTTGCCAACTCAAAAATTAAAATTTCCCCATAGAAAATTCATAAATGCAACAGTTGTGAAAATAAAGAGGTAGCAGTATATATATAAAAAAATACTAGAAAACCACCAAAAACAGAGAAACAAAAATACAATGGATCTTCAAGTAAAATTAATATTAGAAAAAATGGAAGAAATGAAAATTGATTTTAATAAAAACAAACTGAAGAGTTGGCAGAAAAATTTAACAGGAACCTGATAAATGTTATTGACGAAAAACTAAAACCAATAAGAGAAGAAAACAAAAACCTAAAACAAGAAGTAAAAACTCTTCAGACACGAGTCAGGGATCTAGAGAGAACTACAAGAAAAAACAACATTATACTTCATAACGTAGCAGAAACCGAAACAAACACGAATGATCTCATGAAAAACGTACTAGAGATACTAAACGAAATTAGTCGAAAAAATAAAGAAACGCGGGAATGGGACCAGTGGGAACTCAGCAACCTAAGAAGGCTCGGTAAGAAGATGGAAGGTAAAAAAAAGACCAATACTTATAACACTCACTCTAGCATGGCGGAAGTATGAACTCCTAAAGAACAACCACTACTTTCCTTCTAACATATTTGCTACGGAAGACTATCCAAAGGAAGTTCTAATCAAACGTAAAGAGTTAAAACAAATGAAAATTAAGGCAGAAAAGGATGGGAAACTAGCTTCTATACGATATGACAAACTAATAATACAAGAAAAAGGTATAACAGATGCCAAAAGGAGAAGGTCATCTTCAGATAATGGTAACGGCAGCAAAAACACAGAAACATCGGCACCTACAAAAATGAGTAAGTCGCACCCACAAATATTTCGTTCAAGAGCAAACTCAGCTTCCAATACTGGCAGAACAAACAATCAATAAAACTTATACACGGCAGACCAGAACCAGGAGAAAGCACGACAACTATAAACAGAACAATAACGACAGATTACTCCCCAATCCGGCTGGTCCCCGTGGGGAATGCGACCACAACCCTCCATCAAACAAGGTACATATAGCAACACAAATAGCAACACTTAACACTCGAACCCTTAGAACAGATGAAAGTCTTAAAGAATTAGAACTAGCGATTGAAAACCTCAATTGGGATACCATTGGTATTAGTCAAATGAAAAGACTGAGAGAAGGCATTGAAGAGTATCCAAAATATGTAATGTATTACAAAGGAGAAAAGGCTGGCCATAGAGGTGTAGGATTTCTTGTAAAGGCATCTCTAAAGAATAATATCCAGGAATTTGTAAGCTTAAACGACAGAATAGCTGTACTCAACATACTCCTCCCAGGCTACCCAGAACAATGGACACTAATACAAATCTATGCACCAACAGAACAAGCCGATGAAACAGAGACGGAGCTCTTCTATAACACTCTAGCGGACCACATAAGAAACAACCAAAATAAAAACACTATAGTCATGGGCGATTTCAACGCCCAAATCGGTACTAGACAAGCCAACGAAGATATTATAATTGGAAAACATGGCCATGGCAAAAGAAGCGTTAATGTGCAACGACTGGCAGAATTTTTAATGGAGAACAACTTATACCTAATGAACTATAAGTTTAAGAAGAAAACAAAATGGACATGGGTCTCCTCTGATGGAAAAACTAGAAATGAAATTGATTACATCCTATCGAATAATCCCAAAACCTTTGTCGACGTAGACATTATTCAAAATCTTAACTTTAATACTAACCACAGAATGGTTCGTGGAACTCTACTTCCAAAAAACATTAAAAAATCAAGAAAACATATACACAAAACTACAGGAAAAGATTTTAAACACGTAAATCTTCAAGAAGTAAAAACTAAAATTAACTCCTTAGATAAAAATGAAACCAACAAAACCCTACACATTACAGAACAATATAACAGCCTAGAATTACAACTGACCAGCAGTGTTAGCAACATACAACAAAATGGAAAAAAATAAATCAAAAAAACTCAGTGACAAAACGCTAAAACTACTTGCAGAAAGAAAAGAAATGATACAAGACAAGAAAGGAAATTTAAGAAAAATTAATAAACTAAGCAAACAAATACGAGAGCATATAAGGAATGACCAAAGATCTAAGAGACTAAGAACGTTGGAACATTACATAGAAAAATCTGGTGGCACAAGAAAGGCTCTGAAAGTACTACGAGAGAAAAATTACTGGATTCCAAAATTGAAGAAAGCAGAAAAGAGTTTTACTCAAAGGAAGGACATTCTAGAGACAACAACAGACTTTTATAAGACACTTTATTCCGATCAAAGTAAACAAATAAACTATGAGACAAATGCAAACAACAAAAACAAAGTGATAAACCCTTCAGAATATAGCACACAAGACAAAGAACTTGATATACTACAGTGCGAAGTGGAAAAAGCAATAAGAAGTCAATATCTTCAACAAAATAGTTAACACAGGCATCATCCCACAACAATGGAACATATCACATATAATATTGATCCATAAAAAAGGCTCTAAAGAGGATGTCAATAACTACAGACCCATCAGCCTTATGTCTAATATCTATAAAATATTTTCAAAGGTACTTTTCAACAGGATATGTAAAAAGATTGATGAAAATCAGCCAGAAGAACAAGCAGGCTTTTGAACCAATTACTCCACTTTAGATCATATTCATACCGTTAAACAAATTGTTAAACTGAACGCAACCACTTAACATTATGTAGTCTGTATCTGTCAATGTAATCTGTAATAATAATTGTATCGCCCCTGTCTGTTCCAAGAAATTGAGCGGTTCGCACCATTGTCTAACTCAGCTGTTTTATTTATTTCTCTTTACTAAATTCCTACTCTAAAATAGTTTGTAACAGGTTATGGGCCCAGACGCCCGGATAGAAATAGGGAAGTAGGATTAATAAAGTGAAAGGCATCACGTTGATGCAAATTGATTTCGTGATACGTCGCGACGTCATAATAATTTTTCAGCATACAATGGCGGACCCCCGTTTTGCTCAAATTGATCGTTTGGCGGGCCGTGATAATTATCCTACATGGAGTTTTGCGGTGAAAACCTTTTTAGAGCATGAAGATTTGTGGAAATGTGTCGAGACATCGGGCATGGCTTTTACGAAGACCGAAGATACGAAGGCAAGGTCAAAAATAGTTCTTCTAGTTGACCCTATGAACTATGTTCATATCCAGGATGCCACCACGGCTAAGGAGGTATGGGATAACCTGAGAAAGGCTTTTGATGACTCCGGCTTGTTGAGGAAGGTAGGTCTTCTGCGAGAACTAATTACTACAGATCTGGAAAGTTGTGGTAGTGTTGAGAACTATGTCAACAAAATCATCACATGCGCACACAAGCTTCGTAATATAAAATTCATTGTAGATGATGAGTGGCTCGGCACATTATTATTAGCCGGGTTACCAGAGTCATATAGGCCTATGATTATGGCTATGGAAAGCTCAGGTGTGTCCATCACTGCTGATTTAGTTAAAACAAAGATTTTACAGGATGTAAAGTCTCCGGACAACTCATCTGTTTTTTTTTTCAAATTTCCACAAAGGCAAGGCAAAGAATAGTAAATGTTCAGGTTCTAAAGCAAATAGTAAAGGTCCCAGGTGCTTTAGGTGCAATAGGCATGGTCATTTAGCCAAATTTTGTGCCTCAAACAGCTCAAATCAAAAGAATAAGTCTGAAACTATTAATACTTCTTCTAGCTATGTTGCAGCGTTTCCAGCCTCACCAAGCCTAGAGAGTGGATGCTGGTACATTGATTCAGGAGCTGCAATGCACATGACAAACAAGAGAGATTGGCTTTATGACTACGGACCTGCTTTAGTAACAAACATTAAAGTTGCAGACAACAAAATATTAACAGTAAAAGGCTGTGGTAAAGTAAATATAGAAACATATGATGGTGAAAGTGAATTAAAAATTGGTACAATACAAGTAAAAAATGTTTTATATGTGCCAGATTTGGCTGTTAATCTTCTGTCAGTCCGCCAAATGACACAGAATAACTGTCAAGTAAAATTTAGCAAGAATACATGTAATGTTTATAAAGAGTCTAAATTGATTCTCACTGGATATATAAAGAACAATTTATATGTGGTTCATAATGAAACTTATGCTTTGATGTCATCTGTACATCTATGGCATCAAAGGATGGGTCATCTAAATTATAATGATCTTCAGAAACTTAATGAGTCTACAGAAGGAGCAGATATAGAATCAAGTAGAGAGGAGCATGTGGTATGTAATACTTGCTTGAAAGGTAAGCAAACAAGGCAACCATTCAAACATGCTGGCACAAGGGCTTCTGCCCTCCTGGAGTTGGTGCATTCAGACGTATGTGGGCCAATGGAGGAAAAGTCTCTCGGTGGTGCCAGATATTATGTCACTTTTGTCGACGATTGGTCTAGAAAGGTATTTGTTTACTTTATCAGCTCTAAATCACAAGTACTCGAAAAGTTTAAAGATTTTAAGCTACTAGTAGAGAATCAATTAAATGCTAAAATTAAAACACTAAGATCTGACAATGGAAAGGAGTATGTCAATGAAGCATTTGATAAGGTTTGTAGGGATTCTGGTATCAAACGTCAACTCACTATACCCTATACCCCCGAACAGAACGGCATGAGTGAGAGGATGAACCGAACTTTAACAGAACGTGCTAAATGTATGCTTATTAATTCTGGCCTACCTAAGAAGTTTTGGGCTGAGGCAGTAGCCACTGCTGCATATGTTATCAATCGCTCACCAACAAAGTCTTTACAATATAAAACTCCTGAGGAATTATGGTCCGGCATTAAACCTAATATCAGTAACATTAAAGTGTTTGGTTGCAGAGCTATGATGCATGTGCCAAAGGAGAAGAGGTTAAAATGGGACTGTAAGTCAAAAGAGCTTATATTTGTAGGTTATTGTCTAGAGTCCAAGGGTTATAGATTGTTTGACAAAACTGAAGGAAAAGTAATGAGAAGCAGAGATGTAATATTCCTAGAAGAAAGTGTAAATAAAGATTTTGCTTTTCTACCACTTACTGAATCGCAAGTAGTTATAAATGAAGATAATTTAGATGATACTACTGACATGACTTTAAAGGAAATTGATAGTGCAGTCTGTGCAAGTGATGATGATTATGTCCCGGAGCATTCTATATCCAGGAGTGAATCCCCTATAAACAGAATTAATTTAAGGCCTAGAAAACACAGAGCTATGCCTACCTTCCTCTGTCAGAATGAAATTGAGAAATCTATTGAGTCAGATCCTGAAACATTGGAGCAAGCCTTGCAATGTGAAAACTCACAAAAATGGATAAGTGCCATGGATGATGAATACAATTCATTATTGGAAAATAATACATGGACTCTGTCAAAACTCCCTTATGGAAGGGTTGCTATTCCCTGCAGATGGGTATTTAAAACTAAAATAGATGGCGATGGAAACGTCACAAGATATAAGGCGAGATTGGTTATAAAAGGTTATCAGCAGAAACAATATATAGATTACAATGAAGTCTACGCACCTGTTGTGAGATTAAGTTCCATTAGATACCTGCTTGCAATAGCAGCTAAATATCAGCTCAAGATAGAACAGCTGGATGCCGTCACAGCATTTTTACAGGGTGACATAGATGTGGAGCTATACATGTCACAACCATCCAGATATGATAATGGGACAAAAGAAGTTTGCAAATTGAATAAATCAATATATGGTTTGAAGCAAGCCAGTAGAACTTGGAACAAAAAGCTTGATAATTTTTTGAGTAGTATTGGATTTTCAAAATCGAATGTAGATCCTTGTGTCTACTATAAATATGAAAATGAACATGTTATGTTTATAACTATATATGTTGATGACATTTTGTTGTTTCACAACTGTCAGGAGTCAGCAAACAATATAAAAATAAAAATGAAGAATAATTTCAAAATGAATGAGCTTGGAATAGCTTATTGTTATATTGGACTTTGTATTTCATACAGTTCAGAAGGAATAGCCATTGATCAAACTAGGTACATAGAAAATACATTAAGACGTTTTGGTATGGAACAATGTAACTCAGTAGGAACTCCAATGGAACCGAATATCAAGTTTTCAAGTTCTGAAAAATTTGAAAGTATACCTTACCAGGAAGCCACTGGCTGCTTATTATACATCTCACAAGGAACTAGGCCAGGGGTTGGGTGTTAAATACCACCGCACTTTTTTGACGATATTAATTATCTAGGAGTGTCCGGGGACCTTCATTGGAACACCTCCAAGTGAGTTTTGCTCCGGAAACGCGTCTAAATATTTTTATAAAAAATTTAAAGTTTTGTGTAATGTATTAAAATTTGTAAACAATCCGCCATTTTCTACTTTTCTATTGGTTATAAGTGATGTGACGTTCACTTAAAAAAATCGTGTTTTTAATTTATCGATTGTTAATAATCGTTTTATTTATTTATCGATTATTTCCTCATTTTTGAAATTTAAAGTTATAGAATAATCAACATTGAAATTAACCTAATTTCGTGTTGATAGATTATAGGGTTCCGAAATTTTTTGAAATTATCGATACCTACTCGTCTGTATTTTCTAATTAGTACTTGTATTTCATTGTTTGCAACTTTCTATATTATTTAATTTTTACTAGAATAAAGTGTTTACTTTAATATCCAAAAAGTACCCAAAACCGAATCAGAGCACCCCACTATCCACGTGGTCTTGTCTGTCTTACCCCTAGAGTGTATATAAATAATCGGAGGCGCGGAGGAAGAGCAGCCCCCACCCGCTGTAACAAAGCACAGGCATTATGAAAGCTGTAGCGGCTGAGGCTGGTCGCCGAAGGCGACCAAAAAGCCGAGGTTGCGGAGGCTTGAATAAAATGCCTGTGCTTTGGTACGCAAGGGTGGAGGGGCTGCATTTCCCGTAGCGCCGGAGCTGTCCACAAAAACAAATATTATTTAGATTGGTTAGGTTAGAGTTAGTATATGAATATTTGGTCGCCGAGAAGCCGAGGCTTGAATAAACAATTACTATTTAGATCGGAGCTGTCCACAAAAAAAAATATTATTTAGATTGGTTAGGTTAGAGTTAGTATATGAATATTTGGTCGCCGAAGGCGACCAGGACGCCGAGAAGCCGAGGCTTGAATAAACAATTACTATTTAGATCGGAGCTGTCCACAAAAAAAAATATTATTTAGATTGGTTAGGTTAGAGTTAGTATATGAATATTTGGTCGCCGAAGGCGACCAGGACGCCGAGAAGCCGAGGCTTGAATAAACAATTACTATTTAGATCGGAGCTGTCCACAAAAAAAAATATTATTTAGATTGGTTAGGTTAGAGTTAGTATATGAATATTTGGTCGCCGAAGGCGACCAGGACGCCGAGAAGCCGAGGCTTGAATAAACAATTACTATTTAGATCGGAGCTGTCCACAAAAACAAATATTATTTAGATTGGTTAGGTTAGAGTTAGTATATGAATATTTGGTCGCCGAAGGCGACCAGGACGCCGAGAAGCCGAGGCTTGAATAAACAATTACTATTTAGATCGGAGCTGTCCACAAAAAAAAATATTATTTAGATTGGTTAGGTTAGAGTTAGTATATGAATATTTGGTCGCCGAAGGCGACCAGGACGCCGAGAAGCCGAGGCTTGAATAAACAATTACTATTTAGATCGGAGCTGTCCACAAAAAAAAATATTATTTAGATTGGTTAGGTTAGAGTTAGTATATGAATATTTGGTCGCCGAAGGCGACCAGGACGCCGAGAAGCCGAGGCTTGAATAAACAATTACTATTTAGATCGGAGCTGTCCACAAAAAAAAATATTATTTAGATTGGTTAGGTTAGAGTTAGTATATGAATATTTGGTCACCGAAGGCGACCAGGACGCCGAGAAGCCGAGGCTTGAATAAACAATTACTATTTAGATCGGAGCTGTCCACAAAAAAAAATATTATTTAGATTGGTTAGGTTAGAGTTAGTATATGAATATTTGGTCGCCGAATTTTCAATTATTTTTAATATTAAAATCGAATACAAAAATCGATTTTCACTTTTAAAAAAAACGATTAATTTTCACATCCCTATTAATTTTATAAACTTAATCGGCCATTTTGAATGTGGTTTATGCTAGACTAGCGGTAATTAGTTTTACAGTGCAAAGTTTACTTTATAAATCTTTATAAAAATTTTGACGCGTTTCCGGAGCAAAACTCACTTGGAGGTGTTCCAATGAAGGTCCTCCGAGACTCCTAAATAATTAGTATCGTCAAAAAGTGCGATGGTATTCAAAACTGTTACCCTAGGCCAGATATATGCTATGCAGTGCATACATTATGTCGATATAATAGTTCTCATACAGAAGAGCATTGGAATGCTGTTAAGAGGTTATTTCGATACTTACAAGGTACAAAGTATCTACAGCTTGTATACAAAAGTAATGTTGATGAAGAAATCACTGGATACTCAGACTCTGATTGGGCTTCCTGTACTGAAGACAGAAAATCATGTACTGGGTACATTTTTAATTTCCAGGGTGCAGCGATATCTTGGAATTCAAAAAGGCAGCAAACTGTTGCCTTGTCTACTACTGAGGCAGAGTATATGGCGCTCTCAGCTGCTACTCAAGAAGCTATGTGGCTGAGACAGTTGCACTGTGAACTGTGGCCTTCTTTAAAGGTTACACCTATTACTTTGTACTGTGATAATCAAAGTGCTATTAAACTTACAGGTACTTACAGTTATCATGCTAGGAGTAAACACATTGATGTTCGTCACCACTATCTGAGGAACAAAGTTGAATGTGGTGATCTCAAGATTGAATATGTGGGCACTGATTCGATGGTTGCTGACTGCCTCACCAAAGCGCTACCGAAGCCCAAACACCAGCACTTCCTCATCGCTATGGGTTTGCGTTCAAGGGAGGATGTTAAACTGAACGCAACCACTTAACATTATGTAGTCTGTATCTGTCAATGTAATCTGTAATAATAATTGTATCGCCCCTGTCTGTTCCAAGAAATTGAGCGGTTCGCACCATTGTCTAACTCAGCTGTTTTATTTATTTCTCTTTACTAAATTCCTACTCTAAAATAGTTTGTAACACAAATAATGGAAAAATACAGAGAATACAATCTACCACTATACACCGCCTTCATAGATTACAATAAAGCCTTTGCTAGCCTTAATCACAACTATATGTGGAAATGCCTACAACAAATGGGAATAAATAATGTGTATTTAAATCTATTAAAGGAAATATACAACCACAGCAAAGCAAGAATCAAATTAGAGAAACTAGGAAGCACCTTTCAAATCAGCAAAGGTGTTAGACAGGGTGATCCTATCTCACTGAAAATGTTCCTAGTTGCTTTGGAAGGCATTTTCCGAAATATCAGATGGGATCAAGTCGGTATAAATATTAATGGAAGATTACTTAGCCACATTCGCTTTGCGGATGATCTGATTCTTTTTTGAAGAAAACCCAAAAAAATTGCAGGTTATGATTGAAATGCTTACAAATGAAAGTATCAAAGCTGGACTAACCATGAATACAGAAAAAACTAAGGTGATGACAAACTCTATCAAGACAGAAATCAAAGTGAATGGAAAGATATTAGAGTATGTAGAAGAATATGTTTACTTAGGGCAAATAATATCTCACGAAGACCAAATGTCTAAAGAAATACATAAAAGAATTGCTAATGGCTGGAGAAAATACTGGGCAATTAAAGAAATAATGAAGAGCAAGGCTATGAATATAGGTCTAAAGAAAAAAGTATTTAATATCTGTATACTGCCCTGTGTTACATACGGATGTAAGACTTGGTCGAAAAGATGCGTCTAGAACGCGAAAAGCTGGAGTTTATTAATTCCGGAACGCAGGGTGTGTCACCGGCGGTGGCGGGAGGCACCAGACTAACAGAATAAATCTGCTTACCACCCATGTGGGTCTGAAGCGCCACGCCACTTATGGTGTAGGCCCAGTTAGGTTTCGAAGCTAAAGCGTTCCGAAACCTGCTTTGGAAAATCGCCAGGTCTGCGTTCATAACGTCGCCTCCGGTAAGGGTTCCACAAGAAACCACGTCAGAGGACCGCGCGTCGCAAACCAATAGCGAATCAACGAACAAGAGTAACCAAGTCCAAACCCAACGGCGAAACTGGCACCCTCGCGCGAACCGCATATATCAACCACAGCGACACCCAAGTAGCGAACGGTCTCGCAAAGCAAGGTTAGTAAGGCCTTGCAAAGCTCGACCAAAGCCTGAGCAACGCTACCCAGTGTTGACGGTACCCTAACAAGTGCGCCACAGAGAGAGAGAACGGTATTCCTCTGACTCAGCAGTCTGGCGTCCACGTACTATACTCATCTGTCTAGTAGCAGGAGGCACGTAAATACTAATTCTCACCCTAACGCTATATAACATCCACCGCAACTTTGCGGCAATACTGCCTACGCATACTGCCTACTCATACGAAGAACCTACTCAATCGTTCCCTGCGTGTACAGTTGCAGCGGTTGTTGTGGGTTCGTCTGTTTCTTCTCGAAGACCTGCCTAGACGGGTCCTTCAACAATCTCCCACTCTCAGGACAACGGTACAGACTCGCAAATTCAGTTGGTGAGTTGAGTACCGAGTGCAGCACCGAGAAGAACTTCGTTAGCTCCAACCCCTTTAGCTTATACCGTTCGACTACAGCGTCGGAAAGAACCTCGTACCATTCTGCATTACCCAAGGCCGACAAATTGTCAGCAATTGATCGCCTGTACTCCTCGACGTGGTCCTCGTCTCGCAGGTCACGCCTACCCAGCTTACAAAGAGTCTTCATGGGGTCCGGTATCAGCTGCAAACGGTGTTCACCGAGTAGCAGAAACTTCGAACAAAAATAAGCGTGCTTGAAACCGGTCAACAGTTTGGACTCTAAATTAAACAACGCCGCCAACTTTCCCGAGTTATCCACACTAGCCGCAAAACGAGACTGCATGTACAACAAAGAGTCGTCACCAGCGAAAAGTCCCAGAACTATGTCGTCGACATCGTAAGTAGCCAACACGACGGCCATGCAGAATAAAGTATTTCCTAAGAAAGTACTTGCATCACCCGACCGCCGTTGAAACTTTATATCAGTTATGCCATTGTGCTTGTCCACAAACCTACTTTCGGCGTGCGAGTTGTACCAAAGTTCCACAAGATGTTCAGCTATTCCGACAGTTCTCATAATAGAACACTCAAACATAAGTACAGCCGCGTCCTGTGACTTGTATTTGCGCATGTCATTTTCCACTGCGTAGCATCTCGCCAGCCTACTAGCATCCACCAAAGCGTTCAGATGGTCCACGAACGCACTCGGTGACATACCAGTAAGTATTTGTAACTTCGGTAAGTACACGCGAAGCAAACGATCTCGCACTTCAGGGAAGATTGTACAAAACACCACGTTCACATCCTTCGTATTATACGCGATTGTCTGCACACTTGCGTATTCGTGCTGGGCCGCTTCCTCCAAAGGGGGCTTCAGGTCCGCCTTCACCATATAGGAAAAGGTATTGAAAGCACGTGTCTCCAGACCTGCATCTGACTGCGCTTGCATCGCCACTTGGGGTTTCTGTGTAAGCAACCACTTGGTCACAAGCGCAGGGTTGAGGTCTATTGGGTCATCTTTATACTCATCCAGTAAGAAAGCCTTGTCAGGATCCACAGCACTCCTAAGGAAGTTAACAGCCATACACTCTCCGACAAAGTGACGAGTGTTGGTTGCTTCCGCCAAGCGCGGCGCGTTCAGGTTTCGCTTAAGTATACCCAACACAGCTTCCTTTTGACTGTTCATCCGTCTGTTGGGCATCATAGTGCGCAAGACGGGCTGCATGGTGGCGAACTTCTTCTCCTTGAGGTACGATTTGCCAGGTTCGATGGACAATTTATCTACACCCAAGGACAGGTCACTGTTGTCGACACACAACTGATCGTGTTCGTATAGAACATCCGCGTGACTGGGGTACGCAGCGTCGTATATGCTCTGCAGAAAGGGTAAATCAAGGTCTATAGCGGGAGACCTCCGAGGTTGTGGAGCCGACTCAGCGCCGCGCCAGGCCACATAATAGTCTTTGACTCTATGCGCCAGCGCCGGCAACCCGCGTAACAACGCCGTCGCCACAACGTCTTCCTCCAATCGTCTCCTCACTCCAAAGATCTCAGTCTGCGGTAACCAGCGCTCAGTCGCAGCGTCACTATTTCACCAACAACCGGGTCCTTTCTAATGATAACGCACTCACTGTTTCGCAGTGCACGCTCCAACCTCCCAACGTCCGGCCGGTATATTTATAAAAATCGGGTTTTCTAGATCTCAAAAAGATCCTTGTTTATATGTTAAGGGATCAACATTTATTTTAGTATGGGTTGATGATTTCCTTTTAGTATCTGAGTCATTAAATGATCTTCAAAGTATTATATCTCATTTAATTGCTATTTGATGTTAGGGATCTAACTTCATCGGAAGAATTGCAATTCTTGGGTATAAAAATTCTTAGGAATGAAAATGGAAGTATTATGCTTAGTCAAACCGCTCTTATTCAGATAATTATTTCGAGATTTAATATGACTGACTTGAAGCCTAGTAAGATACCAATTCAACCTAAACTCAATTTGACCAAATCTAATAACATTGATGTAAATTTGAAAGTCCCTTATAAAGAATTAGTTGGTAGTTTGATGTATCTTATGTTATGCACCCCCCCTGATTTATGTTTTTCCGTTTCTTATTTTGGAAGATTCCAAAACTGTTATGATGTAAGCCATTGGAAGCATTTGAAACTTATAATTAGATACTTGAAATATACTTTACGTATAGGTTTAAATTTTAAAAAATCTGAGAATAACACTTTTGATATTTATGTTTTTGTAGATGTTAACGATAGAAAAAGCACTTCAGGTTATGTAATTAAAATTAATGATAATGCAATTTGTTGGTGTTCTAAGAAGCAATCCTTGGTTGCTCTTAGGGTGAGATCTATAGTGCGCACTTGGACTTTGCTCAGACTTACCTTACGAAAAACTTTGCTTAGTGTACACTAAGGTTAAACTATGATTTCGTATTTATAGACATTTTAACGGTGAGATTAAGCTAAGCCCAAGCTAAGACAGAAAATGTCAAAATACAAATTGATGTTTCATTTCATGCAATACTTTGTTTATTATCCTTTAAAAAAGTTAACGATAACAAATATTTAAAAATCTAAAACGGTACACATATATCTTCAATTTATTGTTATTTATGTATTCATTTATTTTATTATTGCAATAACTAGAAATTCACGAGTAACCTTTAGAAAATGTATTAATTATTTAAAGATGACAATAATTTTATTACGTAGAACGGATCGCAATGTTTTGACAACAGCAACAGAGCACTTGTATCAACTATCAACAATTGAAAATTTTAAACCACTTACAAGACAATTTATTAAATTGATCTTTCTTCAAAACAACGACTGGCTTTGTGACTTGGACCTGGACCAATCTGGATCGTATACCTACTTAAGACCTACGCATTCCCGAAACACTGTGACGTTTTGTGATTTGGCTTTGTTACATGGACCGCTTGGAAATATCAATATCGAAAGTGACATGATGGAGAGAGAGAGTTATATCTTCAATAGAAAACATTGAAAGGGTAGGAACTGCAGCCGATATGAATCCACGAATGCCTAAAGTGTTGTATATGTTCGGAACTAATAAAACCAAAATCCTTCCATCCTGTACGGTGAGAATGAATTCAAAAGAAGGAACCGTATTTTGAAACACACGGTATTAAATGTGATCCTGACGCTGATCATTACAAACTTGCAACCATATAACAACAGAGGATCGCCAAACCTACCGCAATTGCAAATACTTATTGCATTAAGGCATAAAAATGCAACTGGATGTTTTCAGGTAATATTGTGTTCATAAATATGTATGGTTTTTCAATTTGATATATTATACCTCTTCTCAAATGATTTTAAATAGTACATATGTTGAAGACTTTTGTCTTCTGACTTTCAAACATAACATATATGTGACTAATAATACTTTATTGACATTACAGATGGTGTGTGGTGATCTGAACAGCATAAGCCAATCTACAGTCTGTTTAATTATAAAAAAAGTCTCTGCAGAGTTGAGTAAATTACTTCCTAGATTTGTAAATTTTCCAAGAAATATGAACACAGCCAAAACGAAGTTTGAAGAATTAGGAAGATCTAATACTCCCCATGGCCTAAACAGTATAATCGGAGCTATTGACTGCACCCATATAAAAATTAATAGACCCAAAGGTATCGCTCACTCTGAAGCATACAGAAATAAAAAAGGGTATTTTTCTGTAAATGTGCAAGCAATAATAGGGCCTGATATGGAAATATTTGCTATAGTGACTAGGTGGCCTGGCAGTTCACACGACAGCAGGATATTTAGAAAATGTCTGTTTTAGTAGGTGACAGCGGTTATCCAGCACTTAACTTCATGTTAACAACACTTTTAAATCCAATGACAAGAGCTGACAATATTTATAATTATTCTCAAATAAGAACTAGGCATATTTTTTAAAGGTTTTTCGGAGTGTGAAAAAGGAAATTTCCATGTTTACAGCTAGGACTACAGTCTAAATTGACAAATACTAGTTATATATAATTATAGCTTGTGCTGTATTGCATAATATAGGTATACAGAGAGGCGATGCTTATGATGATGGTGATCTTGCTGACAGCAGAAGTTGAGTAACACAGAAACAATGAAAGATCTCCTACAGGTCTAGCATTCCGGCAATCTGTGATTGCACAATTTAACTAGGTAATTTGTTTGGTAATAAAGAATATCAAAACAAAACTTGTTTCATTTTAATCATTTATTTTCTGATTCTTTTTTTAAGTGTAATACATATTTCTAATACTAATTTATATTTTTGTTGAAGAAATTCTATTTCTAACAGATTTTTTAATTTCATATGTTCCACTCCTATCTCAAATTTTTTAGGGTAGTCAGGTAATAAATGGTAGAAGATTCAGGGAAACGAAAATAACAGATGTGAAGCGAGAGACATCGGTTAGGTTATGGTTTGAATTTCGTTGTCACTATAATATGCCAGGGCTGCCAGGTGACATACAAAATCACACCAGTTATTTTTAAGATTTCTCAAAAATGGGGTTTGAACAATTACATAAATAATATAAATAAACAACAATAAATACCATAATAATGTGTAATTATTTTATTTCATGCATTTCATAGGTATTTATCAAGATCATTTATAATTTCTTTGAATTCAAATTCTATTTTTCCCAAAGTCTATGGAACTCCGATACAAAATGGCAACACCGTTCATTAAAAACCGACAAAAATAAAAAGTCCAGTAAAAGATATGATGGTAAAGCAAATTTTGGGCCATTATTTTTGTTAGGCTTATAGTCAAAGTTTTTGGTAAGTCGTCGATTTCGTGGACTTGAGATTAAGCTAAGCCAACACTAGGGAGAGATTCGCAGTTTGCTCTATAAATACCGACTGTGTCTTAGCTCGATAGTTAAGTCAGAGCAAAGTCTAAGTGCGCACTATAGATCTCACCCTTAGTTCTTGTGAAGCAGAATATTATGCTCTTGCTTTCAGTTTATTGGAATCTATTTTTCTGGAAGAGTTGGTATTTGAATAATTGTTTAATATTAGAAATTCTATTACAGTTTTTCAAGAACCATAGACAAGACAATCAAGGAACCATAAAGATTGCCCAAACTATGGAAACTAAAAGATCTAAACATTTTGATGTTAGATTTCATTTTGTTAAAGATTTAATTTCTAAGGGTAGAATAAAATCTTAATATATATAAACCTCGTGTCACAATGTTTGTCCTCAATGGACTCCTAAACTACCGAACCGATATCAATCAAATTTGCACACCATGTGCAGTTCGATCCAACTTGAGAGATAGGATAGGTAGTTTAAATCTCAAATTATAGTCGCAATTTTAATTTATTGCAAAATATTTGTTTATTATTTGATACAATTCTAACAGATGGCGCTGTGTTAAAATTATCAACGTTGCACATAAGCTGTCATCTACCTTTCACATAAGTTCTCCTACCGTTTCCCTTGAATAGTTTACTACTATGTAATATAACAAAAATCTTAGCCAGAGCAACGCTTGGCCGAGTCTACTAGTTAATCTATATAGAGTCTTGTGAACAGTTGGGAGACTTAATGACTAAGGCATTGCCTTTAAATAAGCTTGTTTATTTTTGTAATAAATTGAACCTAATAAATGTTTAACTTTGTATTTATGGTTTGTAGAATTGGGAGTGGGTGTAAGTGTTCAATTCTACAATAATTGATTGTATTTTTGTAAGGCAACACTGTCTTGATAAGAGGAAGGGTCGATGTTGTACTGCTCTGTTATTTTTGTGCTCTCGCCAAGGTGTCTCTAAGTAGGGCCGCACACCAGGCATACATTTGTTATTTACGGTATTTACGTCGCCACAATCGTTGCGCTACAATTGTATGCATATACAAATGTATTGTATATGCGCACATCGGAAGCACAGTTGTGGCACCGCTTTGAGAATGTCGACATCATCGTCTGATGACGAAGATTTCTTGATGTGGCGATTAATGAGAAAAAAAAGACGTTATTGGGTTCATCCGTTTAATCAAGATTGCACAATGTACGGGAATTTCAAAATTTCGCAAGAATTACAATCCGATGAAGAAAAGTTCCAGTTATATTATCGAATGTCTGAAAACACATACAAGCTATTATTAAATTTAGTTATATTAAGTTTAACAAAACAAAATACCCACTTCAGAGAGTGTATTTCGGCTGAAGAGCGTTTGCTCATCACTTTAAGGTATGTAAGATATTAAGTAAAAATTGACTTTCAGACTGAGGAGTCTCGTTTGATTGTTGTGCAGGTGACTCATCTGATTGAAGAATTGTACATGGTGCTTGCGAGGGCTGGTATTCTGATTGAGCAATCTCGGTTGCCCTTTGCAACGGACGGTCATCATTTAGAACTTGAGAAAAATTTGTATAAAATGTTGATAAATTTGAATTTGACGAACTCGTATCCAATGATCGACGTGGTAGCTGCCTGTACTTAATGTTTTCTATTAAGTCCAGTACCCCTCTTTGAAAGCTTAATTGCTGTTGCTGGGACATGGATGTCATGTGTGGAACTAAACTTAAAAGAAACATTTCACATGGATTTTTTGGTTGTTTCTCAGATCGTTGATTATTTTCCAGTCTTTGTTTTTTTAGTGTAAAATATTCAATAGTACATCTGTCTGCTTCATTCATGTGTTTCCGAGATTTTGATGGTTGAGGAGTCTGTATTGAGCTCGAAGAATGGGGACTGGGTACAGACGAACCAGCTGCAGGCGTTTCATTTCTCAGTGAATCTTCCTCGGCAGATGTGAAATCGGGAACATTGTTTGAAGTAACCTCAATCTGGGATTGAGATTCATGAGATTGGGATTCATGTTCAGAACGTTGTTCATCTTCTTGTACTGGTAAATTACCCTCTTGTGGTCGGTTTTTTGTAAAAGGGTTTAGAAATTTCAAATATGGCGCTAAATAGTACTCCTTTTTCGACCCAGCAGCGGACCCACTTTTAGGTTTTGTATTGAGAGATCGTATGTAGGCTGAACGTATGGATTTCCATTTGGACTTACAATCATCACCTGCAAAAATCAGTATTATTAATTAAAGTCAAATTACACGAATTGTTTCAGGTACTTGGCGACTGGATCCTCATTTCGAGCAATGTCTTACGTATTTAAAAGAGGTGAAACAACTATTGGAAAAATTATCGATGAAACTTGTGATGTTATATGGACAGTTCTACAGCCAATGTACATGAAAATACCCACAACAAATGATTGGATAGATATTTCAAAAGGATTTCTCGAAAGATGGCATTTACCTCATTGCATTGGTGCCATTGACGGAAAACATATTAGAATGAAGAAGCCTATAACCTCTGGATCTTCATACTTTAATTATAAAGAATATTTTTCTATTAACCTTATGGCGTGTGCAGATGGAAACGGATTATTTACGAGTATCGATGTGGGTGATTATGGGAGGAATAATGATTCAGGAGTATTTAAAAATTCGGGATTAGGCCGAAATATACCTACGCCACGGCCCTTGCCAGGTGAAGAAGAATTTGGACGGTCATTTCCTTATTACTTTGCAGCTGACGAAGCATTTCCCCTGTCCACTAATATAATACGACCGTACAATAGTAGATCTTTAAACAATGATCGCCGAATATTTAACTATCGACTATCCCGTGGACGAAAGATTGTCGAGTGCACCTTTGGTATGCTAGTGTCTAAATTTCGAATTTTTGAAACTCCAATTTCATGTTCAGTCGACAAAGCAGTCAAAATTGTTAAAGCTGCTTGTATTTTACATAACTTTATAAAAAAGAATGATAATATAATTTTAACTCCAACCGAAAACGGAAATATACCTAACCCCACTACCAATCATATAAATCAAGGCAGACCGAATAACGATGCTACTGAAAATCGAAATTATTTGTGTAATTACTTCTTAAGAGCGCTTATCCCAATTCAGCCAAGTCAAAATCGACGCGAGACGAGCTACACAACAACAAAATGCGTCTGTGTGCGTAAGCGCTATCTCGAACGTGGAATAGTAGGATAAAATAATATTGATACTTTGATATACACGGTCACGTGTGTGTGCCCCCATGAAACTTTTTAATTTTTATCAAACTAGTATTGGGTAAATGATACATCATAAATTACATTTTTAGATTTTATTATTTACAAACAAGTGCTCCTGATTGGCATCGACCGGCTTTTCCTGGGGTCGATATATTCAGGTAAGAGGCACTTTTCGTAGAAATTGATTAATTTCGGTTTCATTTTTTGGCACCAAAAAACCCTCGTCCCTTGATATTACTTCCACTTTAAGTGGAAATTGTTGACCAGTCCACACAGCAAAAAGACACAATTTCTTTTCGCTGAAACATAAAAAAAAAATGTGAGAATGATTATCGTTACATTCACGTTAGACCCACCAGGCACGCCGTTTGATTTTTACCCACCAGACTTCCCGAGGGTTAAAAGATGTACACCTTTTTAGGGGCGTTTAGTTCAATTTACGATTGGTATAGCTCGTGCAACGAAACGCGCCTAAACGGTATATCGATAATATGAAAAAATATTAACAATGCTGCAGTTACCTAATGTGAAGCTGCCCCTGAATTTGGTAATACCAATCGTGGTTGGTATTAACGGTGCCGTCCAATTTCCAAAATTTAATTTTGCTCTGCCTTATCGCTTCCTCAGCATCCATGTTGCGTGCAGAATATGGACATTTTATTTCAATAATTCCCTGGTTGTAGAGACCATCGGGAGATGCACCCAAGAAATAATGCTCTTTGTCGATGAAAAGTCCACACTTTTCCACAACGATGTTTTCTTGTTGCTGTAGTTGGTCTATAGCATTACTTTTACCATATTCTATGGCTGGCACTTTGTCCAACGAATACGAGTATACGATGGACTTCACAAGAGGTGCTGAGCTTATGTTGGGTCGTCTCTTGCAAATCTAAAAAAAAAATAGTACGGATAGCTGAGTTACATTCCAGGAAGAAACCTGCGCTTATATTAATATTTAAATTACCATGCTGAATGATGAGGCTGTCAACAGGCATCTACGGAGCTCTAGCCACAACGCACTTTCAGCTTGTAATACCGTGTCACGTTCAACGGCATGACGATTTTCCACAAGTTCTTTCAAATTAGACAAAAACAAACTTTTGGCTATGTCGTACTGCTCTGGACTCAAATCTGGTTTTTGGCATTTCTCTCCGTAGTCTCGGTTCTCATTACTAAATATTATTTTCCTTTTAGGACCTTGACGGCGGCGATGAATATTGCGCCTACGCCGGCGCAACTCCAGTATTTTTACAGCTTTCCTCGGACTTTGTTTGAAGTTAGTTTGGTATAAATTGTACTGTGGTTTACCGGTATTAAATGCAACAACCGCAGCATGGCACCTATAATAATAATAAAATATCCATTATCCACAAACAATATGCTACAAATTCTATTCTATTCTACTCGTAATATAAAGGAAAGAGCAATTAGACATTTCATAATACCTGGCAGTATAAGAGTTTTTTAAAGAAAAATTTATTCTTTTTCCCCCTATATGCTTAGCCACAATGCTATTAAACTGTTCGGCTCTGTTGTTGTTGACATTCCAGAGTAAACTTTTAGAATGCAAGGCTATTTGGGACACGTGAGCTATAAGTTTACCAAACAAGTTTTTTACAACAGGAACTAGGTTCTGCTCTTTTTTTTTATCCTCTGGACAATAATAATTTTCACATGCACTGTGGTCGCCAAAAACATGCTTCGGACTGTTGATGATGTCGTCTCTTAGTTTTAAATTTTTTTCAGAGTTGCTTGTAGTTTGAGCATTGCGAAAGCGAGCTGCTGCTCTTACCGCTGTTCGGAGACGAGTGATGCGTTCGGAAGTTAATAATTTGCGCTCAGTAAGAGGAATCGAAGTATCTTTTTGCAGTTGCATTAGTTTGCTACAGTAGTTTCTTAATAAGTGATTGGAGCATTCAATTTTCTGGACTTGAACATTGGCATAGGGCCGGCTTTCCAAAATTTTTTTGTATGTGCTCGCATCTCCATCGGCGATAAGCGTCGAGTATATTAAATTGCGCTTTTCAACTGAGTTTTTGAAGCCTTCGACAATACTAGCTTGTTCCATGCTACTCGAGGAACCTGTGTGATTGATTACGAGCACATTTATGATTTGGAGGCGAATTATTGTTCTTCAACGATCGGGCACAAATTATGCAGTATTTATTTTTTACTTCCATATGTAACACCTTCCCTGTTTTAATTCCAATAATTGCGCCTGCTCCAGAAGGTGCAGAAAAGTTACTTTTGTAGGACCGTTTCGACCAACAAGCATCGGCTACTACTGTGATTGAAGGAATTCCTGTTATAACTTCACCACCTTCGATGGCTAGCTTTGCTTCCTCCTCAGCAGCCTCTTTCATTGATGCCTCTGCAGCAACTGCCCACCACTTGGATACGTCATTATGGCAAGTTGCATAAGATTTTTGACCTAAATTTGGAAGATCTATAGCACTCAAAAACTCATTCAGGTTGCTCCAACCACAACCAATTAACATGGCACCAGTCACTGCAGCATGGTTTGTGGTCATCTCTTTTGGAAAATTATTATTGCATAGTGTGACATTAAATTTCTTGTTACACATTGTACATTTGAAGTGGATTGTCGATTCTAAGCCATTAAGTATTTCTTTGACAATTTCAACATTACTTATTGAACAACCGAGTCCAGGATTATGGTTAGCTACGATTTTGATTTGATCAAAGAAATACATGAAATCAACAATCCTTCTTCCTATAATTTGATATGGAGGAATGATATGTTTTTGTGGCTCCACTTCCTGAAATCAGTAATCAAGATTAATAATTGAATTACGCATGGCAGATAGCGTGACTACGTGATATAGTGACCAACGTTATATACCAATTCAAACTCTTCAATATTTGCCGTTTCTTCTAAATGTATATTTTGTTTTTTCTCATCTATTTTTTCCAGATCCGATATGAGTGCATCAAATAATTCCTATTAAAAAAAAATAAAGAACTGGATTAACATTTTATTTTAAATAATAATAAAATAGTAGGAAAACTTGGAGATACCTCCAAGTTACATTGCGTACAACTTACTTGGTCACCTTACCCAAACATCACAAATCCATAAATAGGTATCTGATTTAATATAAATGACTACACGACATTCAGCCATCTGGTTTAATATTGCGCTCAATTACTTGGCTGGTTATTAGACAATGATTTAATTGGAAACCGGGGTTTAGTAAAAGCCTCTAATTTACTGATTAATTTACCCAGATGACTGCTAAATATATACTGATTTAAATTTAAGTATGAATAGCTAATTATACTAGCTGATAGTAAATACTTACATTGTCACGATTATTATTTTTTGAATCAACACAGGAGTCGTTATTGTCAGGAGATTCATGAGTACGTTGGTTTTTTTCCTCGTTAATCTTTCTCCTGGAAAACGTTTTATTATTATAACATTATTAAAATAAGTATTTAAACAAACATTTGTTTGTTTAAATACTTATTTTTTGACGTTACTTTTATAAATATTGGAAATTAATTGACATATTTTTATTTTATTTTTAAATGTAATACTATTGTATATGTAATGAATATTTACATCACAGATATAGATTTACATAGAAAACGCAAATGCATGTACTTCGCGTGTCCGAACCCCGACCAAGCGTCAAGGTCGATCGCCGCTAACTTCAGACCACGCGCGTCATAAGAAAAGACTAACGGTATAATGTAAGCTGGTAGCAAAGCTAGTAACTAGTGGCATCGGCGGCATCGGTGTCTTTGAATCGGTTTGGATTTCCCGTCACTAAATTTCGGCTGTGACGTCACAATAGGTATTAAAAAGTCGGCACGCTTGGTTTCAATACAAATCGTGATACTTGCGTTATCTATGTACATCTATATCTGTGATTTACATGCTATTATTTTAGCTAAACATGCGAACTCTGTTGATATTGTAACACCAATTTTATACTATGTTTAAAACTAATAAATTATTCTTATTCATCAACCAAGATATTAATATATTATATTGTCTTTGGTTGTCAGTACGCCGTAATTGTTTACTAAACAGTAACGATGAACAGATTTTACTTACATACCAAATTACCTGTAAATGACAGAAAAATATCGCGAAATTAATTTACCTTTTTGATTGCCTGGCGTTCGCTGCAGACTTCGAATTTCTACTGCAACTATATTTTTTGCGTTTGTTACCCATGCCTGTAATAATAGGGTAAACTACCAGTCATTGGACAATTAGCGAGCATTTCAAGGTTTTAAATAGTTTATGAACACATTTACTAAAATATCTGCTAATATTATTGTTATTTTATTAGTTTAATAAGTAACTTTGTGTAATACATTCTTAAAAACAGCATTTAAGATCAAACACGCGAAAAAAATCCTGTTAAAAAAAAAGCTATAAAATATATAGTCATTGGACAGAATTTTTAATGTTGGACAGCATCAACTAGTTAATGGACAGCACTGTAATAAACTTTTTAAAAACCAAAATAGTCAATGATATCTGCTTTTAAAGGAAATAAATAAAGTATAAACTGTTCGTAATTATATTTATTACAAAATAATCAATTAGAACATACATTTTTATATCTTAGAATTAATTTGTTAATCACATTTGGTAACAAAACTTATGTTATTCAGTCTTACCAACTCTTAGGTATACTTCTATATGTGTATTTAAAGCTTTAAACATAAAATAAAATGAAATTATAAAATTTACTTGAAAATAAAACAATCCCTTCTCAGACTTAATAACATTTTTTTTTCTTATGTTCGACAATCATATCATATAATTTTTGTGCATCATCACCACTATCTTCGCTATTCCTTTCAGAGCTGAGATCAAGAGTGTCGTCATTATTATCTTCTTTATAGCAAACATGGCATATAAAAAGATCAATTCTTAAATCTTCGGGGACATGCTGTTGATGCTTAGCTGGTATACATTTTACGTGGAATATCGCCGAACACATATCACATACCACCCGATTTGATGTCTTAGTCGACTTAGGCCGTGGCCCCATGTCTACGGCACGGCACCGGCTACCGTGCAACGGCACGGCGCCGTCGCCGTGACACGGTACGACGCCGTGCCGCACCACGGTGCCGCGGGCGATGTGCGCGGGGGGCAATTCTCAGTCGATATTTCGCAGTTGTTGTACTCGGACGTGGTTATCTGGATATGGATCACGAAATTATTCTCCTGATGTTACTAAGACGACGAATGAAAAAAAAACAGAAACAGAGGAAATTTTGGGTAAATCCATATATTCTTACAATGAACCAAGATGGAGGTCATTTCAAAAGGAAATATGAAGCCCTAAAAATATGTGGGAATGAGAAATTTTTTGAATATTTTAGAATGACCATAACAAGTTTTGAACAACTATTTACCAAATTAGCACCTCGTTTACAAAAACAATACGTGTTCAGAAAACCTGTTGATCCTATTGAGAAGCTTGGTTTAACTGTCAGGTAAGAATAAAACGAACTTATAGTAAATCAAAATATGTTTATTATTTGTATCACAGGAGTTTCAATGCGATTTTTTTCGCTCTAGAGTCGTGGTCCCCTGCGATGTTCTTAAATTATCTAACTAGATTTAAGAAAAATCGTATTCGGACTCCTGTGTGTTTGATAAGATATCGCTTAAATTATTAGATATGTTTTCTATGGTTGAATTTGGCGAAGTTTGGTCACGGACGCTTGTAGATGATGGATTGTGAGTTGTTTGATAAGTCGCTGTAGCTTCTTGTGATCTTTGGTAGCTACTTTGATATGCTGTCTGGTAGCCGCTGTATGACTGTTGATTGTATTGATATGTGGGTTGATTAAAATCTGTCAATATTTGCATTACACGACTTTGATAGATCAATGTTTGGTGGTCGTCTAGTTTTTCCAGAAATGGTAAAATTGATTTAAAAAAGACACATGTCTGTTCTGTGCAATTTCTAAAGTTTCGATAATTTTGTTCTCAAAATCATCTTCAACGTATTTTCTTTTACGCGTAGGTGTAGCATAAGGTCGGTATCGTGACCTAGTATTTTCATTTGTCTTTGGACCTTCAGACTCTTCTTCCAATATACTACAGTCTGTTAAATTTGGTGCGTTTTTTTTTAAAAACATCAGTTGTTTGTGCAAATGATATTCTTTCAAGTTATTTGCACCAGCTCCAGATTTGTTCGCAAGCTCTTTCTTTTTCATGTATTTCATGTAGTTGTCTTTGATGTTTGTCCATTTTTTAATTATGTCATGTCCTGCAACAATAAAACATTAGGTTAATATTTTCATGACTACATGTATTTATCATAGGGTATACAAAGTGTTAGCCAAAGTATAAATTCAAAAAAGCAATTCGAAAATTGAGCTGCTTAAACAGTTTGTGGTAACACTGTTCTAAGAAACTAGTAAATATATTTTCTCTTTTCAGGTTTTTGGCAACAGGGAATTCATTTAGAGATATGGAATTCACAGATTATCGAGGAAAAAGTACAATCAGCAGAATAGTGCAAGAAGTATGTCGTGCTATTTGGGACATTCTTTTATCTGAATGTATACCGACAATAACCGAAGAGCTTATGGAACAAATAGCGGAAGACTTTGACAAAAAAACAAATTTCCCAAATTGCATGGGGGCCTTAGACGGGAAGCACATTCGCATTAACAGTCCCGCCCACAGTGGATCTCTTTTTTTCAACTATAAAAACTATAATTCTATCGTGTTGCTGGGACTAGTCGATTCTAAATACAGATTTGTGTATGTCGATATTGGAGCGTATGGAAAAGAATGTGATTCGACAATTTTTCAGAACACAAAACTATATGAATTATTAATTCAACATCGACTCGCCATACCAGTTTCAAAGCCTTTGCCAGGCCTTCAAAAACCAGTTCCGTATGTCTTTATTGCAGATGAAGGCCTACCGTTAATGAGTAATCTAATGCGTCCATACTCAGGGAAACATTTAAGTATTGATCAAAGAATTTTTAATTACCGTTTGAGTCGGGCCAGACGAAATGTCGAGTGTGCTTTTGGCATACTTGCAAATAAATGGCGTATATTTCACAGGCCTTTAAACGTCAAATATGATTTTGCAACAGACATTCTCAAAGCATGCTGTGTATTGCACAACTTTGTTGTATCTCGAGATGGAAGTAAAATGTCCGAAGAACTGTATATCGATGACTCCCTTTTGGACTTGCGACAAACTATACATGACGTTTCTTTATCAAATCCAGTAAATATAAGAGACGAGTTTTCTAAATATTTTAATAGCGATGTTGGCGCGCTTAGTTGGCAATTAACCAAAATATAACTCAAAACCAGTCACGAAAAAAAAGAAATTCCTACCTGCCTTCTATTATCAAGACTGAATTCCTATGTGGAAGAGACGTCATCTCAAAGTACACAGGAACTGTATGGTGTACAACCATTATTATAGATCTTATTACAGCAGCGCAAGTTCTATTTCTGCATAAAAATATATCTCGATGAGACCACGACTGTACCTACTCCATTATCATAAAAACATTAAAAACAAATAAATGTTAGTACTCACCCAGTTTTGTTTTTTCTTTAATGTCCTTGTCATCAAATGATTCAAAAATGTTTCAGCAAACATCTTTCCACGCTTCTGTTTTTAAATGTTTGTCCTTATAATTGTCATTTGTCTTGTCCCAGAGCACTGTACGTGCCTCCACTAACGAAATAAAGAAATCTACATCGATATTTTCCACCATTTTGTTTTAAACACATTAAACACATGCACGCACGCCACCTGCGAAATATCGACTGAGAATTGGCCCCCCGCGCACACCGCCCGCGGCACCGTGGTGCGGCACGGCGTCGTACCGTGTCACGGCGACGGCGCCGTGCCGTTGCACGGTAGCCGGTGCCGTGCCGTAGACATGGGTCCACGGCCTAACAGACGCTTTAAGGGTCTCAAAATAATTAGTCAACTTCACGTAAATTCTGACGCTCCATTTTTATATATGTTCATCCGACAACTATTTTAAAAGCTTTGACAAGAAGACAGACCGATCCAAGGGGCCAATCATCCCCTAAACTAAATTTTAATATCTCTATGAGTGAGAGAGCATTATCTACGCGCATGAGACTGAGTGAGACCGACTGCGCTGTTAAAGCCATGAAAATTACTTGAAAAATTATTATTATTCAAAAAGGGCAAGCAAAAGCCGTTTAATATTTTGAAGAAAAATGAAGAGTACCAACAAAGCATTTCACCGTTTTGGTACGTTGGATTTTGTTGGTGATGTAGATGAAGAAGAACGTGTATTCAACATAATACAAAAATTTATCTGTGATGTTTACAATTTTCCTGGAATAATTGATGTAGATGCTGCCAGACTACAGTTGTTTATCATTTACATACATGGTATCTGATATAAATGAAGAATTCAATCGAAAGAATTTAAGAAACTTCGATGCCAGTAACTTACCACCTTGTAAAAGTGAGCTTTGGCAACAGTTTCGACGGGCTAGCTTTGGAACAATGCAAGTATGAAGATGATAAATATTTTCAACCCCGAAAACAATGGCTGGACACTACAAGATGGTAAATATGATTTTCATCGGTTCGATGGAGATCAATTACCGGGTTTTGTCAGTGAGTCGCTGGAAGAACAATCAGGTAAATTATTTTCGTTTCTCATATTATTTGTATCTTTTTAGTTTTTTCAGACCTTCATTGTTTAACTTGTTTTTTACAGAGGAAGAAAATAAGGATAATGCTGATGATGACGATCACGATTTAGATATTCAATTTCAAGATTGATATTTGATGATGATGATAATGAAGATTAAAAGCCACTGTTAAGAAATATTGAAGAATTAATATTTTTCCACTTTATTTCCAAATTTCCAATAAATAATTAATTAAAAAAATTGCTGCTATTTAAATATAAGTGGTATTTTTAAAAAATATTTTTTAGTTCTAATTAATAAATTGAAAAAAAAAAAAAATGTCGGCTAACTTTAGTATTATTTATTATGTGTCAATTTTTTTCTTATTTTTGTTGCTATAATTTACTTGTCAACAAAAGTTCTAAAAATTATAAAATATCTGTTCAAGTAATTTTCATGGCTTTAACAGCGCAGTCGGTCTCACTCAGTCTCATGCGCGTAGATAATGCTCTCTCACTCATAGAGATATTAAAATTTAGTTTAGGGGATGATTGGCCCCTTGGATCGGTCTGTCTTCTTGTCAAAGCTTTTAAAATAGTTGTCGGATGAACATATATAAAAATGGAGCGTCAGAATTTACGTGAAGTTGACTAATTATTTTGAGACCCTTAAAGCGTCTGTCAAGCAATATGGCCGACGGAAAGTGTCTGGGAGTATTGACAATTTATTTTTAACTATACACTCGAAAACATATATAAAAATCAGCCATGAGAATTTACGTGAAGTAAGTAATGTTTTTGTGTACCTTGATTACCTGATACCTGGAAATTGGCCGTTTGACCAAGCTAGCAGGTAGGCATACGATCATAGTACATACTAACACTACCCAATCGTCCACATTTCATCCGTCAGAAAATACGTGACGTCTGGCGGCCCTGGGATCTTGCTCTATGAGTCTGTTAAGCGTTTAAAACATATAGATATTCGTTATCATTTTGTTAGAGAAATGATAAAAGATAATAAAATATGTGTTAAGTATGTTCAAACTAGCGAACAACCTGCAGACATGTTCACAAAAGCCTTGGGTAGAGAGATTATCTTAAGGCATCTTTTTAAATGTCATGTTGGGTAATGGTATCATAAACTGAATTTCTGTCTTGATACAAATAGAGAGGCTATTAAGTTGTATTAAGTTTTTTATTTTTTGTAGAGATAAATGTAGACATTGAGAGGGGGTGTTAAGATTAAGTAATCTGCAATGTATCTACATTTATAACGTTGGTTCTAAGTTTGATTATTATGTTGGCAACACTACTTTTGTCATTGACTATTGAATAATGAGTCCGGTAAAATAAACATCTTGTTTAAGAAATATATCTTTTATTATTAAATCACTTCAAAAAACATTCATCGAAATCAATGCCTGGCTTTTGGGTGAAGCCCTTAGCAACTAGCCTGGCTCTATACCTGACATTATAATCATTATCAATTTTTCGCTTGAAAACCCAATACAGTGCCACTGTGAGGAATGTCCACTAATGCCCAAGCATCATTGTCTTCAAATGATCTAAATTCACTTTGTATAGCAAATTTCCACTGTTCTCTTTCTGGTCCATTCAACACTTCATCAGTGTCGTAGCTTTTGTGGCGTGCTCGTCGGTAGCTGAAACAGAACAAATAAAAACATCAATAAAAATTACCAAAATAAATTAAATATTAAATTGCAAAAATGTACTTACCAACTTCTTCATGTAAACCGTGTCTATTGTTCTCCGCGGCTGGCGGGGGCGAGGCGTACGCGCATTCCTTTTTTTTCCTCTTTTTTCTTTCAGTTAGTACGGCTCACGATATCGTACGGGACACACGTACAACTCGCTGCCGACGCCGCGGTATATATTTACGCAAAATATATACATTCAACGATCACACAAGTATTATTATTTACATAGTGGTTATATACAACAACGCGAACCCTATACTGGTGACCCCGACGTGATCAAGTAAGAAAAAACTACACGCCACGCGGTCGCAGCACACTTAGTACTTGTTTACCATTACATGCAAGACGAAAACGGAGGGGACACGGTCCAAATGGAAAAGAGTGCCCATGAACATTTCAAGGTTGGTATTAAAATTCCACCATTTTTACCAAATCGACCTGCACTCTGGTTTGCTCAATTGGAAGGCCAATTTTGTTTAGCGGGAATAACATCAGACACGACTAAATTTTATAACGCGATTAGCCAACTGGACCCACAGTTCGCTATTGAAGTTGCGGATATTATAGAAAGTCCTCGCAAAGACAACAAATACCAAACCCTCAAAGCGGAGCTAATAAGGCGATTAAGTAAACCGCGCGAAGAAGAAATCAGGCAATTTTTAGACAATCAAGAACTCGGCACTAGAAAGCCTTCACAATTTCTACGTCACCTACAACATTTGGCCGGACCACAGGTACCAGACGAATTTATTAGATCAGCATGGCACAATAGGTTACCCAATAACATTCAACCTATCATTGCATCGCATATGGATATGCCGCTAGAGAAACTTGCAGAGTTGGCTGACAAAATTATAGCCATCACAGCCCCAAACCCACCAAATGTTTACGCCGCTACATCGTCCTCAGCTAACCAACATGCTGATAATCCTCCAGACCACTACCTCACCGCCTTAGAAAGCTTGGCCAGGCAAGTTAACAAATTAACCAAGCAAGTTGGTGTTGACTTCTTGGGCCACTACAACCTATTAGTGGACTGTCGTCGTCACCGCCTCATCGACGGCCTCACAAGTTTGTCCGTCAACGCGCCACGTTGCGCCAACATTGCTGTGGAAACGGTGACCATCAAAACAGTTGCTGGAAACTCCGGCTTCCACGACTTACTTCGCAACTACCCGACCATTCCATGCGATAGAAGAGGACACAGCATAGCAGCTGTTTAAAATCCGCCCACTTAAAGAAAGAGAGTGCGCATGCTTTTTGGGCTTGGAAAAGAAAAGGATAGCGATAGACTCGTATATACAATGCATCATTTTGGAGTAGTTTATTATTTAAATAGAGAAATAATAGTTATTTAATTAATAAAAAAATAGTTATTTAATTTTATTTTTTATCAATTAATTATTTATGTGTATATTTTTTATGTGTTCTTTAGTAAAAATAAAGGTTATAGTGATACATATATAATAGTACCCTGATTAAAAATATAAAAATAAGCCTCTTATCCTGAACTGTTTCTTTGACTTTGTGGTTGACTCTTGTCTTTAAGTTATAAAATATCTCTGAGTTCAGTGTCTGGCCTCTTGGCAAAGGCCTCCTCTAACAATTTCCATTGTACTCTGTCTCTTGCAACCCTTCTTCATTTTGGGCCTGCTGTTAATTTTAATTCGTCTTCCCATGTCTTGCTTTGTCTTCCTCTGTTCCTTTTACCATCTCTAGGGTACCAGTCAGTTATGATGTTGCTCCACTTTTCTTGTTTATCACGTATCATGTGCCCGGTCCATCTCCACTTCAAACTATCTATTCTAGTGAGTATGTCTGTGACTTTTGTCTTACTTCTTATGACAGTGTTTCGTATCTTATCTTGTTTCTTAATACCTATCATACTTCGTTCCATAGCTCTTTGGCAGTGTTCTAGCATGTTTCTGTGATGTTTTGTGAGAGCCCAAGTTTTACACCCATATGTAATACATGGGAGAATGCAGGTATTAAAAACCTTCCTTTTGATAAAAATTAAAAAAATTTACTACATGCAAATTATAAATCTATAAATGTAAATAGAGAAATTGAAATCAATTGAAACTATTGGAAATAATTCTAAACCCATAAAAGTGATTTTTTTTAATCAGGGTAATCTTGCAAATTTTATTTTTATTATAAGACATTTTATTTAAACAATTAAAAAATTACTTCTATTTATTGTAAAAAATTAAAAATACAATTTATTTTTAAAATTTTTCAGAATCCGAGTCATCGGGCATAAAACTACTGAATCTTCTTCGACATCACTCTCTGTTTCACTTTTTTCGACAATGTCTTCTATCTTTAAAGGTGTATGATCCCCAATGAATCCTACTGGTTTTAAATATTCATCTAAGAACCATCCGCAGTTCTCAGGCTCAAGTTTCACGCATATTGGATCCGTTGCATTAAGCCACATGGAATTTACGAAAATAGTTCGTAAAATTTTCTGAGTTAATGATATCCAGCATGGTGGTATGGAGTTGGAGTCGAAGCCTTTTTTTTTAAAGTGCTCGCTGTCTTCTTTTGCAGAGTAATTTTTCATAAAAATACGATGTCTCGCATCATTCACACTGGTGCAATTCCTGATACCGTACATACTAGCCGTAAATTCTCCGTCTTAATTTTTTCATCAATGAAAATATCAGCAGCACCTGTTAATGATGCAAAAACTGTTTGATATTTTTCATTTTTCGAAAATTGCTGAAAAGGTTTTACTTTCCCTTTGTTGTAAAAGGCTGCCGTGTAATCGCAACCTGTAAATGTAGGAAGGCGGGAAGACGTTGGCATAATTTAATTCCCAACTTCAACGATAAATCGGTGCAATTAATGCAATCAACAGTTTGATTATTAGTCTTTCTAGTTGCTGAACAGGCAAGCCAAATTTCTGATTCGATAAGTTTGTGCATATTTCCTAACAAAATTATCAAAACGTCAGTATCAGAGGCTTTAATTAAAATCCTTCAGCCTGGTTCCGCTTTAGAAGCATGAAAAATAATCATTGTATCTGCCTCTTCGTGATGACATTGCTTGATGTCGATGTATGCTAGATAGTTTTCCTTCTATTATCTCTTCAGGTCTAAATCCATCACTGACTCGAACATAATTATGGAGTACCGTAATTGCCTTTACAATCCGTTCGGCAGAATCCACAGCGACATCTAGTGGGCGATGTAGTATTCTCCATTTATTACTGGCTATATCAAAAGTACATTCGACATATCGACGTGCTAAAGTAAGCCGATACTTGAATTTTTTTTTTCGAACGTAATTTGCTTTACACCATAGGACCTAATTAAATTTTCCATCAGTCCAAATGCTTCATCACCACAGGATTATATTTTTTGACATATTAAATTAAATATAAAATACGTTTCATTAAATAAGCATCTCGGTGAAGGTCGTTTTATATCGGGATCTTATACTATACGTGTTTTTTGAAGTTATACTTCTTAAGGCGCGTTATGAAAAATTGATGAGAGTGAAACTTTTCGATGCGCGCGCACCGTGACACAAATTAACAGAATGAAGTTGCTCACGGAAGATGCTACGGCCTTGGACATAATTTAAAAACAACATTCGAATAATAATAGATTTTATGTTACACTTAATGTAAGAGAATAATAATAATTATTTATTTATTTAATTTTTCAAATGTAAACTGAACTTTATTGACTATAATGACTCCTTTTCTAGTCTTTGATTATTTAATTGTAATTAATTATTTGCATTCAATCAAAAACTATTATTAATAATGCCAAAGAAGTATAACTTCTTACGCGCGTACATAAAGTACACGCACCCTTTTTTATGTTTTACCTACAAAAAGCTAAATCTAAATATTTACTTACTAGTTATGTGCAAGCCCTACACCTAACAATATACAATTTCTGCTGACGAAGGAGGCCACCGGCGTCGCTTCACTATCGTACTTAGTATTAAGAATTCATTCTTATAAGCATCGCGCTTAAGAGTAGTATGTTAATTTGTAATTTTATAATAAATTAGTTCTTAGTAAATTGGTTTTTTTTGGAGTGCACCGGCGGGTGAAACATAATTGGCGCAGTCGGTAGGATACTCGGGTTGCACCTCGCGGGCAAGATTTTCCGAAAAATCAAGAAAATATATCGGTTTCGAGGCCCGGCCTGGCCGACCTAGTTTTTCCACAATTTTCCATCCAAGGGAATTAAGTAACAAGGAGGCTGTTACTCACCAACATGGGCTCTTAGTCATAGTGTCAGAACTAAAATTATGTCGTTTGTAAAAGCAGAAATCGGATTATCTCAAGCAGATGATACTTCTTATACGTTACAGAAGAATCGAACCGAGAACGACTCTAAGACTCTTAACAATATTATTGGAACAATCAAGAAAACAATGAATGACCCAGGAGATAAGACTTGAGAATATGGACAACGGACCTGGACTATTACCGTTTAAAATCGGAGTTACCAACATAATTACCCATTATCATAACTTTTTGCATTTCATTGACTGACGAAATTGGCTTAAAGATGGAAATAGTAAAAACTCAGATCCATGACGTTGAAGGTTACTTTGACAACCACAGTTTACCTATTTCTAAAGCTCGTCTTCAACATTTAACAGAAAAATTGGATAAAGCATCGTTGTTATTAAGTACATTAAAACCTGGTCGCGTGAAAAGAGGTTTAATCAATGGTTTAGGCTCTAATATTAAAAGTATAACCGGTAATTTAGACTACAGCGATGCCATTAAATATAACGAGGCCATTAAAATATTTCAAAGTAATCAAGATAATATAATTTCCGAATTCAATAATCATATAAGCCTTAGTAAGGCGTGGATGTCCGAGCACACGAAATTAATTAATAAATTAGTAGAAAATCAAATTGATATAAATAAAACCATGCAATTTATGATTTCGAAATATAATACTGAACATGTAGATACAGTAATTTTCGCAGAGATTTCCCAATTATTAAATTCATTTGATGGTAATATAAATGAGCTACTATCGGTTATAAGAAATATTGAGGATAGTTTAGCTTTTACGCGCACTGCTACAGCGCATCATATTATTTTAGACATAGGTATGTTACGTAGTATGTTAGGTACTTTAAGTTCCGTTTATAAACCGGAGCAATTATTATCATATATAGGGTCATATTTTAGTAATAATAGAATAGTTATAGTGTAACGATTTCCCATAATATCCCCGAATACTTTTACCCTATTTAAATTATCCATCTTACCAAATCATTACCAACACGTTATTATACCTCCCTTTCCTTATATAGCAACCAATAACGATAATTATGTGTACATAGAGGCTGAATGCCCGAAGTCAAGTAATCGGTTTCTGTGTGAAGAGACACTTAATCATCATATAAAACGTTCACCCGATTGCATAGCAGACCTTGTCATCAGCCAACAAGTGTCCAATTCCTGCATACCTACCACGTTGACACTCGCCAAGCCTGCCATGGAAAAATTAGACCAACATTACTGCGTTGCGTTTCCAAATTTAACCAATATATTCCTGTCATGTAAAAGAAGAGAATATCTGAATCTGCAGGGCAGTTACCTTGTAACAATACCGTCAAACTGCTCTCTACATACTAAGGACCCCACCATTTCTAACATAAACAACCAATTAAAGGGGGAGCCTTTGAAGATTTTACTACCAATGAACTATACCCCTACGACACCACAGCGATATTTAAAGATACATACGATTGATTTAAATGGATTACATAATTTAGAGAAGCAAATTGAAGTACAAATGCCGATTATTCCGGAAAAACCAACCATCATTTACCACACTACTTTACGCTCCTATGTTCAACTATTTTTGTAATGTACATCGGTTATCGTCGACTCCGTAAAAGGACCCAGAATGCTAAAATTCAAGGGCAACAAGGAACCTCAGAAGGTGACCCAGCCGCAACATTTTCCCTCAACGTCGGAGTTATGTGCCAGCCCTACACCTAACAATATACAATTTCTGCTGACGAAGGAGGCCACCGGCGTCGCTTCACTATCGTACTTAGTTTTAAGAATTCATTCTTATAAGCATCGCGCTTAAGAGTAGTATTTTAATTTGTAATTTTATAATAAATTAGTTCTTAGTAAATTGGTTTTTTTTGGAGTGCACCGGCGGGCGAAACATAATTTACTCAAGTGACCTAATACAAAAATAACAAATATTTCAATATCACGAACAATATATTGAATTAACTTTAATTACTTTTTTTATTCTTCAGCTGGCATCACTGCCTACAAATTCCAGGTTTAGTAAACCAATGAAAATAAGTTATCTTTACTTGTGCGTTTTTTACTGTCCGTGATGAAAAGGGACGTAATTATCACTCGCCGTAAAACCACTTTTAATGTGGAGCACTGCACTTAATAAAATGGATACATTAATTATCACATAAAATGTATATATAGACTTAGATGTTTAGACTCGTATTTAAATGGAGGAGAAAACGCAAAGCTAATTGCAGATGTCGCTTTCATCGCTTGACTCATAACAATACGCTGTCAGTATTCAGCATTTCTTTCGTAAACTTTAGATACGATTTAGAAAATCTTAAAAGGTTCACAAGTGAAAACTGCTGAAAAATGTATTCGACTTGGACTGTTCCTCAATTAAAAGCAGAATTGAAGACCAAGGGCGGTACTTTAAAAGGCAGAAAGGCAAATCTTGTCACCAGGTAATCACAGTGGATATTTTTCAAAAACACATTTTTAAATCATTTTATAATCCAATTCAAAACTATTTGTTGTTTATTCAGCCTTGTTTAATTGATATTATTATATTTTGATAGTATTTCGATGAATTCCAGTAATAGTTCCATTCAATGGAAACATGACTTGCATGTGTTTTATGTACGTATAGTATTACTGCTTATAATAATTCTTTTTTATTACAGGCTCGAATGTTTCGACCGAAATTTCAATTTTGGTAAACAGCAAGTTCATGAACCGGATGATGTAAAAATGGATTTACCATCCATTGATGTATATCGGGACATCAATGCAAGCACAAGCCTTCCTCCCGTGACGAAACAACATATTCAATTATATTACAATGAGTAAGTATTTTTTGCAAATTGACTCACTTGTTTTGCTAAAGGAGGAAAATCTGCCACCTATGAAATGGAAGCTGGGTCGCATCGTGGCGCTCTTTCCTGGTGCAGATGATGTTGTTCGTGTCGCAGAAATTAGAACGTCTACTGGAAATGTGAGACGATCATTTTCGAAAATTTGTCCATTGCCGAGTGGATTGGTTGAAGCCAAGCCTTCAACGCCTGGGGGCATGTTGGTGCATAGCGCCTGAAACTATCAAGTGGCAACTAGGCGTCAGACGTCGTATCTACTACATAAGGAACAAGGCGTGCTTTAGTTTGTAGTATTGCTTATTCTTTCCGATTGCACCTCTGTTCAAGGAAACATCTTTTTTAATTTATAATCCTTTTTTCAAGAAAAGATATTAGTTTTAACTTTCATACTATCCTGCATTAACACACACAATGAGTAAGTAAATAATTTAGAGGAATTCATACATTGTTTGGTAGGTACTAAAAATCAGCCCTGTAGTCCCAACACAAAGCTGAGCTGGCCGCCTAATCGGCAACTTTAAAATAAATTTGAAAAATTGCCATGTTTTCCGAATAAACATTTTCTTTCTGTCTTACTAAGTCTGAAAGTATTAAGAAGAAACTATAAATTACAAACCCTGTTTTTTTACAGATTCCATAAAAAGCAAGTTGACGGGCTGCAATTGTATGAAGCAAGATTTTTAGTAGTTGTTAGAGCAGCTACAGTAGGTGAATATACCTTTGTTAAAGGCCTAACTCGTGCTTCAATATGAAGTGAACATTAAGATACATGCTATAGGATCAATTGAGGAATCTCAAGGTGAATGTGTGGCAAGTAGTGGTACAAATGCCTATTGCAAGCATGTGGCTACTGTGCTCTATGCCATAGAGCATATGGTGCGTGAAAAAATTATAATTAAACATTAAGTGCCAACAGAAAGATTGCAAAAGTTTCATGTGCCACAGAAAGTTTTCACTGCATCTCTTATGATAACTTCAAAACTACTCATGAAAAGAAATGTGGAAAATATAATACTTATAAAGATCTGAAAGTGATTTACGAGGAAAGGGATGAAGAATTTATCAATCATATGATAACAGTATTGGACAAATTTTATGTGGAATATTTTAAAAAGGCCCTACTTAATAAATATATTTATAAGAATTACTTAGAAACAATAAAACCCACTGATTACTTTGGACTTTTATTTCACAATTCCTTCTTATAAATTACATAGCATAACACAAATGAAAAATATTCTTGATAATAATGGCACATAAAAAGAATTCACATCACCTTTTAATATTTTAAATGTTTTTGTAAGCCCAATAAGACGTTCAATATGAATACGATTTTTTGCTAATTGGCTATCATGTTTTAAGTTTACACCAGGTAATTGTGATAGACCCTTCAAAAATGTTGGTGTATAAATGGCAACATCTTTTTGTTCAAATAGATCTTGCACATTTAATCCACGGTCAGCCATAATTGCATCTTTTTCATCAATAACAGCTAAAAGGGAACTTCTTTTCGTTATTTGGCGGTCACTGGTAGATCCTGCATATCCATCTGAACAAAACGATATCAGGCCACCAGGTGTACCCACCAATAATTTTATGGTGTTGTGGTGTTTGTAGCTACTAAAAGTTGCTTGTTGCGCTGTAGGGTTTTTTGGTTTTGTTATCTAAGGTATTTCTGTCCCATCTATTATCACTCTGGTAGCTGGATGATGTTGCTTAAATGAATCTGCCAAAGGACATAAAAGGTGTGACGGGTATTCAGAGGGTGAATGCCAATAAAATAGCAGTTATTTTCAAGCAATATAATACGGCCAATAACTTTATTAATAACACCACTTTCCTCACAAAATTTGCCATGAAGGCGTTCATACCGGTATCGCAAATCGAAAAAACCGGCATCATTAGATTTGTTCCAGCGAATATATCTAACAAAGAACTTTACACAAGACTTTCTTCAATTTATGAAGTAGTGGCAATATGTTTGACAAATCTTTAAGTATTGATGAAAAATAATTTCTAGTAGCTAATAATTAACTTTTTGACAGAAAGTCACAGTTTTCCTTTATTTTTCAAACTGTACTAAGTGGCTAGATGGCGAGGAGCAGCCAAGACCAATTAACAATTTTCAACAATTCATTCATAAAACAAAGATTGATAAATGGAGAATTTGGAAACCTTTTGATTGTTGGTGATAAAGGCTATAAAAATACTTCATACCTACTAACTCCACTCCAAAACCCCATGACTTCAACAGAACATCTTTATAATGAATCTCAAATACGAAGCAGAAATATGATGAAAAGGACATATGGTGTTTAGAAAAATAGGTTCCCACTTTGTCCAAAAAGGTTTTGCTTCATGTATGTTATATGCTTCGAACTTGGCGATCATTGATTACAAGAAAGCTAAAATCCCTGAATTTATGGAAATTATAAATTAATGCCAACCCAGTCACATATTTCAAACAAAGCGTCTTACAAACTATTGCAACGTACAATGGATAAAATATTGGGATCCAACGTCAAGTCTGTGCTGCTCTATGGGTGTGAAACGTGGAAGGTCACCAAAGATATCTCGCACCGACTCCAAGTCATCGTCAACCGCTGTCTTCGCCGTATTCTGAGCATCTACTGGCTTGAAAAAATCTCGAACGACTAACGAGCAACTTTGGGAACGCTGCCGAGAAACCCCGATCAGTCAGCAGATCAAGCGATGCAAGTGGAATTGGATAGGTACATACACTTCGAAGGGATCCCAATCATATTCCCAAGCAGGCGCTTGATTGGAACCCGCAACTTTTTTCTAAAGCTGCGCTGATATGTAATCAAAGAAAAAAACGGTTGGAAGAGCAAAAAATTGAATTTTTTTTTAAGTAGTTTACAGCAATTTCAGTTAAATTTGTTATCTCATTAAAAATTCATTATTTCTGTTCTTTAGTTGAGTTTATTTAAGTTTCATTTAAGTTAATTTTAAAGCATGTTTATTATTAACTAAATTGTGTGATCTCGTTATAATTAATTCCATTTAACGTTTTTGATACCTAAACTTTTGATTGTCAAATAAAAAAAAATAAGATGTGTTCAGATTAAATTATATTATACATTATGTTATATAATCTGGACACATCTATAATAGTCATGAAGATTATGTTCCTATTATATATGAGTCTGATTAAAGTAAGTGTAATTTCCAAAGATATTTCGTAGTTTAAATAAGTAGATACGGCTATTTTTGTGATACTAGGTTGATTGTTATTAATAAATACATACAAATTTACACTGCTTTTCTTATTTTAAATCACAAACTGCACAAACGCCTTAAGGCGCAGTGATACACCACATTGTAAAAACAGGGTAAGCTATGACACTACGGCTATAAACGTCAGCGTCTACAGACGTACTGTCAAAATACACAACATTAATACAACAAAATGTGACAGAGCGCCTTACGGCGTGAACGCCTTGACACTTTCTGTCACATTCCATACAACCATGGAGCACGCTATATATCACTACGCCTATAGGCAATGTATGACAGTAAGTAGTGTCTTATTATGGTAAATCAATGAGTCCATACTGTCCCTTAAAGTGTTAACAGTCAATGTCCTTTAATTGAGTAGTTTGGTTTCATAATTGGTCAAATCCCAAAATAACACTTTTTAAACTGACAATGCAGCTACATTCACTTTGTAAAAATAAACTTTTTTTTAATATCAAAACCGGCCAAATCCTCGCGTTTACCTTTTAAAATCGACTTCAAAAAGTGAAATTGGTAATTGGTATCAATAACGGTCAAATCCTTGACAGTTAAGGGCTTATTACACTACGCGGTATTCAGATAGTCTTACTAAGATTTAGCATAATGTAATAAGAGTTAGCAAGTTAGCCTGTCTAATTAGACTGACCCATAGATTTATATCGTTAAGGTGATATCAGACGGTTCATTTTTTGTTCATTTTCATTTTCTAGTCCTGCAAAATGTCAACTGTGCGCACGCCTCCCGAAACTAAATTGATTGCAACCACAACGACACCGCTTAACCGTTACGCCTCTGACCCACAATTGGACACTTCAAGAGGTAAAATAGACAATACTGACCAATTTTCGTTTATCTCGAGGAGAACAAAGAGGAAACATAATGAAATTACAGACGGAATGTCTCAACTTCTTAGCATGTTCAATGAATTTTCATCAAAACAGGATACAAAGATGGCAAACTTAAATGCTTCTATTACCACTGTAATAGAACAAAATATAGACATCCAAAAAACAGTGGAGTTTATCTCTAGTAAATATGATGAAATGTTATTAACAATGCAAAAGCTCCAGGAGGAAAACCTGTCATACAAGAAGCAGATAAATTCACTAGAGACTAAAATAGACATGCTGGAAAAAAACTCCCACGCTACAAAACTTGAAATTCGTAATGTTCTTAAGTCTGGACAAGAGAACAAAGAGACCCTTACACGTATAGTGAAAAATATTGGTACTGCCGTTGGCTTAAACCCCACCCTGGCATCGAGTGAAGTAAGAGATATTTACCGTACGAAATCCTCTTCAATAATCATCGACTTCACCACGACATCAATTAGTTCTCACTCCTAGTTAAATCCAAATCCTTCAATAAGGAAATGAAGGGGTCGAAAATGCCACTGCTAAATACGTCCCATTTAAATATACCTGGGCCCGCCCACACTATATATATATATATCGGAACACCTGACGTTAAAATCAAAATACATATTTTTTCTGGCCAGAGGGCTTGTTAAAGGTAAGAAGATTGCTGCATGCTGGACATCTTACAGCAAAGTCTACATCAGGGTGGCTGAGGGTCAACCGTCGATGCGCGTTGACTCAGAGGAAGACTTACAGAAATACGGAATTCAGCCTTAGTATATACCTTAAGTTTACTCACGTGTTACTGTACCTTTCATTCGGTACATTTCACTCGAAATGAAATGTCTGAACAAAAAATGAAACACGAGTGCCGAATGAATTCATTAGTGAACCGATCCAACAGTGTTGGATATTGGCATCCGGTATCTTTCATTCCCACTCCGAATGAACGAGAAATGAACGGTCTGAACACTGAGAGAACGTTCATTCGGATTCGGCCATTTTGTTTCGAGTCCTGTAGCCGACGGACATCACGTTGTCGACGAAGTTATAACTTTTTTTTTCTGTGTGTTATTATATTGTTTTCATGCGGCAAAATGGTGTTCAAGTGGAACGATCAAAATACATTACTTTTCTTGGAGAACTTTATAAATTATCAATGCCTTTGGAACCACAAAATTGTTGAATACAAAGACCGAACAATGCGGGCAAACTCTATAAAATCTCTAATCAGTGATTTAAACTTAGAGATTACTGAAGAAGATATTAAACATAAAATAAAAACGATAAGGACCCGGTATACAACAGAATTAACCAAAATAAAGCAGTCTACTAAAAGCGGTTGCTCTTCTGACGATGTCTATGTACCGACCCTGTACTGGTTTAAACATGCAGAATTTTTAAGCAGTGTATGCGTCCCACGGCAGAGTACATCAAGTCTCGTAAGTAGAATCTTTTATCAATCCATACTAATCCATATCCATAATATTAATCCATATCCTAGTAACTCTGTCTGTCTGTTCGATAAGCGACCACTACGTGAACAGAAGCTAGGTAGGTACCTACTTAATACTTATACTCAAACAAAAACAACGTATATGAATTGTATAGGTTTATTCAGTATTATTACATCATATTCTTCTTATCATGTTCCATTGCCATGGTACAGTGCATGAAGTGACGAACTTTTTTGTATATACGTCACGCACGCGGCGGGCATTTTCACTATGATTTCTTACATTGGTTGGTGGTAAATCGCTTAATGCTAAAGCCAAGGCTACACGGGCGGTTCTCCCGCCGCGGAAAACCGCTTCTGAACCGCACTGGACACAATTTAATATGAAGTTGTATGCTGCATACTACACTGCGCGGTTTCCCGTCGCGGCTCACAGGCAAGAGAAATACGACCGCCGCATGCAGCGTCAAGCGCTGATAACCGACGCTTAAAACTACACGGACGGTTTCCCGTGACCGCGACCTTGGCGCTCGCTCGTCGTTCGTGCGCTTGCGTGGCTAGTGTCGCGTCAAAATGTTCGATACGGAGCGTTTTATTGTAGAAATACAAGATCGACCTGCTTTGTATGATGTGCAGTCGAAGGATTACGCCAATCGCGAACTAAATACGAAATTATGGATGGAAATAGGACAGGAAGTGGTTGCTCATTGGGCTGATTTAGGCCCAGAAGATAAAAACAAAGCTGGTAAGTTTACTAATTATTTTATTTTTTATATTTATTTAATGAATCATCCTGTTTTGCCAAGGAACGGCTCCAGGGCCATTGAAATATTCAACAAATGAATCTCTTACTGCAATGCCACAAGATCGGCCTCCAACTGCCTGGACTCCATCGAATTCTTCCATATCATCATACCATCGAATCGTATCTTCAAATTGATAATCTCTGCGTCTTACGAAGTTGTGTAATACACAAGCTGCTTTTATAATGTGTTTGGCACTCAGTGGATTGATCATGATACTTGAATGAAAAATTCGCCACCTGTTACTGAGGATACCAAATGCACATTCCACAAAGCGGCGATCTCTAGACAGTCGATAATTATAAATTTTCTTAGGCGTTGTTATGTTTCGTAAAGAAAATGGTCTCATAACATTTTTATTTAAACCGAACGCAGCATCACCTATAAATACAAAAGGCACAGGAGGTTTTCCTATATTGTTAGGAAGATGAGCTGGCTCTGGTAAATCTAACTGAGAACAAGTTAACTTTTGCCCGAAATTTGAACTTTTGAAAATTGACGAGTCACCTTCTCGACCTGGAGCACCAACGTCAATGAATGTAAAACAGTAGTCTGCGTCAACCACTGCCAATAAAATAATCGAATGATATTTTTTATAATTATAATATTTGGAGGGCATGTAATTCTAATATGTTTGCCATCAATGGCGCCAACACAATTAGGAAAATTCGCTTCTTTGTAGAATTTCTCAGCAATGTTTATACCTTTTCCCTTATTTGGTGTTGGCATTTCTAAAGGTGCCAATTCTTGCCATATAGCTTGACAGGTTTCTGTTACAATAAATGGTATGGTTTTTCGAGAAATTAGAAAATCATACTCCAAATCAGTGAAAGTTGCTCCCGAAGCCAAATATCTGAAAAAGAAATAGATGCGACATTAACATATTTCTTCTTTTTGCAGTTAAAGATCTGATGAAGAAGTGGAAGAATATTAGAGATAGTTATATGAAAGAAGTTAAATCAGAAACTACCTCAGTGTCGGGTCAATCGGCTCCAAAAAAAAGATATATTTATTTTGACTTGTTGTCCTTTTTACGCCCTACCGTCAGTACTGTAGATGAACGAGAGTCCAATGTATCTCCAATACTTTCGACTTTATCACAAAATCAGGAAGAAGATAATTTGATGAGACCACCTTGACAAAACAAAGTTCCTCCCAAAAAAAAGAAACAAACGGAAAGTACCCAAATTCCTCAAATAACAAAAATTTTGAACGAAAGTTTACAATTACAAAAGTTAAATAACGATAGTGACGCAAAAGGAAATCGAGCATTTCTTATGTCCTTTGTACCCATTATGGATTCTATGACTCCAGATTTGGCTATGGAAACCAGATATTATGAAATTACAAATTTATTCAGAAATATACAAAGAAACGAAAGAAACCGCAGTATTCCTAGCAACTTGTCTGAATTTCTTTACCAGAGGAACCAGGATTCATCTGGGAGCTCTGGCTCTAGAGCATATCACGAGACATTATCATTAACAGTGTCGCATCGCCACAAAACGATACTGCTTCGGACATATCAACGGAAAATGATGATTATTTTAATGTTCTGCAGTACTTACCCTAATAAAAAAGATTACATAATAAAATAATGTTATTTTATTTACCTGAGAGTTACAGCCAAACGTTCTGCAGGTGTGATGGATCTTCGCATATTTGTATCCTGTTTCTTGATACGTTGGCTTATAATTGATAGAAGTTCATCAAATGAGTTCACAGACATTCTGTAGTATGAGAAGAACTTATGAGGGTTATCGCGGTGTGCACTAAACATTGAATGAAATATTTCCAAAGTTAAACGATTACTTAACACTGGTTTCACCCACACATTGCGCTTTACTTTATTTTTTAATAATTCTATTAATATGAGAGCTGCAAGCGCAGTTATCATTGGCGGATCCATGTTGAAATGAACAAAAGGCAGCGATAAACCGCGTCCCGTGTAGTTTGATGGTCTGCGGCAGCTTTGTCGAGCGGTTTCCCGCGGCGGGAGGACCGCCCGTGTAGCCTTACCCTAACTCAACAACCTATAAACAAGGATTTAAAAGATCGCTTGGTGAAAAAAATGAATTTGAAACATTCAATTTTCTTGACAAGGCAGAAGATTATATAAAGTCACTTAAAATTTACAACCTAGTAAAAGAACAAGAGGAAGAAGGATAAAAATAATTATTAGTAAAAAGTTAGTCTTGCAAGCAAAATGCAAAATGGGATTTCTTGGGTTTTAATAGACATTCAGAGTTTGAAATACTTGTACCGAGAATTGGTTCAACAGAATAAAGTGATGAATTACTCGTACATGTCAACATACAGGTTCAGTCAAGACCACTTAGAACTTTTTTTCGGACTAATAAGGCAACATGGCGGGCGCAATAATAACCCTACCACCGAACAATTCCGTGGCATATATAAAAAGCACTGCCATCTAGAACTACGGAACAGTTTCACGGGAAATTGTTTGCCAATTGATAACTTTTCAATTTTGGGTTGTTCATCAGCCCTTGAAAAAATAAATATGACCACGTCAGGATTGTGCAATACTGAATCTGACCCAACGACGAAGGCGTCACAATCTGCTGAAGATGAACAATTTGAAATAAATAGTGACATTCTCCCAAGTGTTTTAGATGAAGAAAATGGTAATAAGCGATTTGTCAAAGCAAATTGTCGGATACATTTCAGGGTGGGTTGATAAAAAAATTGTGAAAAAAATTAAATGTCATACATGTTGCAGTGCGTTAATATCTGATCGACGATTAACCTTTCACAGATTAATTAATTTGAGAAACTTAGGTGGTTTGCTTTTTCCTACACAGGATGTATATGATATATGTATCAAAACTGAATCACTTTTGAAACTTCACAAAAAACTAAATGGCAATCATTATATACGTAATGAAAATGAGTATAAAGTTTTTCAAAGTAAAACATTGAAATTGTTTATTGAATAGAATGTTTTTAATAATTTAAATGACCATTCTCTGGAGCAACCGGCAACTTGGAACCATAAAGTTCTATTGATAAAATCTGTTATCAAATACTACGCTGATGTACGCCTTCATTATCTTCATAAAAATGTTAATAAAATAACAAAAAGGCAAAAGTATAATAAATTGATTTTGTTTCAAGGAGAATAAATAGCCATTATTAGTAAATCATAATGTTTTTTACTTGATCACGCCTCTACATTTAAATATACAGTCTACCTACTATGTAATCTGATTAATGTGTTTGCGGACCGTACCTTCTACACAAATTGCACTGTTTTTGGACGCCATGTTGACGCAAACATTCAAACGTTTTCGATTTCAACCTGAAAAAAGTATTTTCAGGGCATCTAAGGGCAAACTTTTTTCAGAAAAGTGTGTGCAATACAATTGCCCACGAAATGGTAATAACAACAGATAAGTACAATGGCAGAAACACGATTTTTTACCTATTCGTTAGTGTGCGTGTGTCGGCATTTTGTTAACGCACACATTCAAAAACAATGCCACAGTTTTTGGTGTCGGGCCCTATCTAACGATAGAGCTGATTTACACAGGGTCAGTAACTGACTTCAAATTCGAGGCAAGTCAGTGCTGACCCGAAAAAAACCCCGTGTAAACTGATTTGAAGTCAGTACAGTGGCTTGAAGTCAGCGCTGACTTGAATATTCGGACACGAATATTTTAAAGTCAGTTGGCGCCCCCCGCCACCCGCGCACCCCCGCACCAGCCAAATAAACCCCGTGTAAACAGACAAGTCAGTGCGTGGTTAGTCACTGCCGCTACGTTGTAGAGTGACCACGTTTTTTTCGCTGGCGATAAAAATGAAGCTTAGCGAAGACGAAACATTAAAATTGGTGCAATTATATGGCGAAAACGAGTGCCTTTGGGATATTAAATCCCTAAATTACCGCAATAAAGAAATGCGGTCAACAGCGTTGCAAAATATTGCTCAACAAATGCAAATCGAAGGGCTTAATTCTACTGAAGTAAAAATAAAATTAAAGCCATAAGGGCTACATATTATTTAGAGCTCGACAAGATACAAAAATCCACCAGATCTGGCGCTAGTGGGAACGTATATGTCCCAAAAGTCAAGTGGTTTCAAGAACTGGACGGCTTTATAAAAAATGCTATTGTAAAAAGAAAAACAATGGTAAGCATTTATTGTAACTTATGTATTTTATTTCCACCCTAGGTACCTATACAAAATTAATGAATTCTATCCAATTGCCATGGCACACTTCCAGCAGTCATAAAGAAGTTCCTATATAGGTCTCTTTTTTTCTTTAGCAGTCATGGAATGGTTGCCTCTTTGTTGTTCTGAAATGCTTAGTAGTGGATTTATTTCCGATCTCCATGTTCCTTCTATTATTTGTCCATCATTGTCCTCTCTGTCTACACAAGTAGATGTTATGTAGGAACTTGAACGCTTTCGCAACCAATTATGCAGGGCACAGGCTGCACAGACAATGGCATCAACTGTGTCCAAATGGGTTGGAATTGCTTTTTCGAACACTCGGAACCTAGAAACCAGTATACCAAAAGCATTTTCACTTATGCGCCTTGTACGCGACAACCTGTAGTTAAAGACTTTTTCGGCAGTACTTAGCTGCGTACCTGGATAGGGTTTTAGTAAATAATTCTTCAGTGGAAATGCTGCATCACCAACTATAACTCCATTTGTAGGAAGCAATCCATCTTCTAACCGACGATATAATGAGGAATTTTTGAAAACACCTCCATCAGAGGCGTTTCCATTCGCTCCAACGTCTATATATGAAAAACAATAGTCGTGGTCTACAAGTGCTAACAATACTGTACTATTGGTTTTTTTATAATTATAAAATTCACTTCCACTATTTGTAGGAGCTTTAATTATAATATGCTTCCCATCGATTGCTCCATAACATGAAGGGAAATTCCACTTGGTATTGAAACCGTCTTCAATAATTTTCCATTCTACCTCTCGTTCTGGAATCTGTAAACAAAAAAAAAATACAACCTAAATACGTATTATCATCAACTAGTGATTTATTAAACATTACATTTTATTCTCATTAACAGGATAACTCAGGAACCAGCAACGATGACGCTGAGTTGGGTGAAGCTGAGGGTGTTGGTGACGGAGCTGAAAATATATCAAGATCTACTGAAAATAATGATAATTCTACTGAAACGCCAACTCAAGCCATCCAGACGCCAGTTCGAAATTCTGTGACAGCTCCCAATCAATCTGGGCCTCCGCGATCAAAACGCTCCAAAATATCTCAGATGGCCGCCATGATAAAGGACTTAAAAAGTGTGTCAAATGATGTTAATATGTCACCATCTGAAGAAGAGTCTGACGCTGATATTTTCGGTAAACATGTGGTGGCTCAACTAAAAAAACTGTCTGAAGAACAATCTGTTATTGCACAAGAAGAGATCCAAAAAATATTATCCAAAGCTAGATTGGCTGATATACAACAAAAGAAGTATACAAAAAATGCACAATCTTCATCCCCTAACTATTTTATCCCTAGTCCGGCAGCAACTACAACAAGCAGCACAAGTAGCATGGGATTTCACTACCTGGAGCCCAACCCAATGACTGCATCAAGCGACAACATCATAACATTTTACCCGCCAGAAGTTGCCGAGCCTGCCACTAGCAACAGCTCTTTAGGATTTCATCCTTCCGATCGATCAACGATCACCCTCAATTTTGAATTACAGCACCACGATCAACAAAGAAGCTGAAAGTGAAAATAACACTGCTGTTAACACGATTATGCGTGCCTATGAAAATTCTTAATACTATATGATTTTGTATTTCTTAATTTTCTAATAATTTAATAATAAAAAATTTCTTACCTTAATATATGTTTTTAGTGCCGTATATATTGCCCAACAAACTTCTGGTATTAGTTGAGAAATTGCTGGTTTTGAGACGCGATAAAAGTGACTAAGGAACCGATAGTACATTCCTGAAGCCAAAAATGTCAGCGTTATTTCCAGTTTAATTTTGGCTGGTAAAGCATCTCTCATGAATGTATCATGTCGTTGAATAGAGCTCGAAATCATTGACAGCAATTCGTCAAAATTCTGTGGTGACATCCTCATAGCCAGTTTATACTCCGCAGGATCTTCAAATCGCAATTGCTTCAGCAACAAAGCAGAGCCACCAGTTTCGTTTCTATCGTCAATCCATTTTCTTACCCATTGTCGTTTATTTTTAGTTATCTCATTTTCTACCATTTCTATTAACTCATTCAACAGCAAAATTGATAAATTTTTCAACAAATAATTAAATCGTCGTTTCAGTTGTTTTCGCGAATTCATTTTTCCCACTGACTTCACAGACGTGTGCTCATCGTGAGAAACGCACCACTACTACTTACTTCATGTAAACAGTTAAAGTCAGTCGCGGCGCCGACATTGGCGCTGCGACTGACATGTCTACTTACCCTGTGTAAATCAGCCAATATAAATCTATGGACTGACCGAATGGGTTCGGCGGTGCTTACTTGCTTACTTGCTGAATACCGCGTAGTGTAATAAGAGCTGATTTACACAGGGTCAGTAACTGACTACAAATTCGAGGCAAGTCAGTGCTGACCCGAAAAAAAACCCTGTGTACACTGATTTGAAGTCAGTACAGTGGCTTGAAGTCAGCGCTGACTTAATATTCGTACACGAATATTTTAAAGTCAGTTGGCGCTCCCCGCCACCCGCGCACCCCCGCGCCAGCCAAATAAACCACATGTAATAGTATTAACTGACGATCGAACTTGGTACGGGCCCGACAGCGGATTCCGTACGCTCCATACCATATCCGTTCGTCTGGAGAGTTGTCTGCCGAACATTATTATTATTATTTCGTTTTAGCTCGGTCCGATGGTTTGCACATCGAATTTGGTCCGCTCCGTACCAAATCCGCGAGTCTGTACGCTCGGACCGGACAAACGCACGGCAGTAGCCGCGTACTGACTGAGCGAGCAGCCTCGCGAGGCTGCCTCGCGAGGCAAATCCTCGGTCGGTCAAGACGTGCCTCGCCCGAGGCAAACGCACGCGCTGCCTCGCCCGAGCGTGCCGCGGCCCGAGCCGAACGTTGTCGGTTTTTGTCGATGTTCAAAGGCGCCTCAGTACGTTTGCCGCGCTCACTCAAGACGGTAGTGTTTTGCCTCGCTTATTCGTTGCGTGTTAGTTGTGCGTCATGGATAAAGAACAGTGTCTTAAATTAATACGACTATATGGTGAATATAGACGACTTTGGGATGCGCAATGTCCTGATTACACAAATAGAGGACTAAGGGAAGATGCATGGAGAAAAATAAGCCAGGAAATGAACCTTCCAATAGCTGAATTAAAGAAAAAAATGGACTCTTTACTAGGGTCTTACAGGAGGGAAAAGTCGAGAGAAAAAAAAAAGCCGAATCACAGGATCAGGTATTTATTATTTAATGTTTATGATTAGGGTTAACAACATTCATTTTATTATATTCAAAGTTACATCGGTTTTTATATTATTTCTAATATTATTTTTTTTTATTTTATACTGCAGGTCGTGGTGAAATATATGTTTCGAATTGGTATGCCTATGAAGCCTTCAGTTTTCTAGGAGATAGAAATCACCCAGGAAATACACAAGATACTTTAGGTGAAGAAGTGAGTACCTATTATTTACTGATAATTATTCTGCCAAGAAATTGCTCCGTTTGTTATGAAATGTCTCCCTAAATGTGAACGTATTTCTTTTATATTTGTTGATCCTCGCCGTGGTATGGCTTGAATAGATAGCATTGATGACATTTCTGTATCCTGTCGCCATCGGCCGGGTATTACTGTCCCTTCAACTTCGGCATCGAATGATCCTGGGGGAGTGAACCTTTGTGAGGAAGCTAAATCTCTACGCAAGTAGTTATATAAGCATATGGTAGTCAATACGACTTTCGTAGCTTTTTCTGGTTCTAATAGTAGCGGCTTCCTCAGTACTCTAAAAACGGAGCTTAAAATGCCAAAGGCATTCTCCACAACTCTTCTTGCTCTGGACAGCCTGTAATTGAAAATCCTTTCCATTGAACCTCTTTCTGGAGTACCTTCATAAGGTTTCAATGTGTAATCATTGAGAGCAAAAGCTTTATCGCCTAGAATAAAATAGGGCACTGCAATTTTATACGGTATTTGTAATATTTCTGGTGAAGGAATGTTCAATTCCTTCTTTTCGACCTTTTATATAAATTGGTATTTTTAAACACACCGCCATCTGATATACGTCCTTTGCTGCCAACGTCTACGTACAGAAATTTATAGTTAGCGTCGACTAAAGCAAACAGCACTATACTTGGAAACATTTTGTAACAGTCATAATCATTGCCACTATTTATCGGCGACTGTAATATAACATGCTTCCCATCCATTGCTCCTATGACATGTGGGAAATTCCATTTGCTCTCAAACTCTTTCGCTATGGTAAGCCACTCTTCTTCGGATGATGGTATCTGTAAATAAAATTAAGTAATAATTTCTATCTTTACAGAATGCAAGTCTGGATAATACTCGAAATGATGACGGTTATAACGAAGAAAAAAATGAAACTTCAAACTCGACGACAACGGAAGGACCTAAACAAAAGTCAACTAGACCTAAAAAGAGATCCAAAATGAACGAAAGTGATGATCTTACTGATAACGCCATATCTGAAGCATTTACACTCTTACAACAGTGTGCAAGCGATAATATATCAGAAAAAAATGATCCCTATAATGTGTATGGCCAATATATAGGAAATGAGTTGAGAAAGTATGATAAAATTACATTAGCATACGTAAAAAATGCAATAAATAAAATTATCTTTGATGCAGACATGGGAGCATACAGTGGTTATAGTTATTATACTCAATCATATGGTGAACACGATAATTTAAGATATATGTCTCATCCCTCTTCCTCATCGACGCCATCTACATATTCGATGCCTGCTGCCTCACCAATGCCTTCTACCTCACCGATGCCTCCTACTTCACCGATGCCTCCTACTTCACCGATGCCTCCTGCCTCATCGATGCCTTCTACTTCACCGATGCCTGCTGCCTCACCAATGCCTCCTATCCCACCAATTTCGATGCCTCCCCCTCCTCCTTCTCCAGCTCCTCATCATTAAATATTTGTTTGTTTAATTTTCTTATATTATTTGTCCAATTTTCTAATCAGATTAATAAAAAAATAATAAAAATATGTAATTTTATTTTACCTTAACATAATCCTTTAACACCTCAATTATAGCATCACAGACTTCAGGAACTATAACCGATATCCATTGTTTTGATATACGAAATAGATACTGTAGACTGGTATAAGAATCTCCTGTGGCCAAAAATCTCAACGTCACTAATAATCTTTCCCTAGCGGATATTGCTTCTCGAAAATTTGTGTCCTTCTTGCTTATTTTGGCGTTTATGAGAGAATACACATTGTCAAATTCGATTTTACTCATTCGAGTGAAATTTTTTTCTTCGTCATCGAAGCACAACTCTTCAAATAATCTGTTCCCAGCCTGTAATCTATTTTTGTATAAGAGTTTAATCCAAAAACGTTTAGTTTTCTGTTTTCTTTTTTTTGCAAGCCTTAGAATTATTAAAAAGGCAGTGGTAGCGACAGCTTTCCGAATGTGCGGCCTCATGGTGGTCTCGGGCAAACTATACGGGCACGCGCGGTCTCTATTCGACTTCAAGTTAAACTGAGCGTCGATGCTCACGATGGCTCGGACTTGCCGCGCGAGGCAGCCTCGGATTAGAAAACTTACAGACCGAGGCTGCCTCGCGCGGCAAACGTTGCGAAGCAAACGTCCGAGGCTGCTTCGCGAGGCTGCTCGCTCAGTCAGTACGCGGCTAGTCACGTTTGAAACATTCTGGAGGTAGCACGTGCGTCAGCGCATGTTCGCACTATGGCGGATATTTTAACAGAACGCGAAGTCCTTGTCGATGTTTTGGCACTGTATAAAGACTTTCCGTGCTTGTGGGATACATCACATGAATTGTATTGCAACAGAGATGCTCGTAATCGAGCTCTACAGATTCCTCGGGATTGTCATTCAAGATTTGATAGAAGTATCACTGTAAATGATGTGAAAAAGAAAATAGAGAATATGAGAGCCGCGTACAGACAAGTCAGTGCGTGGTTAGTCACTGCCGCTGCGTTGTAGAGTGACCACGTTTTTTTCGCTGGCGATCAAAATGGAGCTTAGCGAAGACGAAACCTTAAAATTGGTGCGATTATATGGCGAAAACGAGTGCCTTTGGGATATTAAGGGATAGGCATATGAAGTGCCGACACCGCAAATTAGATATGAGCAAGACATGATGGAGGAAATCAGAGCATTTCGCTCAACAGTACTACCCTGCTTGGAAACATGCTTTAAAATAAGAAAAAGTGGAAAAGTGAGGTTTTGTTCTTCACCTCCTGCTCACTTGCATTTTGCACCTTGTTCGAAAGAAATAGGAGTCAATATCATGTGTACACAATCGAAAACAATTCGGGCGATCGGCGGCGGTCGCCGGTCAGTCAGTCGTTTTTATATATTGATGGTGACTGCACGTGTTCTCTCTGTGTGGAATTATATCGACGCTTAAAGGCAAAAATATCTAAGCGACAAAAATACTTAAAATGAGTTCTATATACCATTCGAATCGTCAATTTTTCTGCGTCGTTTGGTCTACTCTATATATACTTTATTTATGTTTTGTTACAGGAGAATAATGAAGAAAATCGTGGAGACAATTCAATTGATCAAATAACTGATGATGAAATCAGTCAGCCTGCATCAACTAGCGAGCAACAATTTACAATACCAAATCCTACTAACGCCACTCGTAAAAGAAGACTCCAGGACTTACATTCACTTGTGTCACTCCAGCTTGGGAATAATATTTTATTCCCAAGCTGGAGATTTATCACAAAGTATCCTTGAACCTAATATTCTGTCACAAGAAGTAGCTTCTATTGTGGCGGTCGAGGAGCAGTAATTTTATTTATTTAGTTTGTTTAATTGTGAGTTAATTAATGATATATAATGAAACACAAGAAAAAGATATTCAAACCTTTTACGACAACTTAGTTAGCATCATTGCCTCCAGCGTTGCATGCACATCTATAAATAAACAACAAAAATCTATTAACAAAATTCTTAGCAAGCCTACTAAAACTCTTCTTAAAAAGCGAACTAACCTCCTGAAAACCAAACAAAAAACTAAAGAAATGAAGAAAGAACTGAGCACACTATTTAAAACTACAAGCAAGGCAATAGATAAAGACTACAAAGACCACAGATACAAAATAATTGTGGAAAATATATACACGCACAGAAGCACGAAAAGAGCATACAAGGAATTAACCACACATAAAAGTTGGATCCAAAACTTGCGATCTAAAACTAAAGAAACAAAAACCAGAATTGATATCATAAACTGCGCCACAGACTATTATAAGCAATTGTACACAAAACCTACTCCTTGTTTATCAAGTATCACCGCAACAAGCGCTGCAATACCAAAACCGCAAAGTGTGATCGATTTGCCACCAGTGGATGAGAAGGAAGTATTTAAACATATCAAGAAACTCAAAACAGATAAAAGTCCCTGCCCTGACGGCATACAAAATTAAGCTTTAAAAGCTGGTGTTAACCTACTAACTAGCCCACTTACGTACTTGTTCAACGAGGTTTTAAACACAGGTCAAGTACCGACGCAATGGAGAAAATCAGACATATACAAGAAAGGAGACCCTGAAGACATCTCCAAATACCGCCCGATTAGTCTCCTTTCAAGTGTGTATAAATTATTCATGTCAATTTTACAAAGCCGTCTGGGTCCGACAATCGATAACCATCAGCCAGTAGAACAAGCGGGGTTCCGCTCCGGATATTCTACGACGGACCATATACATGTACAAACACATAATATACATAAACAAATAATGGGAAAATACAGGGAGTTTAACAAGCCACTTTACATAGCTTTTATTGACTATGCCAAAGCGTTTGACACAATTTATCACGAGGCTATTTGGGAAGCCCTTAATAAATGTCACATACACAAGAACTACTTAGTAATCCGAGAAGTACTTAGGATCGTAATATTATAAACAACGTTCAAGAAATGTGATGTTGTTAGGTAGAAATAATTAATCAAGTGAAGTCAACAGTCATTGACAGCCGAAAAGCACGTAAGTGTATTTTTGTTTTATTTTTATTGAACATAGCGGTTATCTATGTTAAATTATTTATTTTACTCAAAGAATAGTGTTCTTTTTATATGCAGACATTATAATAATCATGGATCTTTGTATCTTACTGTGTAAAATCTGTACTAATTGCCATGTCTATTGTAATGGACAACAGGTTTAAATAGATAAATTTGCGCTTAACATTTATTGTGATCAGTTTGAAAAAAACATACTTCGTTTAATTACTTTATGATTTTTTAGGCAAATTGTCAACGTCTCGTCTGGATGAGTATCCAGACGAGACGTTGACAATTTGCTTAACCTAATAACGACGAAGAAAGCGATGATGAAATTCTACAGAATACTTCAGAACGCCGCCTAGTGTAGGTGGTAATATCGTCCTCCCCAACGAACCTTTGAAAGATGAAGAAGAAATTGAACACCATTCAAACCAAGAAGAGCCAATTCCTTAATCCAGTCGACAGCCTAAAACGCGTAAAGCGGATATAACTTGGAGAAGACATGTAGAATTCAAATGGAATTAATGGAATGGAAGGAATAGATAAAACAGATCATCTAATTAGTCTGTACTTATCTTTATTCCAAAATCAAGTAAAATTTCCAACGGGAATAAATTAATTACAGTGTTCAGGACACACCATAATTTTTTCAAATTAAAATTTTTTTTTTCAATACCTTAAATAAATTAATGTGCCGTAGTCGCTTTTGACGCCACGCGCGAATCCTAAAAATGTCACGCGCAGACCTATTTTCAGCGTTAAATTAAAATTATAAATAATGTAGATAGAGTTCCGGGAGTTAGGAGTTTTTTATTGGAAATTTCTTAAATATTAATAGTTTATTAAATATTGGCAAAAAACGAAATGCCATTTTTTTTTTCATCTTTAATTGTTTATAACTTTTGCAATTTTTTATGTGCTAATACACGCTTTTGGCACATTTTTCTAGGCGTCATTCCGGATCTAATGAGCTATCGCACATAATTTTAAGCGCAGTATCTCTATTTTGTTCCATTTTCAACTTGTCGACTAGACTACAGGCCCTTTTACACTTAGCATCCACATCTAATTTTGGCAAGTGTTTATCGTGCTCGACGTTAGAAGATAATCTTCGAGACCAATGTGTATCGGGTCTGGCGATAGATGCTACACAAAGCTAAAAAAAGTACCCGAGGTCATCAACAAAAATTGAATTGCTCAATTTCATTTAAAAAGCACATAATCAATCATTGCCACAACAAACAAATCGCTAACAATATCAATACGAATATCCTGCACCAACTTATTCTGGATATACCACTGCTATACCCTCAACACCAATGCCTTTACAATCATGGCCTCCGACGCCACCACCACCAACGTGAACGCCGTCACCTCCCAGACAAGATTCCAGCTTAGATTTATTTAAATAACAAACGCACGTATCTTAACGTTATAACGAGGTTTTCTTTTGGACAAACACAGAAAACAAATGATCACGAAGCGCGCTATGCTCGTTTGTGTCTGGTTCTGTTTATTTTGGACCGTGTTTGAGCTGATAATTCGTAAATGTTAGGTGTTATTGATAGCGCCGATGTAACTGATAGCTTTAACAATAAGGCCATATCGTCTTGGGTAAGTTACAATCGTATGTATAATATTATATAAGAGTAATATATATTTTTCTTGCCAATCTACCTTCACTTACAAAGTAATTCGTTAATTTAGTTCGAACATTATCTGCTTCATGGATTGGTCGTACAGTGTTTACCCAGAAAGATATACAAACTGAACCCAGCCGATAAGCATTTTGCTAATATTTTAGAAAGAAGAATAGATGCTCGTAATAAATATGTAACAGAAAAGAAAGAAGAAGATAAGTTATTTTGTCTTTCATTGGTTAAGGAAATAAAAAATAGTTTCCGAAAACCGGCGTTTGAAGTTGAAAATTGAAATGCATCCCGAAAATAACCAATCAATTGATTTAAAATGTTTAAAAGATGTTATTTCTGTTTCCACTAAACAGTCTGAGCTCATTTACTTAAATGCTTCTGATTGAAACAGTTCTGGCGGCATTGATAGCGAAGATGACTTACTAGTAGCTCAATTACAACAAAACAAATACAACGAAGAAGTTTCAGGATCACAACCGCTTCAAACTGTCTCTGTTCAGTGTAATGAATCCAATAAATATTTCAATGATATGTTAAAGACTCCAGAAACAATATCAAGACCAAAAACTACAACTAGAGTCAAAGCTATTAATAGCCTTGCTCTCAAGAATTTACCAAATCTAATTTCACTTACAAGGAAAATAAGGCGGGGCCATTCAAAGACATTCCAATCCCCAGAAATCTCCAGAACCTACCAAGGGACGAGGCGGCATAAAACTGGGACACTTAAAAAGATTCTTCCGAAGTGTCGAAGTGGTAAAGGAAAACCAAGTGAGGCTCGTGCTAAATTTTGTTTTTTTTTTGCTTGCAGTGAGGACAGAGTGACTGACATGAGGCCTTGTTTTTATGTGCAATTCATATTCATACATTCAAGAAGAATGTGTTAGCTGAACTGCAGACAACACAGACAGTAATAAGTCAGGAGTAATATAACTACTTTAAGTGAATTTATTTTTCAATGTTTTTAATTAATTAATATGTTGCCTGTCCAGAGTATTTTGGTCAAGTAGCGGTGACGTCGTTCCTATAGTGAGGAAAATTCCACTTTATTTCGAAATTTTGGGCTACTGTTTAACATTCTTCTTATCCTTTAGTACCTTAAAAAATTACAAATTTTGAATGACACCAATATTGATACAGCTACATCATTCACGAGTTTACAAGGAAATTTATCCCAAAACATTGAAGCAGATCTGCAGCCTAGCACTGCCTGCACATTAACAAATATCGCCACCTAGCACACCCTCATTAACGTCTCAATATGGTGTATATGGAGATCAAACAAGAAAAAAGAAAAAAAAGGGTCTTTAAATACAGTACCAGTAATGTATTATATAAAGCAGCTTTAGGAGTATAAGACAATCAACAGGTTACACATGAGGCATCAATATCATTGACACCAGATATTGATTTAAATACTAATTTTCAGTCTGCATATGACAATCAACGTACAATCCTGAGCCATCACCAGTAGCACTGGCTACTCAACATGAGCCAATAGAAATATGGATGATGAAAGTCAATCTGTTTTGGTGGAATGGAATACCTTGATCAATCAAGTAGTCTCCAACACTATTTAACTTTTAAAGGCAAATGCAAACCGTGAATTATGAATAACTGAATAAATACTATCTCAGTTTGTATTAAGTTGACTCAATAAATACCTATGCTGAATAAACAGGAAAATTATTTTATATACAACCTACATCGACACTTAATGACTAGGTCTCTATTTATTGCCTTTATGTGATCTTCCAATACTTTTAAAATAGCCTCACATACTTCTAATACAATGAGGGAAATTGTAGAAGATGATACTTCAAATAAGTAGATTAGAGACCAGCTGTAAGAATCACCGGTGGCTAAAAACCTTTAATGTGATTATGCAGGCTCATTCTTGGTGAAACGCTATCTTGATAGTTGGTGTCCTCTTTTTGAATATATGGTGGAATTAGTAGTAGTAAATGTTGAAAGTCCTCAGTTGACATTCTGTGTAGTTTATAAATAAGGCACCATCGTCTGCCTTAATTTTTGTTAGTAAACAGACCATGGGTCATTCTTAACTAATCTTCATTTCCACCTATGTTTCTTCTTTCGGTATTTAGCTGCATGGCTTTGTAGTACTAAATAAGCAACTGCTAAAGTTAGTTGATCAGCCATATTCTAAGATGTATCCCTTCGATTGAACAAGTAGGAAGACCAGTAACACTCCATAAACATTTGGAAATTACCCAGGCACTATGTCGCTTCGGCGTAAAATAGGCTTCTGTATTCCACATATGATGCAAATGCTTTCTATTTGTAGCATGCCACAAGCCTTATTACGAGTACAGTTGATTACACCTACCACATTTTTAAATTCAGCTAGAGTTTCAAATTAACTGTCACAGACATGGGCATTTTAAAATAATCAAATCTTTTCTCTAATATTGCCCTTACTACTTGATGGCATACTGTAGAGCCAGATTGCTGAGTTAAACCATGAATGTCTGCAGCATCATCTTGCATCTGAAAGATATAATAAATATTTTATGTTCAGGTATAAAGTACTTATACATACTTGGTTGCGATCAAAGCTATCAATATCTGAAGAACAGAAGATAAACCACCCCCACGTTTGTCTTGACTTAAAGATTTATCAAAATAATTGGTCTAAAAATACAACACCAGCCTTAGAAAATCTATATTTTCAACGGAACTTTTTATCATCATAAATACCTCTCACACGGATTTTTTCTAATTTCGAATGTTTTAACATTTCATAAAA